TTAATTAGTTGGCTTAAAATATTCATAACTAATATTAGTAGTAATAATAATAATAATACAAAATTTTCATTTAGTAATACAATCTACTTATACGTTGCAATAATATTAGGCAAATGTAAGTATTATCTAAAATAAATAAATAAATAGAAAAAAAATATTTAAATTAATTTTTCAATATATATATATACTGTATATATATTTATAAATAGGTACTAAAATTAATAATAATAATTTAAAATTAATTATTACATTAATGTTATTCATGGCGTTTATAATGATTCAATATATTAATGATAATATTTATTCGGCAATTGTATCGCAAAAACTGTATAAAATTGAAAATCTAAATCAATTTATTAATAATAGACAAATTGATAACAAAATTATAATTATTAAAAAATCAATTCAACATAATTATTTAAAACAAGTAATAATAATAATAATAATATAATTTTATATTAGTATTATTATATTTAAATAAAATTATTAATTATAATATTTGTTAAATTGTTTTTTTTAAATATAATTTTTAGTTTTTTCCCGATATTCAAGATAATACTTATGAATTGATTAGTTATATCGAGTTTTTTGAATTTAAAATAATAAAACAATTATTAAATCACAATAATATACTAATTGGTAGCCTTGAGTATATTGAAGGCATTTATTATTATTATCGAAACTATTTTATTGATATCAAACCATTGGATATTAAATTAGATTTTAAAGGATTTATTATACGTAAAGATCTTAGAGATGATTTGAAACAAATTTTACTAAAATTGTAAATATGAAAAAAAATTATATTTTATTAGTTTGTTTTATATTATTAAATATATTAAGAATGCAAAAAATATATTAATTTTGTAATAATATTAATTCATTACAGATTTAAATTTTTCTATAATTATGGCTTTTTTGATCATTATTACAAATATTTGGTTAGATTTTATAAACTTTTGGATATTGTTAAAAGTAATAATAATAATAATAAATTAAATACTAAAAGTTTAGTTAATGATAAACTTGATAATAATAATAATAACAATAATAATATTGTTAATCAATTAACAATTAATCATTTTCAATTAGATTTTCAATTATTATATTATGGTTTTATAATATCCTTTATAATTATAATAATAGAATATATATTAAACTATATACTAAAATAAATAAATGTATAATTTTTAATAAATAAAATAATATATATTTCAAATAATTTAAATAAATTTTTTTAATTAATATATAATAATACATGTACTGAATATTGTTGAGCTTTCCTGTGATCACTGTTTTGTTGACATTTGTTTTATTCTGTAATAAATCAATTAATTACTTTAAAAAAATTCAGTAATATTTTTTCGTCGAAGTCATTACCGGCGATGGCTTTTCAATGCCGTGAAGCAGATCCAACTCAAAGTCGAACAGCGATCGCAAAAAATTGCTATCATTTTGTCGACAAATAGTGATATCATCGGTGGTGAGGACGACATCGCTATAATTATTATCACAATATATATCACTACTATCTGAATGAATTCGTCGAAGTTCTGCCTCCAATCGATCCAACGATGAAATGATACGTTTCTGGCGGTCAGCGGTAAACACTGCAACGTTTCCATAAATTATCGGCGGCTGCTATTGTCTGGCCGTCGGCACTGAACGAACACTGAAGTATTAGTGGACGGATTTCAGTCAACTGGCCGTTCGTTAAGACAGTATTGCCGTCCAATCGGTTGCTAACTAAACAGCAGTCAAACTAAACAAACAAAAAAATTATTACAATATAAATACATAATAAAAAAACTAATAAAATAAATAAGATTTTTATGAATAGTTTATTTAGTATCAATAAAAATGACAATTAATTAAAAACTATTTATAAAAAAAAACTAAAAATTTATTACAGACACACAGTGAAAGTAAAATTAAATAATTATATATTTTATTTGTAATTTTGATAAACTAAAAATATATTATTATTTTTTTAATCACATATTAAAATGAAAATCTACTTAAAATTATTAAAATAATAAATAAATAAATATTATTTATGAGATAGTAATGACAACAACAAAAAAACTTTTTAAATAAATGCAAATATTAATATATATTTATATTATATTATCGATAATGTAATGTTAAGACAATGTTAATTGAAATTATAATTTTTTTTATCCACTTTTATCAAACAATTTGTTAATTTCTGACACAGATTTGGCATTAATTTCATAATGTTTTTCCATTAGTTTACCCAAAACTGGTCCAACATTTTTGGCAATAAAGTCACGTGTTTTTGCCGTAAGTCGTTCATCGGCGCCAAAGTCTTGTAAGACTTTCAATGTTTCGATTGCATTCTCGCCATTGATTCGAAGGAAATACCAATTAAGACATATAGTCTTTAGCGATGCGACGAAGTACTTGTCGGCGACGATCAACAACTTCTTAAACCATTTGTCCAATTGGTCGCACTCTCCAGTGTATAGATACTGAAGAAATACATCAAACACATCGCTGTCAACGTCTTCGATGATGACTTTGTTTGTAAACTTTTCCAAACAATCTGTTTGAAACATTTTGCGGAAGACTTCCGATTGTGAGCTGAGAACAAACTTCGTGGCGAAGAACTCTTTGTTGTTTTTTGCCGACAATCAGTCGCTTAGATGGCGGACACCAAACAAATGATTACCAAAATTGAAACTTCTATTGCAATCATTTTTCTTGTGTACAGTGATGTCGACGGCAAAAGTGATGGCATTGTTGGGTAACAGTCGCTCCTTATTGTCCATTAATTTTTGTTTATCGATAAACTTGTGGACACCACAGCCCTCTATCTTCTCGAATTCTTAAGATGTGAATAATACTTCGTTTGCCATACATTTGATTGTCTTTGTCGACGATATACGTGTTGTATTCAACAGAAACCGATAGTCCGTATGTCTGATTCAACCATAAGTATAGACCAATGATTTCATTGTGACATTCAATACTGATTTGCCATTTATCTGATCCAATGGTAAACATATATTACTTTCAAAACTTGTCTTATTTATCCATTTGTTTTGCAATTCATTGGCAAAGTTATCGATTTTCAACAACACATTACACTTATTGGTAATACTGTTGTCCATCACTGATATCGTTGTCTTTGTTGTGGTCATTGTTGTCGTTGTTGTTGTTGTTATGACTCGTGTGTTGTTTTGTTGTGTTATATCATATCATATGATATATTTGTTGACAAAAATGGAATCCAATTCAATGGTTAAACAAATCAAACAAACAATTCGAATGCTATTAATATTAATATTATTATTATTATTATTATTAGAGTATTATTTAGAAAAACATTAAAATAATTATTAATTAATTAATAGTGTCTTGATTTCCAACTAAAAAAATTATTTTGTCGGTTTAACGCTTATAACTGGGACTTAGTATGTCCACCGAAGTTGACCAGTGGACGCTATTTCCGAAATTTTATTATAACTATAAATAACTATTTGTTAGGTTAGCAACTATAAAAACTTATAAATAACTATTTCAGTTATTTTGAAAAATATAAGCATTAAATTGTAAAATTAAGCACAAATATATGTAAAAACAAAAAGTAATAGTTATATAAATTATATAAAATGTGTAAACTGTTATCAACTCATATTACTTGTATAACAATAGAAATATTTAATTTATTTATATAAATCATTTTTGTAAATATGCTGAAAACAAGTGAATTATATATCAGTTGAAATATTTATAAGAAAATAAATAACTATTTCAATAACTATTTGGCTTTTTTGGCAATTATATACAACTATTTAATACAGTTTAAATAACTATTTTAACAACTATTTGACGTTTTTTAGCAACTATTATAACAACTATTTAATAGAGTATAAAAAATTATTAATCAATACACTATTAATTAATTAGTCTATCGATTGATAACTAAAAAAATATTTTTGTTTTATTATCGAAACTGTATTTTATTTGCAAACAAAACAAAAAAAAATATATATTTTGTTATTACTTGACATATGTTTCGAACGAGTCTTTTGACGGTTTTCTCATTCTTCCCGAGATTTTTATGTCTTTCGACAACTGATTATAAAAAATTAAATTTAATTTTAAAAATAAATAATATTTTTTTAATTTCAATAATATTCTGTATTAACATTTAGTATTTAATATATCCAATAATTTTTGTTGTTGTTTTAATTACAGTAACTAATATATTTAAAATAATTTAAATTCAATTTTTTTTTATTAATACATTACTTTAGTTATTAATATTTTATTAATTTTTTTATTGAAAAAATAAATGCTTTTAGAAATGTATTATCGAATCGATATATTATTATCAATTGAAACAACGAATTATATATATATTATCAATAATTATAATGTAATGTAAACATGTGTTTATTTAATTTAATTAACAATAATAGTAATAATAATAATATCAAATAACAATTAACAACAAAAAAATAGTAATATTAATAATTTTAAACTTTTTTCAAGAGAGAGATAGTGTATCGTTAATAAAATTTAATAACTGTTAAGTAGTGTTGAAAAACAAAAATAATTCAATAATTCAATAATTTTTGGAAACTTTTTTCTAAAAAAAACTAATTTCACACAAAAAAATATTTAATTTAAATGTTTGGTAAAGTTTATAATGATTTTTTTTTGTTAGACTTATTCATTGTTTAATTTTTCAGTAATTAATTATTTAAACAATTGAAAAAAATATCAGATACTAATTAAATAAATCAAATCAATCAACTAATGTAAACAAAACAAAAATAAATTATAACAATTGTCGATAAAATAATTAATTATCTGTTTTTTTTGTTGTTGTTGTTGATAATTACCAAACAATTTATGTGGATATTTGATGACAACATATATATGTCATCAATGACTAAATAGCGGCTAATGAATGGACTTAATGTTTATGAATGTCTTTATGAACGACAACAACAAAAAAGTGAATCTAATATTAATTATCAATTAATTACATATGAATTAAATAATAGGAATTATTATTAAAAAAATCAGAAGAAAAATAATCAAATGATATGTTATGCTATGATTATCACTGTTTAGTGAATCGTTTAGTATTATTATTATTATTAGTGTTGTTATTATTTTTTTGAACTTTTGGTGAATTTTTGTGGTGCAATGTCTTCAGCCTTTTTGGCGATAAATTATTTGTCATCATCTTTGATGAATCAGTTTTTGGTGTTTTGGTGGTATTGTTGTTGTTGTTATAAAATTTTAGACTTCTTTTGACGCCAACAACAACACTACTACTACTATCTTGAGGTTTGTGTTTAACAGCTTTCCTGTGATCACTGTTTTGTTGAACATTTGTTTTATTCTGTAATAAATCAATTAATTACTTAAAAAAAAATTCAGTAATATTTTTTCTTCGAAGTCATTACCGGCGATGGCTTTTCAATGCCGTGAAGCAGATCCAACTCAAAGTCGAACAGCGATCGCAAAAAATTGCTATCATTTTGTCGACAAATAGTGATATCATCGGTGGTGAGGACGACATCGCTATAATTATTATCACAATATATATCACTACTATCTGAATGAATTCGTCGAAGTTCTGCCTCCAATCGATCCAACGATGAAATGATACGTTTCTGGCGGTCAGCGGTAAACACTGTAACGTTACCCAAATTATCGGCGGCTGCTATTGTCTGGCCGTCGGCACTAAACGAACACTGAAGTATTAGTGGACGGATTTCAGTCAACTGGCCGTTCGTTAAGACAGTATTGCCGTCCAATCGGTTGCTAACTAAACAGCAGTCAAACTAAAAAAAACATAAAAATTAATAATTATAAAAAAATTAAATAAATTTTTTTCTATTTTTTAATTACCCGATTGACAACAACTCCCTGAAGAATATCGTAGATAAAGATATTCGAGTCATAGCTTGCCGTCAGAAACATATGTCCGACAATCGGATGACATTCAATAATCGAAATTTTGTTCGTATGTTGAGTATTGAAATGTCGGACCAGTTCGCCGGACTCCGAGTCATACACTTTGATGGAACAATCGGTCAAATCAGTTAACAAATAGCGGTCATCGCAGCTGAACGTCAGTTCATCGACAAATGTCAACTCTTCGGTCAACTGATGTTTCGGACTTCCTATAAGAAGTATAGAAGAAATAAAAATTATTATAATTACCAGAAATTTAATTAATTAATTAATTACAACAACAAACCTCTTAAACTCTTTTTGTTTTGCTTAGCATTGATGTCGAGTATAATTGAATCCCATTTTTTGTTTGCTTTATCAAAGCTCCAGACATAAGCATTGGTGTCCTGATCGCATGTACAGGCAAACCTAGTTTATATGGTGACACATCAATAAAAATTGAATTACCCGATAATACCGGTTATTATTATTATTAGTCTTAAATAATTACCGGAATGAGTTGTGACAAAACCGTAGCGAATAAACACAATCCAAGTGTGTCTTATGTTGACTACATTTCCACTCTTCTTTGGCTCCGAATTGTTCGTCAGTCAAACTGAATACCCGTATTACCGATTGGACAGATTTTTTGGCCAACAAATTCGTTAGCTTAGATGACGGCCTCACTGGCTCATCGCTGTTATGGCCGGCCGTGTGAATAACGGCCAACAATAGGCCACCCGTTGAATAATCGCAACAAACATTCACTGCCCGTTCGTTATCGTATCGGGTTTTCCGGTGAACAGCTTTGGCTGTAAATTTCAATGACTTGTCGTCGTAGGCATAGAAATAGATGAAACCGTCTTCCGATGTCGATATCAGATACTTCTTATTCTGATCGTTGTTGACGACCATAGAAACGGGTGAAAAATGTATGGACCGAATGGGATAAACTTGTTCATCAAGTTTGGCAATTAAGTCAAACGTTTTGAGACTCCAGACCGAGACTGAACCTAAAGAAAAAATTAGGTGACAGTCAGTCAATTGGCGCCACAAAACAAACAAATATCAACAAACAGTCGACAACAGACCCGTATGTTTGGCTGCGGCCACCAATGTATTCTCGTAGTTAACTGCTAAGTCACAGATGGCAAATCGGGCCAATTCGGTCTCGAACTTGGCCTCGATGTTGGTATCCGTTTCCCAATCTATTGTCCGACAGAGTACGTCAACTTCATCGGCGTACTCGTCATCGTTGCCACCGCTGCTGTTGCTGTTGTCGGTCAAACATCTGACCAATCGATCCGTTTGACAGCAATAGACTTTGACTCGTCCGTCGTCGCCGCCCTTCAGACAATTACAAGAGAAAAATTCAATCAAATGATTGGATCAATTGGTGATTGGGATCGGAGCGGCCGGTAATCAATAATACTAATTAAATAATTACCGTAAAAACAAAACGTGACGACCGGTCAAAACAAAGACAGTAGACTTGAGACGAATGCCAAAGAGGTTTCAATTTAATCGTATAGTTTGTCTTCACCGCCGCTGATGATGACGATGAAGAAGAAGTGGTCGCCTAATAGACAATAATAAAAATAATAAACAAATCAATTGATTGATTGATTGACAACTCGATGGACAAACAAAAAACACAAGAACTGGAAGAATAGATTTAATACGTTTGAAACCATTATCCGCTGAAGACATGTGTTGGTTATTGTTGTCGATGTTGTTGTTGTTGTTGTAAATGAATCGTTGGATCAGTTGTTGTGGTGATAGTTATGTGGAAAACAATACAATATTAATAACAATTCAATTCAAACAATCAAAACGCAATGTGTTTTGGTTTTTATTATTATTATTATTATTCAATACAACTATTTATATAAACAAAACAAAAACATTATAATACAGTAGTATTTGCCGTCAATTTGTTTTTTTTTGACACAAATCACGTGTAAAACACACCAGTAGTTTGCATTGAGTTTTACACAGATATTCCATTGTTTTCTATTTGACTGTCAAATGGCTTCTCATTGTGTGTGTTTGAGTTTTGGTTTGTTTGTATATATTCAACATATTTATTACAGTATTAATAAAAATTTGTTAATTTTTTTTTAATTAATATTTAAATACCAATAGTAGTAGTAGTTTTTAATTTTGAGTTTATTATATTTAATGCAATAATAAACTCCTGGTCCTGTCCTGTACTGCAGTCGGGAAAGTGCAGTATTTAATTAAAAATAACAAAAAATCTAAAAAATAAGCATGCTAAATTTTTTTAAATTCATAAAATAAAACAAATAATAATAATTAAAAAAAAATTGCCAATAATTTCAAATAAATTATAAATAATTTTTATTGTCATTATTATTACTAATCTATTAATTTGTTTGTTGAAAATCACAGCAATAATTTTTTTTTGTATCTTAATAATTATAATGTAATAATTAAGGCATATTTTTTTAAATATATATATATGTTATTATAGAAATTTTTAAAATTTAATTACAATATAATTTTAATATCATTCACTAAAAAACTTTTATTATTATTTTTTTAAAAAAACATATATTTATGTATCGTATGTCTACATAAAATATATATTTTTAATTGAAAATAAAAGTTATTTTGATTTAGTTTTTTTTGGTTCAACATTTTACATATAAATTAATGCAATATTTTTTTTATAATTAATAATAATAATAATAAGTGCAATAATAATAATAATAGTGTCTAAAAAAATAAAATTCACAATTTTTAAAATGAAACTAAAATGTGTGTAAATTATATTTATATATAATATGTGTAGTATTAAAAATGCACCAAAAAATACTAAAAAATAATAATAAAACATTTATAAATAATATAGATTTTAAAAATTATTAAAAAAGCTGCAAATTAAACAAATGCTGCACTAATAGTATAGTATTAAATGTAATAATTATAATATAGTCAAATGATAGCTTAATTATTTGTTTTTTGATTGATTTTTGACAAACATTATAATTATTTAGCAAAACAAAAATCTAATGTAAAGTTTGAAAAATTACTAAAAAAATATTACTAAAAATTAAAACATATTTTTTTATCTGATAGTTAAGTAGTGCTTTAAAAAAAATATAAACGAAAAATAAATGATTAAAAATAATTGAATTGTTTTCATAAATACGGTTTTCAAATAGATTCGTAAATATATTTATAGCTATTTATATAAATATTTTTTTTGTTTAAATAAAAATAATTAGTGAAATTTGTTGTTTTTAAAAAAAACTTTTTCACAATTTGTTTATTTTCTTTTTGAAGAGAAAGAGTCCCACCATTTTGGTTGTCAGTGTTGGTCATCATCATCACTATCACTGCTATCTGTGTCTGAATTTTCTTTTTAATCAACAAAAAAAAACAAAATTAATTTATTATAATTATCACCAAAAATAAAAGTCTTACCTCTGATGACATCAATATCGATGACCCGAACTTTAGGTGAAACCGACGATTGTGTTGTTGTTGTCGTCGTCGTCTCTCTGGTCGACGACTCCAACTGTTCGCTCATTTCTTTCACTTTCAACGCCATCTGAGCTCTCATGGCTTCGTCTTCGATGGACTTTAGTCTCTGTTGTCGCCAAAGTGCTCTCTTCTCCGCTTCCAACGCTCGTCTCTGATTTGGTGTCATATCTTTCAGTTGTGCCTCGAGTTCGGCCTCCAAATCGAAACCACCTTTTTTCAGACGTTCGATATAACGGCGCTCTGACTTTGCTGTCCGAAACACTCGTTGATTATCCAAATCAACGATCGACTCATTGATCTGTTCTGAGACAAAATTGTCGATCAGTTCTTCACTATCATCGTCATCATCGTCGTCGTCGTCATCGCCTGTCATTGTAATCAACGATTTTATTTGTTCCTCAGAAAGTGTGGCCAACTTTTTCGTCTCTTCTTCGCGAAGTCTTTCGAGTTCATCGGCAGACAAATAACTGAATCGTTTGCTTTCGCTATACGACGACTCCGATCGTTCGATAACTTTTTGTTGGCCATCGGTTTCGCCGCCCGTTGTCGTCGTCTGATTCAATCCCTGTTCGAAACGGCGCTTCTTTTCGCTGAACGACAACCATTCGGGCGATTCGCTGTTCTTTGTCTGAACTGACGATGAAAGTGCGGCCAAATTACGCGGTTTTGGCGGTTTGTCCGGTTTCGGTGGCTTAGCACCGGGTAGTTTGGACGTCTGATACGGATCCAACATCGGACTCATGTCGTTACTGTCCACCGATGATGTATTCCAACCTTTGTTCGGAGATATCTTCAATATGGGCGACGGTGTTCTCGTTTTGTGTATGGGTGTCGATGATCGGGAACGGGAGGATTGGGGTGTCGATGGACTGTGTGCTGGTGTACTGGCATGCGATGAAGGATTGGTAGGGCTTTTAGTGTTAACCCGTATCGGTATTAACGGAGACTAATCCAGTTATATAGATATGTAAATTAAATTATTTTTTTTTGTTAATTATTTCATTCATTCATTCAGAAAACAAAAACATAACACTAGTAACTAATAAAAATATAAATAAAATCAATACAACTGAAACAATTAATATTAAAAGCAATTGAAAAAACATAATTTAATAAATTAATAGCAAAAACAAATTTGCATATCTTTATAGTATAGCATAAGTAAGTGTGAGAGCAAATTAAAATATATATATATTTTTAATAATTATATTTATTATATAACCGATTGGTGTGGGAATCAAATTATTATTTATTTAATTTTTTATAAACAATTTTTGTGTGCATATACTGTATATTATCGGGTATACAATTTTGACGGGATGTAAAGTTAATTAAAAATATTAAATTTTAACTAAACTTTCACACAAACAGTTAGATTGATGTATTAAATTGCAGCCAAAAAAACAAGCAAATAATATTATTTGATTCATAATGCATTTTTTTAAAACAATAACATCAACAAAAAATTAGCAAACATTTTAAATTAATGATAATGTTAAAAAATATTTATATTATATAACCATTTATATATATATATACCAATTGATCATAATATAAATTACCGATAATTTTAAATAAATCAATTAAATTGTTTTTTTTATTTGAATTGATTTTTATTTTTTGGTTAGAAAAATGCTTTTTTGAAGTTTTTTGAAAAGTTAGAAGTAGTTATTGTTTGTTTGATAAGTGATTTTGTTTTGTTTTTGATAATTTGAAAAAATAAATAATTTAATTGCTATTATAAGATAATTTAAATATATATATATAGATAGATATATAATTAATATAATTATATGTATCAATTTTTGTTGTTGTTGTTTAAAGTGGATTTTCAAACAAAACAATGATATTATTTTTTTTTTGAGAGTAACATTGAGATAAAAAGCACATTCAAAAAATTTGTTATTAAGTATTAATTAATTTTTGTTTAGATTAAAATATAAAGATAAAAACAATTATTATTTTTTACACAACATTTATAGTCATTGAGTGCTTTGATTTCTTTATAATAATAGACACATAGATTTGTGTAATGTCTTTGAATATCATCGCTATATATATATTGAAACAAACAGAGAGAGAGAGAGGGGGGAGAGAGAGAAAGTGATTTAAGAGAGAAATAAAAAATAGTTTAATTCTAATAATTAAATAAATAATAGACAAAAATGTTTGATTAATATATAAAATAAAAAATTATAATTAGATTTTATATAAGTTTCAAATACATACCGTAACAGTGGGCTGAGTGGCGGTAACATTAGTAGTAGTGGTGTTGGATCCAGTGTTTACGTTATGCTTCTTCATGATAACAGTTGTGGTTTTTTGCTCTTTGGTTGCACTGCTCGTATTGGACGCCTGTTTAGACAACTGTTCCGCTGCTTTGACCACTTCGATGACCCTTTGGTTGACATTCTTATCGTTGTCTATTGTTGTGGCCAACTCATCGACGCCACTGCTGTTTGTGATAACATTGGTATTCTTCAGCAACGATGACGACGAAGACGATTGACTTTTCTGTTCATTAATGGTTTCTTTAGCTTTGGTTAATAATTTTTCAGTCGTTACGAAGTTATTATTATTAGTCAATCTATTATCGGACAATGTCTTGATGGTAAACGGCGGCGAAGCAAATACATCGTCATCGAGATCTTTATCGGGCGAACCACCGAACGGTGATTGAAAACTTCTCGGTGATGTAGGCGTTGGTACTTCGGGCGGGGATTTTCGGTTAGTGGTGGCGGACAACTCGGCCGAATCGTAGCCGTCGCAGACCAACAATATTATTCTGTTGCCAACATTGCGCAACACTTGTACAGCTTTTTGGTGGGTGGCGCCCAATAACGAAACATCGTTTACTTCGATGATTCTCATACCGGGTTTCAGTCGTCCATCGCGAGCAGCGGCACCGTTCGGATTGATTCGGGCGATAAACAATCCCTGGTCGTCCTTATCGAATGGATTGCCCGGTTGGCCAGCGCTGCCGCCCTTAACAATCATTCCCAGCTTTTCCGTCGGCAACTTATGGATAATTAATTCCTAATAATAATAATAATAATTTTAAGTAAAAATACAAAAATATGGTTAAATTACAGGCAAATCAATGAATTATTTTTTAAAAAAATAAATAAAAATAATCAATACATTTCATTATAATAATAATTTTAAAAACAAAATATGAAAAACAAAAAAAAACATAAAAATTACCGATAATTAAACAAAACAAAAAAACAAATTAATTAATTTTAATGTTAATATGCTTTTTCTTACTCTAACAATGAATGGTCGACACTAACAACAGATACCATAGAGGAAGATATAGTGTACACAACAAGTATAGGGGAAAAGTAAAAGTCAATCAATCATTATATTAGCAGTTAGACAGCAATAGGTCATTATATGGACAATATCGGGACAACAAATTGTTAATTTAATCATTCAATCAATTAATAATTTATTAAAATTAATAGTAGAAGACATCAATTAGATAACAATTATAGTTAAATATAATTATAAACAAAAAAACAAAACAAAAATCAAATGCAAACCTTCCATCCGTTAGGCAATGGCTCGTGTCTTACGGTTAATGTTATCTCTTTTGATGGACTTCTCAGAGCTTGTGCTGCTTCTTCGTACGTCGCTTTTGTCATATCGACGCCATTGACAGCTACAAGTCGGTCGCCAATTCGTATTTTACCGCTTCGGTGAGCGATACCATCGGTAGAAACCTAAATAAACAATATAAAACAAATCGATAAATACCGATTTACAACATCAAGGTAGGGATAGGGAGGAATGGGAGGTATTTTAAATCAACACTTACTTTCGATACGAAAATTCCGGGTTCGCTTTCACCGAACGGATGACACGGATGATCTATATATATATATATGTAATAAAAATATATAATCACTAGTAGGTCTCATCGCATCCTAATCATCATCATCGACATACCTGATCCTCCAATGATGGAGAGACCCAGTGGTCCCTCAGATTTAACAAGTGTTATAGACTGGTTGATGATACAGAAAATTTTAAAAACAAATCAATTATAATAATAAATAATTAAATAATTAAATAATAAATTACTTCTTCAATCGGTGGCAATGCTAGCGCATTGTTGGTAACACGGGTTACAATATTTTCCGTGTATGTAGTTTTGGTGATGACTTCGGTGAATACGCCCGCAGTGGTGGGCGCCGGTGGGAATTGTGCTTCTAATGGACTGTCTTCTAATTTGGACACAATTGCTGGCTTCTGAATTGTAACGCTTAACAATGGACCAGTTGTTTCTTGATTATGATCGCTGCTGATTGATGATGATATCAGCCCATGTTTGGCACCTGTATGTCATATAAATAAACATTATTATCGGTAAATAATTAAAACAACAATAAAACAAAATAAACCGTTTGTATTATCTAAAGATGAGGCACTTTTGGACATATGGGATGGATTTATTGTTGAGGCACTGATTGTATGATTGTTTGGTAGGGTAGAGCTCGACTGAGCTCCTAGAGTTTCATTGCGTAGGCCCGGCAATTTTGTATATATCGAATGTGTTGGCCGCGTTGCCGGCGAATAGCTGGCCGTCGGTGTTACCGGTGCCGATTTGGCATCGTCTACACCAACCAAACTGCTTACCGATCCCAACGTCGGCCGTCTGTACGAACCCGTATAGGATGGCCTGTTGGCCATATAAGATGACGCATAGAGTCCAGTGTATGGTCGGGCCATTCCGTATACTTTTGGCGATTTGTCACCAAAAGCGGGATCCGCACCGTCGCGTTGGATCACTAGCCGAACAAAGCGTTCGACACCAGTAAGCATTGCCACCACTTGATTGTGTTTCATGTGTTCGACATCGATGCCGTTGATGGACAACACTTTATCGCCGACCAATAGTTTGCCGTCACGATCGGCGGCACCAGCTTCGGCTATACGAGCAATATAGATACCAGTGCTGCCCTCCTTATAGGGAGCAGCGTCGACGCCGCCTTCGATGCTAAAGCCCAGGCCGTTCTGGTCGCGTATTAGTGTCGTATAAACGATTTGACGTTTCAAATCAAAATCAGGTGTTTGTGGCACAGAGGCTGACATTGATGGGCTGCCAGTGGCCGATGTTGGCGAACCAATGTCACCGTTTTGATGATTATGTATTGGGGGTTTCATTGGCGAAACGTTTGATGATTGCGATTTCAGTGACGACCGATGCACTGATGATAATTCGTTCGATCCGATGCTGTTTCGACTCGAATACTGTTTGCCTCCACCGACGGGCGTCGCGGACACTACAACCGGCACTTCCCTAACTATTACAACAATAAAGTCCATTCCCGCTGCTTTCAGTGCGTTAACCGCTTCGTAGTGATCGATTTCGGTAAAATCGACACCGTTTACCGATAGTATTTTATCACCGACACGCAAACCGGCCAAATGAGCCGGTCCTTCGTCGGTAATTCGCGATACAAATATTCCTTCGTCGTCTCCCTTGTAAGGCGACGAACCGAGACCGCCGGCAATACTCAGTCCGAGTCCGCCGTTGGTTCGCCGGACACGCATTTGCATCTGAACAAACTCCATAGCGGTGTTGTTGAGGGCGGCGGCGCCGCTACTCGAGTTGGATACTATCGATTCGGGTCGTTGCAGATCCGAGCCGACACTGTCGTCGCCCTGCGACAGACTTTGCTGCAAATTGTTGTGCTCTTTAGCTGATTTGTTTTGCATGGCTTCGGCCAGTATTGACGCCACCCGTTGCTGTTCATCCTTCGAACTGTGAATTCGTTTATTCTTCAAATGATGCGGTGTATCCCTTCGGTGCAGTTTGTTATGCCATTCAACCTTTTCCTCTTCGTCTACCTCTCCATCTCCCTGTTCGTCCTCCTCTTCCTCATCGTCTTCAACATCATTATCATCGGCATTGGCGTCAAATACCGAAAAGCCGACCCGTTTATCGTTGTTATTGGCGTACTGTTGTTGTTCACTATCCGATTCCGATGATGTGATGATGGCGTTAGCTTTGGCCAATTTCGAGTCCACTTGGGTTTCGCCGCCGCCACCCCGTCTACTAATATCCATGTCCTGGACATCGGCGACCAATTCGCTATCACTTTTGACAATTACCGACGATCCATACGATTCGGTCGATTCTACCGATACGGTACTATTGCGTTGATTTGACAATTGGACGGATTTGTTATTATCAACACTATTACTATTATTATTATTACTACTATTTATATTATTTGCGGTCACATTCTCTTTATTATTATTATTGTAATAATTATCATCATCTTTGCTATCCTTTTGGAACAGCTTGTGATGTCTGGCCTTAAGTTCTCTGGGATGAGGGGTGTCGTGTCGGACAAAATTCAATTGATCCGCTACTGCCGTATTGATAACAGGCCTACGATGCGGTTCCCGTTCTTCCTCATCATCGCTGGCTTCGGCAAACTTTACCGCCGACTGTCTCGGCTGATCCCAGTTTATACTGCTAGCCCTTTCCAGACTATTATCGGTAAAATTTTCTGCAAATAAACAGACAAACAAACAAAAATTATTTATTTTTGCAAAAAAAAACAGTTTTTATTTACCGATAGTAATGTTTAATTGAAAAGAAAAATTATATTTCGTATTTTTTAAGCTCATAATTATGTGCGAAAAAAAATCTATTTAGTCATTCATTGTAAAAGTCATATAAATCAAAGTCAATAACTAAAATAATTATTTTTTTACAAACAAAAACTACAATAATATGATAAACATGTATAATAAAAATACCGTAATTTCTATAACAAAATGATAAAAAAAATAAAATAATTGATGATAAAAGTAAATAAAACACTTATAACTAAAAATATTTAACTATTACTTAACACACATTTTCCTCACTCTATCATTGCATAGTTATCTGTTTATACATATCGGTAATTAATAATAAAAATTTCAAGGTTAGTTTATAAGGTAAATTATTGCATATTTTGTTATCAATAAAAATGCAATCATATACACTATATAAATATATATATCGACTATTTATATATAAAAATTAGTCATTTATATAATATTTTTAGTGTAAATAATATTTATGGCTACAAAAAATATTTAAATACTAAAAATATTATATAAATAATATATATAAATAACAGTTATAACCATTAATATCAAATTATAAGATATATAGATAGATTACAAGATATACAACAAACAGATTATCGGGAAATACCTAAACATTCGGGATTGTATTCCTGTTGCGGTAACAGAAAACAGGTCAACACTTTCATACGACTTTCCTCATCGTAATCGGTCTGAAATTTTAGTAACGGTTGCGACTGATTCTCGGCCAACCACAAAGCCTTGAGATTTAAGGCAGTTATAGTATACGGCAAATGATTGAGTCGATTGCCTGAAACATCAAGTACCCGAAGCTCCCTTAGTTGACCCATTTCGACGGGCAGTGAGCCAATAGTATTGTCGCGCATCGATAGTACACCCAATTTGGTCAGATTGCCGATCTGTTGGGGCAATTCTTTCAATTGATTTCGGTCGACATTAAAGTTGGTCATATGAACCAAATTGCCGATAGTCGGCGGCAATTCGGTTAATAAATTTTCGGTTAGTATAAGCTCTTGCATTGATGAACAGCCGCCAATTGTCGGATTCAACGATAGTAGACGATTCTGGTCCACTTTCAATATCAACAATTTCGATAGCTGGCCAATACCGTCGGGTAATGTTTCCAAACAGTTTTGCGATAAATGCATATCTGTTAGACTTTCTAAGCCGGCAATCTCTTCGGGCAGATATTCTAAACGATTTTCGCTAACATCCAGACAGGTTAGGCGTCTGAGTTGGCCGATCTCTTTCGGTAAAGTACTCAATTCGTTACAGTCGAGCCATAGTTCCTGAAGTTTAGGTAATTGGCCGATAACTTCGGGCAGTTCTTCGATATCGTTAGAACCGAGATCCAGGCGTTCGAGTTTAACCAGAAACGATACGCTCGGCGGTAATGTTTTCAATAAATTTTCGCGAAGTTCCAGTGATTCTAAATTGTTTAGCGAACCGAAATCGTTGGGCAACTGTTGAAGAGATATGTCGTTCAATGCCAATGATGTTAGACATCGAAGTTGTGTAAAACCGTTGGGTAATCTGTTTCGGTGTAACAATAAAACAAAACATATAAATATATATATTAGTAAACAAACAGTAATTGGCAGTAGATTTGTCGCCCATTGGAAATTGGTGGTCAATATATCGGTGATTGGCCTTACATTTGCAACGGATTGGAGCTAAAGTCGGCGATTTGCAAGTATTTGATGTGTCTGATCTGTTCGGGAATTTCGGGTATATCATTTTTGCTCACATCTATTTCAACCAGATTGATAAGGTTGGCAATGTCGGGCGGCAATCGGCCAATTTCGTTGTCCGATAGTGATAACCGACGCAGTCTTGTCAGCCGAAATAAGCCCTGAAAGAGACAGACAGATAGATAGATAGAAAAAAAATGTTATATAAATGACAACAAATTGCCAAACAATTGACACTAACTTTAGGCAACTCGCGGATATGGTTGGCATCGAGAAACAGTTCCTCCAGTGTCCGACTATATCGGAGGACATCGTCGGGTATATTCGGTAGACTGCAGTGTCGTTTGTCGATGTAATCAATCTGTCGATTGCATCCACGAAACAGTGGAATACATTTAAACATTATTATTATAAGTCTCTTCTTATATAGTCTTTAGTTTTGTCTTGTCTTCAGAGATGTCAATGAAGATGAAACTTAAGGATCAAATTCAATGGCGACAATCAATGTCTGTGTGATGTAATGTCTTCAGACAGTCTTCTGGGCTGATGTTGTTGTCGTTGTCGTCGTTGTCTTCGCGATCGGTGTTATATCACATCTTGATTACAGACAATTCACTCGATAGTAGTGGTGGTAGTGGTTGTTGTCGTCGATGATAATGAAGTAGTAAATGGATATCAATAACAACAACAACAACAAAGATGACAGACAACTATGATATTCAACAGTTGGTCACAACAACAACAATAATGATTGATATTATTATTATTTTAATTATTATTATTATATCTTCCGATTGTGTTGTCGTTGTTGGTGTCGATGTCGATGTTGTTGTCGATGTTGACAATGACGACAACTATACTGATCTGATCCGTAAAATTGATGGTCAATTGAGGCCATCAAACACTTAAACACAACACAACAGTTTTATTAATTTAATTAATTAATTATTAGTATTATTGAGAAAAACAACATTTTATTAAATTATTTTCTAAAATAATAATAATTTTTTTTTTATTAATTATTAATTCATAGTTTTATTTTTAATACTAAACTACTTTAGTTTTTAACTGTAATATATATAATACTATCAACAAAAAAAAACAGTATAACATTTATATCCTATTATATGTATTATTATTAATATAATTAACTATTAATTCAATAATAATAATAACTTCAATAACAGAGTACTGTATTAGTTATAAATATAAATCATTATTAAATAAAAAAAAATTTATTTTTTATAATACATTTCCAGTAGATATACAGTACACTAAATATTTAATGTATTAATATTTTATATTATTAATGGAGTATTACTTGCTTTTAATGTATAAAAATTTATTACAGTATTACTCCCAAACACTAAACACAATATACACAGACAGACACACACACATACACACATACACTCCCCAAATAACACGACTGTCCCCATACACACACACACACTACTGGCCTCTTGTGTCCACAATCTATACAAACTGTGGTATTTTATCGTTGAATTTTATCGCCCGCTAATAGACACTGTGTATAACAAACACATAATAAGTAATATTTAAAAAAAAAAGTATTTATTAGTTTTTTAAATGTTTTTTAAAACACTTTTTTTTATATTATAAAAAACACTTGTATTATATCCTTGGCTTACAATATACTGTACAATATTTTTTTAATATATATATATGTAAACCAAATATTTATTTATTTAACAATTTTTTTTAATTATTATTAATTTTTATTCTTAATATATATTTTTTCTCGTATCGAAATAAATAGATAAATATTCAATATATTTATTATAAACACTGTATTGAATGCAATATATACATTATATATATATATATATATATATATATATATATATATTAATTTTATGTGCAAATTGATTGATTAATTTTGAATATATATATGACCAAGCTAAAAAATTTCATTAACTATATATTTTTTTTAAAAATTAACAATACTAAATTTATAATAATAATATCATTATATCCATATTTGTTTAGCATTATAATAATATACTGTATTAAAGTAATTTAGCTAAATTAGTAATACAATGTAAATGTATAAATAAAAAATTATTGACAAGCGTGTCAATATTGTATAAATATTTGTTAAAAAAAATATTATTATAATAAATAACTTTAATATTATTATTTATTTATTAATAATTTGTTATATGATATACTGTGCAATAATAACCTTGGATAATCATATTTTTATTATATTCAGTATTATTTATTTGAATGGAAAAATACACAAACATTTTTAACCCATAAATATTACAAATATTAAAAATGCCTAAAACTGTCTAATTTAATGTATTAAATCAATTTTTAATGATAAAAATAATAATAAATAATTATAATAAGTTAATTACTATATACTGTAGTATATATACACTCATAAGGAAATGTTACAATACTTAATATATGCAATAAAAAAAACAATTTTATAATAATTGAAGAGTTAAAATGTAATTTAAATCAATTAAGCATTTTTTTAGCATTCAATTTAGCGAAACTAAATAAAAACAATAAAAAGTTTTCATTGTTTGTTTGATTAGTCTATGTATGTGTGTATGTATGTATGTGTATATACATGTATGTGTATATGTGTATATATATGTGTGTAGGTGTATGTATGTGTGTATGTGTGTGTATGTGTGTGTATGTATGTATGTATATATGTGTATGTGTGTATTTATGTATGTGTATTTGTATGTGTGTGTGTGTGTGTTTATGGAAATTTGCATATAATGTACAGGCGCTGTATTTTAATAGCGATGATATATCGTTAAAAAATATTTATTTTTTTTTATTTAAATAAATAAAAATTTTATGGCACATTTTATATACAAGGTAATGTTGGGCAATAATAACTATCAATTTTAATACAGTGAATAAATACAGTATATAAAAATAAATAAATAAATAACATTTAGTTTTTATGAGGTTTTAGTTAATCGTAATAATAATAATAATAATAAACTTTAATATAATTTATATAAAATTTTACTGTAATATACTGTAGAATATTTTCGGGTTATATTTTAATTAATTAATTAATTAAATTACTTAATAAATTATAATTTAAATGATCCAAAATACTATAAAAATCTATAACATAAAATAAATTGAATGACATTTATTAATAATAATATAATAATAAAAAATAACATAAATAATAATAGACTCACATTTAATTTATTAAAAAGGGCAGGGTCACGCAAATTAATTTTTCTAAACTATAACTTGCATTAATTAGTTAATTAATTAATTGATTGACATTTAAACTTTTATAAGTTTTTTTTAACAAATAATAAACTTTTATACAATAATAATAATAATATTTATTTGTTTGTTTGATATGTTAATATTATGTGCAATAAATGTGTAAACGTCGCTAATAATAATTTATATGTGTGTTTGTATTTTATTTTTATGATATATTTTTATTATATCAATATACACGGTGGCTCATCAGGAGTTATTTTCAAAATACACCACTTATTTCAAAAACTACTAATTATATTTTATTTTAACAAAAAATATTATAAAATATGATAAATGGGATTACATATTTTAATTAGATAAATTTTCAAAATGGCCGCCATTAATTGCAATTAAATGGCAAAGTCGGGTGTACAAAATTGGATGTTACCCGTACTTTCATATATTGCTGTATGGCCCGTATCTCACTTTCAATCATTTTTGTGAATTCTTCAATAGATTGAGGGTTGGATATGTAAACCATATCCTTAAAATAAACCCAAAAAAATAATCACAGGTGTTGAAATCGGGTAAATATGGAGGTAAAATCATTTCCGCCGCCAGTCTTCTTGGGCACATCCAAACCTATAATCCGATCACCAAAACACTCTCTAAGTTGTTCAAAGATATCTTGTGTTCTGTAAGGTCGTGAACCATCTTGTTTAAACCAGTAACAATCAAGCAATCTTTTTATCTTCAGCAGACCCTATGTCCTGCACAATGATTTAAGTCCTGTAGATCTCTGATATCACAAATTTCTCTTAAAAATATAGGCCCAATTATTTCTTTGTCACTAATAGCACATCATATGGCGACAGGTTCTGGATGTAGCGGTCGCTTGATAGTCAAAATATAATAAATAAGGACAATTTCGACTATTTTTACACCTGACTTTGCCATTTAATTGCAATTAAAGGCGGCCATTTTAAAAATTTTTTTTATAAAAATATGTAATCCCATTTATCATATTTTATAATATTTTTTGTTAAAATAAAATATAATTAGTAGTTTTTGAAATAAGTGGTGTATTTTGAAAATAACTCCTGATGAGCCAGCCTGTATCACTTATTAAATCACTTATATATATACAGTTCACGACAAAAATTTTGATTCGACCTTAATTTGCCGATTTTTCGGTAAAGATATGAACAAATAATGTTCAAAACTTTATAAATAATAAAAATAAAATAATTAATATATAAATAATAAAAAATAAAAAATATTTATATTAAAATAAGCTAATATAAGGATTAATATTTTAATCTCTATAATTTGATAAGCGACTAAAGTTTTGAATCGGAAAGTATTTTCATTAATAAATAAACAAATTTGTAATTTTCGCCATTTTATAATTTAAGTTTATGTTTAATAATTCAAACACGTGTTGATTAAATATTTATTTTGTGAAATGGGCCGCAAGTCTGAGCTTACCGCCGAAGAAAAGGCACAAATAAGGATCCTTCGGCAAGTGAACCCTAATTGGTCAGGACGCCTAATTGCCGAAGAAATCGGGCGCTCGACATCATCTGTAAACCGATATCTTCGGGATCCAGAAAAATTTTTGTCGTGAACTGTATATAAATTATTTACTGAAACGAAAATTTAGCGATATTTGTATTTCCACCCAATTTGCCGACAAAATGCAATACATCTTTAAGATCATCATTGGATGTGACCTAAAAAAAATTTACACAAAAAAAATTAATATAAATAAATACAGTATCAATAACTATGTACCGGTATATTGGGTACAGTAAGTAGGAGGGGTGGGTGGATGGATGGATGGGGTGACTAACTAACCTTGGTCATCATTAGCAGTTTATTCCAGTCGTCTTTATTGACGGCATACTTTCCCGGTTTAAATTCTAATGTTTTGTGTTTGATTACTGGATAGCCGGTTACCAGACAGGGTAGACATTGGCTACCGTCGGCATTCAATAGGCTGGCCTCGTAGACGTCGCCATCGCGCAGGGCGTCCAACGGCAACGATTGGGAGACATGTGTATCCATTGATACCTCCAGTATCCAACTTTTAACTACTTCAATGGTATTCTGGTCGCTGGCAGCAAACGGTTGGGCCGGTAACGGTACCTCATGTGGTATATCAGTGCCGACAAAATCTGAATGATCGACATCGAGTTCGCCCTCATCGATGGCTTCGACTAAATCCAGAAAGTGATTCCAGTAGACAAAAGCCATTTCCAGACGATTGCTATGTTTGGCCACCAGTCCGGCCTCGTAGAAGGCTTTGTCAACTCGTACAATATCGGTGTATCTGAGCAGCGCTACGGTGATCTTCATGGCCAGTTCCGGAGCGTTTGTCTGGCCTGTCAGTCCACCCAGTATTGTCTTCAGGACAAACAAATGTGAGACAAACATATATTTTTCAATAATCTCCAGTTCGGAATCGCTGGATGAAGAACCCATTACTTGATAGAGTGAATCGCGTAACTGTTTCCAAGTGCCGACATTGTTGTCGACCTTATGGCTGTTGTCGTTGTCGTTGTCTGATTCAAATGCCAACAAATCGCTTGCAATTCGGACGACAATCTTCTTGGTTTCGGGTAAAATAAAAACCGCATTATAACGGGTCAGTAGATTAAGGGCATCGACAGGCGACTTGTCTTTGACCAGTTGTGTGCACAACATTATCGTGTATTTGACAATCAAATCTTTGTCCTGATTTTGTTCGGCTAACTTCAAGTTTTGTCTCAGATCGCCAACGTTGCCCATAATCGGCGGCGGCTGATCCGTGTTGTAATAAGCGGCCGAATGTCTACCGGCGGCAATACTGTCGGCACCGCCGCTGCCGCCACCGCTCATCATACTGACAACACTTGATTTACCCGAACTTTGACGAGTGGACGCACCGCTCATATAGATGTCGCTATTTCGGGATTCGGCAATCATTTCGCGTTTGACCGCATCGACCAAATGGGGCGCAAACTGATCGCACACCCGCAACGCTTCCTCCCACATGGCATTGTCTTTGTATATCTTGACGGCCACTTCAATCCGACCCGCTCTCAACAGCAGATGTTCCGCGCGGTTCATATCGTCGACACCGCGTCTTCCTCTCTCCAGAATAGTCCGCGCCTGAGCTGTCAACACATCTTTGACCACTTCTTCATCGCCAACCGACTCTTCGGCCACCCGGAGAGCCTCGTCAAAGCCTCCGTTATGCAAATACATGAGTACCGCTTCTTTTGGTTTATTGGACTCGCAGTACATGACCTCGGCTTCTGAGTATCGTTTCTCATCTTCCAACCAAACGGCATACTTGAGCTTAACTTCGGTCATCTTATGGCGTAATTCGTTACCCGAATTGCTAATGAGATCTTTGGCAAACTCGAACTCGTTGGCATCGACTGCATAGTCGACCACTTGATTCAGTAGACCAAATCGGGACAACAGTTTTACCGCAGCCTCGGCATTGTTGAGACTGACGGCCCAGTGATAGGCCACTTGTTTGGCCGCACTTAGACCGCCATTAGTTCGCGATACCCGATAGGCTTCGTCCCAGTTGTCGGCTTTCTTATACATTTGTACCGCCGATTTCCATTCGTTGGCCGCAATGTAGTGACTTTCTGCCTGATGTAGTGAACCTTCAGTTTCTAACTCCTGAGGAATACAACCGAAACAAAAAACACCAAATCATTCATCACTGGATAAACATTGATAACAAAATAAAAAGTTATTATTATTATTATCCATACTTTTGCTAAATGCAAATGTGTATCATTAAGCAGATCCGGATGATATTGTTTGACCAGTTTGACCATTGAATCAAATTGTCTGATATTCTTATACATACTGATGGCTGAGTCGACATTATCGCATGTAATGTATATTTTTTCGGCTTCTTTATATTTGCCGTCCATTTCCAGTGATTTAGCTATGGATTCGTACATTTCTTTAGCCTCGGAGGTGTCCATCAGTTTCAGTGCCAACTTATAGGCTCTCATGTATTGGCCTTTTTTGTTCAACAATAGTATAGCGTCGCGAATACATCCAGAGTTCAGATAGATTTCGATGGCCGTATCGATTTGATCTTTGCCGGCATAATAGGTACCAATTTTTTTACCATAATGTGCGGGAATATTGTCCAAAATGGATGCTATTTCGATGGCCCGATCGTATTGTTGGGCCGCAATGGCCGCATCCAAAGCTCTGTCCGTTTTACCGGCTTCTATATAATGGTTGACTGCTCCCGACGGATCGTTACATTCGTTTAATAGCCATTCGGCAAACCGGAGCTCCAATCCGACCACTTCGTCGGGAAACTCTTTTCTGGCCAGTGCTATGGCTTTCGCGTAGGCATTGCCTTTGATATAGTTGTCCAACGCTGATCTATTATCGCCGACCAGATTGGTCTCCAACAGTTGACCGGCTTCTTCATAGAACTCCGAACTAACTAAATCTCGGATCACTTGTTCAACAGATGGCTTCTGTATATCGAAACCACGTTTACCCATATTGTTGAGTATCAGTTTACCCGCTTGGATCAGATGACCCGATCGGGTATACAATTTGACTGCTTCCTCGTATTTACCAGATTTTTCCATTATAAGACCCGCTTCCGCTTCCTGTCCCGAATCCAATAGCCAATTGTAGTATTGTTGTTCCAGATCCTGTTTGGTCTCGTATCGACCCGATCGGACTGAGTAATCGATAGCCCGCTGCCACTTATGTAGTCGTATATAGGTATCGATGACTTCATCGAAATCGGCCGACGATGACTCAAACCCGGACCAGTCGTCATCGAGTAGGGCTAGTTTGCTATAGTCGTGAACACATTCCCGGACAAACGTAGCTTTGCTTATATCGCCGATGGCCGCAAACGCACGTTCGGCAATCAATAGGTTGGAGTTTTTCAGGGCAACGTTGGCCAACAGTCGCCACATTGATTCGGATTCAGTGGTCAGAGATAGTGACTCGAGAAATGATTCGGCTCTGAATAGATGATGTGAGGATTCAAAGTGTTTTAAAAAGGGATATACCTATAGTTAAGGGAGTAGTCATTCTAACCTTTCGAGATCGGCGTCTTCTATGGCCGTATCAAACTCGAGCAATACTTCGTCCAACTGGATATCGGTGCCGGTAATGGCAAACAAGACTTTGGTCACACCGTTATCGCGTTCAATGCCGACGGCATCGTTCTGCGAACCGCCCGAAACATTCTGAATGACCGGCTTATCAAAGTCATACCAGACGTACAGTTTATCGCGGGATTGGCCAACGCATACATCACTGCCGGGAACCCATTGGACAAAACCGCAAAAATTCAGTATAACTCTCGATTCCTGATCAAAGATGTCCAACAAATTTAGTTTCAATGACCGATCTCTGAACAGCAACTTTTTGGCCGTTTCGTTCATTTCGATCCAATCGATTCGGTCGTTATGCGACCAAACACATAGCTGAACATCGGATACCAGATCCAAAATAGTGATAGTCTTGATGTCCAACAAATAGGCTAATGTTTTTGTACCACTTTTTCGTTCGTTTATACGGACACTACATATAAAGATTACATTATTTTTATGAATTTCATCGACAGAATCGATAATAAATACCTCATGAGATGTGGATTAACAAAATCGGTCCGAACTGATGCCAACAATTGATTTGATCCCAACTCGACTAAGTATAGTTCGCCGACCAGATTGATGAGTACAACATTTTCGTAGTCAAAACTAAACCGTAGTCCATCAGTGGTCATACCGGTCCAATCGATTTCCGATATTTTATCATTGTTTGACTCGTCGGTAATGTCCGACAGTATCAACGTATTGGTGGTAAAGACAACAACAAAGCTGTCTTTGATAATCTTGACGTCTTTGATGTCGTACGTCGACTGAAATACCTGAGTCGTCCCTTTGTGCAAGTCTTTGACCACCACTTGTCTATTGCCGACATAATTGATCTCCAATTTATCGCCAATTAGTTTTGTACGCCATTTACAGGCAAACAGTTCGACGGCACCGTTGAGTGTGCCGACCATCAGTTTGGTACCGTCGAGTGACCACTGAAGACCAGTGACCAGATACGAGCCGCACAGTTCGATAGTATTTTTTTGACGCCACACCCGAGAGTCCAGCTCGAAGACAATCAACTTTTCCAGCGATGTCAGTATAATGATATTACCGGAGGTCGAACTGATGGCACAGGAGATATCGCTTCCGTATTCAAGGTTTTGTTTAGTGGATGTATTGCCGCCGCCGCCGGTGGCTCTTTGATTGTTGTTTTGTACGACAGAAACGTTGATAAAAGTGATTCGGCCGTCACAGCCGGCCGCGCAAATGTAGCCACTCTGAGACATTGTCAGCGCAAACGGCGGACACGAATGAGTGGCCACTTGTTTGCCGGTGTTATCGCCGCGCGAGTTGTTATTGTTGGCTGCCATCGAGTTCATCATAATCAGGCCATTCATAAAACCGCATACAACAGTATCGCCGCAAACCGACATCGATATAACCAACGATGACTGGCTGGACATTAGGCCAGACATCTTGTTTGTCTGGGTTTGAACTAATTTTACCTAAAAATTTTTTTAATTAATATTATGTCTATTAATGAGAAATGAGAGCTACCTTTCCATCAAGTGATCCAAATAGTATACCCGATTTATGCCAGTATAGACAGGTAACGGCATGTTGTAGGCTATACTTATTGATTATGGCTTTTTTGTCGCCCCTATTATTTTAATATTATTTCAAATATATATATATAATTAAAATAAAAATCATATAATCACATACCAGTGTTCGCCAATCTTATAGACATATATAACATTATCGGTCTGACCGATGGCCAGTTTTAGCGAATCGGGCGAAAATGCGATACCTTTGACAACAAACGATTTGCGGCTAAAGTTTTTGGCCGTCGATTTCAGTGCAAACTTATCTTTTTCCTCGTAGGTATGGCCATCGTATAGTAGTACATGATTGTTAGCCGACGTACATACGGCCAGTCGGGTCAGATTAGGCGATATGGATAGACATTCAATGCGGGCGATACTGAATTTTGGTTCATTTTTTAGCAAATTTTTTTCGTATTTTAATTTCATAGTTGTTTTTTATTTTTTTAAAAAAAGAAGATTTATTTGTTAATTTAAATTCAAATAATAATTATTGATTAGAATTATATATAATGTAATTAATTAATTAAATTTTTATTTTTAAAACAAATTTATATATAATTTATAATCAGATATTCTGTATGTTTTGTTATTATTATATAATATATATATATTCTTACAAACAAAAAGTTTATATAAAATATATACACTAAGTCTCTATGGTTACACCGATTCATGTGAATTAATACATTATCATTACATAATATAATAATAATATTATTATTATTATAATAACTAATACATAAATTTCATAATTTTATATTAGTGTATATAGTGTACATATACTGTACTATTGTTATTATTTTTTATTGTTTAAAAGTTTATTACTAAAAAAAATATTATACAGTTAAAAATTTGATAATATTGATACAATTAATTTTGTTATTTATTATCAGTGTAAATTCAAAATAGCTACTTTAATATATTTATTTTATTATACTGATTCATAAAACATGAATATAAAAATATTTTAAAAATTTATCTAATTTTAAATTTTGTTGTTGTTGTTGTTGTACTATTAATTTTGTAATTTAGAATTTTATTAATATAAATTTTAATATACAGATTAAAATTTATTAAAAATTATGATAATAATAACATATAAAAATTTTGAATATTTCTAAGTTATAGTAATTGTATTTATAATAAATATTTTATATAAAGTATATTTAATTAACAACATAATATCATAAAGCAATTAAATACTATATAATGTAAATATAAATTACATTATTAATAAATAATAATTTCGTATTTAATATGATTTACTTAATAATAAAAAAATATTAGTTATTATTTAATATCTAAATATATTATCAATTAAAGTAAAATTAGTCATTTCATAGGCATTAGACAATCTGTGATACAAAAAAAAATTATTATTAGTTATCTATAATATTTTGTTGTCTATAATTTTGAAGTTATTTTTCTATGATATAAAACAGTATACTTAATAATAATAATAATAATAATACTTGTTATCAAAAACATTTACAACATCAAAATATATGTTACTATTTTAGTCATATAAATTAGTAATGAAGTTAAAGATTTATTATTATTAGTATTATTATTATTACATATATAAATAAATTTATAATTATCACAAAATATAATATATTGTTTATAATAATAGCATATATTTGTTGTTATCATGTTTTTCTTTATTTTATTTTATTTTTTGTTTTGTTAACAATTGCTATAACAATTTTTTGATTAAATTAATACCATTTATTATTGTTATTATTAACATTTATTAAAACTTATCCAATAATATCTTTTAGGTTTTTTAAATTAATATTAATGAATAGCAAAATATAGTTTAAATATTAAAACTTGTTATTCATATCCATTGAATATCTATTGTGTATTAATTTTTATAACATTGTGAATATATAGTACAGTAAATATATATATATATATTATATATATAAAGTATAATATAATGATAATTGAAATTAACTAAAAGTTTTTTTTTTTAAAATGTCTAAATTATTAAATAAATTTGATTTGTGTTCAAAAATACCGGAAGAGATCAAACTAGCGATCAAATTGTTTCACTGCGACGACGAAAATGTCTGGTTTGTGACCACTGACCGGCGCTGCTATACATTGGGCAACAACTATAAGGGTGTACTCGGTTTGGGTCACAATCATAGAGTAGCCGAACCGGAACTGATCCATGAATTATCCGACAAAACAATAGTGAAATTTATTATCGCCAGTGGTTTCGCTTTCTGTATAACCGCTGATGTTGTTGATGATGACAACCATAACAGCGAGATATACAGCTGGGGTTACAATGTGTTCGAACAGTTAGGCAGACCTACCAGAGCTGAATATAGCCGACCAGCGATCCTAGAGGTTCTCACCGATAAATGTGTTACCGATATTGCCAGCGGCGACTATCACTCGCTAGCGCTGACCACCGATGGCTCGGTCTATGCCTGGGGTGACAACAGTTGCGGACAGTGTGGCGGTGGACAACAAACCGATTGCGTGGAACAGCCCAGTCAAGTGATATTCCCTGTAAATACGGTAATCAAATCAGTCTATTGTTGCGACAACAGTTCGTACGGCTTGACCGCCGATGGACTCGTCTATCTGTGGGGTGAAGACCTGTACCGATATGTCAGACCCGATGTTACTGATGTCTATGATTTATTGCCACAATTACTATGGACTTCAATGGCTACTATCGGTCCTATGAAATCCGTATCGTTTTACTATAACTATAAAGGCCTATACGCTTATCATATATTTTTGTTGACAACCGATGGACATGTCTACCGGTGCCGACAACAGAGGATAATTGGCGATAAAAAACGTAAAAATCCTAATAATTGTTTGATAAAAATGTTGGATATTAAAAATGCTACCGAAATGTATAATAGATACCTGAAAATTGATAACATTTTCTATGAGATTACTGGTATTAATGTCGGCAATACTACTACTAATAACAATATTAAAAGTAATAATAATAATAATAATCTTAAATTGAAACCAATGGACGCGTATAGCAATCTAATTGATATCTATGTTGATAAACATAAGTCAACATTACATACAATTAGCATAGAGTTAACTGATGAAAATGATATGCAAATTAATGAGAGAAATCTAAACTATTTTAAAGATAACTTTATGGTAACCAAACCGTTAGGTTCGGGTAGTTATTCATTAACTAGTGTTAACAGTGTTAGACATATTAGTACGGATAAAATATTTGCAATTAAATGTATATTAATTAATGGTAAGTAATTTTTTTTAATTGAAATATCTAATGAAATATTAATTACTATTTTTATATCTCTACTGTATTAATAATATAACTGATAACAATATAAAGTATGGATTTATATTATATTAAGAGTATTTAGTATTTAATATATTATAAGAATTACTAATAATCACATAAATATATACAATTAGTATTAAATTTATAAATTATTTATTAAAAATATATCTATTAATGAATACTGATTAATAGGATTAATACTTTAATTATTAATTTCAATAATAACTGATTTACAATATAATAGATTCAAACAGAGATAATATCTTAAAACAAGTAAAACAATTACTGAATCTTCGGTCCGAGTTTATGGTTAACTGTTACGACCAGTGGTTTGAGTCCAACCAACTATACATTCAAATGGATTTAATGTCCCGAAGTCTTGAGGATGTTATCAAATGCAAGTCAAAGACATTTAACAACAGACAATCCACAGAACCGATGGATTCAATTGAATATTACATTTTAAGTCATCTGATGCTAGAGTTGTGCGAATGTTTGGATTATTTGCACGGAAAAGAGCCGCCGATTATTTACCGACGACTCAGACCCAGTAATATACTTATCAATGATCAGCCAATTAATAATAGATTTGTTAAATTGGGTGACTTTTCCATCGATTTGGACACACAATCATCGGATAATAAATATACGGCTCCGGAGGCTATCAATAGCGGTAATGGACTGGTAGTTGATTATAATGATATTAAATGCGATATCTATAGTTTGGGTGCAATTATAATGGATTTATTTGACATCACTAACGTTAAGTAAGTAAATTAAAATTGAATTTTATAATTAATATAATTAATTAACTTTTTTTTCGTAATATAGTGATTGTTTAAAACTATATGAAAAATCTAAATTGAATAATTACATGGCTAATATTTGTAATTTAACAAAATCAATGATGTTATTACAACATGATGATAATGATAATGATAATAATGTAGATGAAAATAGACCACCAAGGTGCACTAGAAAAATTTTAATGAATAGTTATAGCTATGTTGCCAGCTATACACTTATTGATGATTATTTCAAAAACAATAACAACAATTCATCTAGTACATTATTTTATACTGATAATAATGATGATGATAATGATAAAAATAATAATCTAGTAAACTTATTTCAAAATATATTAAAAACAAAATTAAGGTATTTAAAAATAATTTATTTATAAAAGTTTACTAAAATTCAATTAAAATAAGTTTATTTATAATTATTTATTATTAATTTTTTTTATAGATATTCCATGAATACCATTACAAATATATTAGCTATTGTTGATAAATAAATTAACTATATATAAATATATTTGTAAATATTTTATATTTTAATTAATTAACTTTTTGTAATTACTTAATATGTTTTTTTTATTATACATTGTTTTATTATTAATAAAATATAATTCTTTAATAATTGATTTATAATCTAAAAAGATGTTCATTTTCAAAATTTAAATAAAATATTTAATAACATTTTTTATTAATTAGATAATTATTTATCAATAAATCATCAATTTTTTATTATATTATTATTAGTATTATCAAAATTGATTTTAAACATGCTATTTATTATTATTATTTTACATTACATTTTTTACAATAATAATTAATTTATATATAAATAATAATAATTACCGGTAATTTATATCATCAAAAAACATTGTAATAGTTTATTAATCATATATATAATATGAAATACATAATTTACAAAATGTTGACCAAATAATAATAATAATAATTATTATTATTATTTGTAACTTACATGTTAGTAGCAAATAATTAATTAGCGTATATAATATATAAAATTTTAATTACCAGAAATAAATTAATTAACTAATTAATTAATTTGTAATTAGAGTATGTGAATAATAAACAAAAATATTTTTATTTTATTTTTCAATTTATAAAAAATAAATAGATTCACTAAATTAAATTCAATATAATTAAATAATTATATCCTTTATACATGCAATCTTATAGTTATATAATATATATATATATATTTTTATTAATTAGCATTAAAATATTTTTATTACATAATAAAATTATTAATTAACTATTTCACATAAAATTCACTTTAATTTGTTATAAATACATTATTTATAAAAATAATAAAAATAAATTACTAATGAAAATTTATTAAAAAAATAACAAACAAACAAATTTCCATGAAATTTATGCAAATAATTAAACTTTTATTACAATTTATTCCAATTAATTATTAAATAATGTTTATATATATATATATAATATTTTGATTTTATTTAATTTGATTTGAATTTATAATGTTAAATTTTCAATTCTACCAATTAATTAATTACAGTTTATTTTTCTAAATTTTAATTAAGCTAACTAATTATTTAAGTTAATTAAAATTAATATATACTACCTATATAACATAGTCACATAAAAAATATACCTGTATATAAAGTATTATATATATATATACTGTACATACTGTATATATTAATTTATATGATTATAACCTAACTGTATAAAATTATTATATATTTTTAACATTACATAATATTATAGAGTACATCACAATAATAACAAATAACATAATAAATATAAATACAATATTAAATTTAATTATAATTTATAAAAACAATTTTTTTTCATATATTGTACTGTTATATACTGTACTGTACTTTAATAAACTGTAACATATTATTTGACTAATAGTATAGCAAATGTTTAGATATTTAAATACATCAATGAATGTAAATATCACAATAATATCACATGTTATGCATAATAATAATAATAACACAAAAATAGTTTTTTAAACTTTTATTTTTTTTGAATAACATTTACTATTAGTATTCAGTAATCAATTATATGTTTAAAGTGAGACAATTGTTAGGCAAATATTATCTCATATCTAGTGCTATACTAAGCGCACGGCAACTACCGATCGGTAAACCGTCATCAATGGCCACCACTGGTCACGGATCGGCCGCAACACTGCCGCCGCTAACAACAACGATGATAAGTGCCGACCAATTTTCATTGGCCTACGTAACGGCGCCCGACGATACAGTGGCCAAACAGATAGCCAGGTATTTAACTACTATAACAACAATAGACTACCGATGCGATTATCACTGATAGACTGATATGTCTTAACCCTCTTTGAACAACAACAACAACCAGCAAACTAGTTGCCGACCAATTGGCCGCCTGTGTTAACATCGTACCCGGTATTACATCCGTTTACCGATGGAAAGGCAATGTAGAAACCGATTCGGAAGTTATGATGATAATCAAGACCCGTACCGACCGAATCAACGAACTGACCGAACTGGTCAAAGCTAACCATCCGTACGAAGTGTTTGAACTCATATCAGTGCCCGTATGTCATCTCTCTCTCTCTCTCTCTCTCTCTCTCTCTCTCTCTCTCTCTCTCTTTGTATCAACACTTGAAGATATATATCACACGTGTATTATCTATCACTCGATCATAGATCATAACACGCGTGTTGTGTACCATCACACGTGTGGTTAGTGATCTATGATCAACTAGTATATAACAAACACGTATTTATATCCCATTTAAAAAACACAATTTATAAATGATAAATAATTTTTTGTTTGTTTTTTTATTTAAATGATTTTAATATTAATTATCTTTAATTAATTAATTATTTTTGATTATTTGATTGATTAAATCAGATCCAGAATGGAAATCCCGATTACTTGAAATGGTTGGATGAAAGCATACCTAAAAAAATAGCTACCAATTGATTAAACCCTTTTAATTACCGTATAATTTGTCATAACTTTTTTGTTTGTATATAAATTAAATTAATAATAATAATAATAATAATAATAAATTAACTATAATTTTGTTTAAACTTCTGTGTATTATTTAATTAATTGTTTTTATCATAGTTATCTAAATTAAAATCTAAATTTATTAATATTTTTAACCTAGATAATTATTAACTTATCAAAAAATATTTTACAGTTTTCGTAAATAAATAATTTTTTTTATTAGATATATTATATAATAAAAAATATTATAATTATTACAAAATAATAATAATAATAATATTCAATTTATAATTAATTTTTTTTATAATAAATTTTAACAATATTTTTTTAAAAATAAAATTTAATATTAATAATAAATACATAGTCGTAATTTATTGATAATATATTGATTTTTTAAATAATATTGTACATGTAAATATTATTGTATAATAAAAATATTAAACAAAACAACGTATAATAATAATAAGCCATTTTTAAATGTCATATTATTTTTTAAACAATTTTATTAATATTATATTTAATTATAATTTATTATTATCAACAAATAAATTAATAAATTAATAAAAAGTTTTTATGAGTTTTTTTTGTTGTTGAAAAGTGATATACTGTAATTAAATAAAAAAGTCAATTACCTATTTATAAATAATAACAACACATATCACACACATATTTATTTACTTCAAAAATGGTCCGGGGTAAATGTCAAATTTTTATTTTTTATTAAATTTAAATATCTCATATATTTTATATAAATAGATAGGTCTATAAATAAATAAATAAAATATTTTTGGACATGTTTCAAATTATATATAACTAAATATACTATTTACTTCAAAAAAATTAAAAAAAATATGTACAATGCTACAAGTTACAAAAAAAATTAAAAATTAAAAAAATTTAATTATAGTACATTGTACATTTGATTGTTTTTTTAAATAATATTTTTTTCCATTGTACAATACTGGTATTTAAAAAAAAAAATTATGACAAATTGTACATTGTCATAATAATAATAATTATTATTATTATTACAGTATAATATATATATATTGTTTCAATTACATCAGCAAAAATTTGTTTTGTTTTATAAATTTTGTTTTGTTTTTAAATAGACATATCATATATATTATAAAGTTTTTATATGTGACATACTGTACATATATTATATTATATTATCATATATTTTTAAGCTAACGTAATGATAATAATAATAATAATAATTTTTTTGTTGGCACTAAATAATTAATTGTCATATAATTTTTGTTGTTGCGGTTAACATATGTGTGGCAAACAAATAAAACCAACAAATAATATATTAATATATATAAAAAAAAGTTTGACAAACAAATAGTTTTTTTTGGCATAATTTTATTTTTTTTAGTAGTATTTTCTATACACTATTATAAATTATAATAATATTTATTAGTAGTAATAATAATAATAACGATAATAATACAGTTTTATTGGTGTAATAAAATAAAAAAAAACCCATAAGTTTTTATTATTAGCAAATTTTTAGGATATTTCTCTATCTCTATCAAAAAAAAGTTGAAGTTATATAACAAATATTTTTATTATATTTGAATTTTTTCCCTTTAAATACTGGTTTAAATATATATATATATTAACAATAATTCAATAACAAAAAAAAATATTTTAACTATTTTCTAATAAAAATGAATTTTATTTTAATAAATAGTTTACTCGTATAGTACTTATTATTATTTCACATAATTAACAATTTTATAGCTTTTTAAAAATACAAAAACACTGTTATTTTTTTTGACAATATATTATCATCTATATATTGACATGAAATTGATTGCTTTTTTAAAAAAAAAACTTATAAACTAACTTTTAAAACACCAACAACTAAACTATTAAATAGGAAAAAGTTGTTCAAACAAAATGGTTATTACATTTTGTACAACAAACTATATTTTCATTTATCTATAATCTATAATAATATATTTGTTATTTATTATTAAACAAAACTACAATAAGTTATATAATACACAATAAATATATGCTTTTTATTATTATTATTATTAATTGCTTTTTATTAGATATGAATACAATAATTCTCTTAGTTTTGTATATATATATATAATACAGTATACAGTATATACTATATATTAGATTATATGGTATATAAAAAATATAATATATATATATATTTTTGATATCAAACATTTGCTGACACAACACAACTGTTTGACACAATTTATATATATATTTGTCTGTATGTTATTATATTTTTATTATTATCACATAAATTATTGACTTTCCTAATACTACAGTTATAATTTATATATATATTAATTTTTTATATAACATATATATATATACTGTTTTGTAATATACTATACTGTATGTGTGTATAAAATCATATTATTTTTTCTATTAATTTCTAGTTTTTTTATGAGTTGTCGGTTTAATATGTAGACGACTATTACAATGTTTTTTGTTGTTGTATGCCTTTATACTGACTATATGTAGTATTAAATTTATATTTATATAATATAAAATTACATGTGTATTATAGATATTGTTTTATAGGAAATAAATATTATATTATATTACAATATTCAATAAATAGTAAATTTTTTTTTATGTTTCTATGTATTAAATGCCCAACAAATAATCTATATATATATTTATATAAATAAATTGTTTATTCCTATTTCCTTATATTGCATGAAAATTATAAAATTTATTTTTATTTTATTGTTATTATTATTCATCTATTTATACAGTAGTAGTAGTATTAGTAATAATAATAATAATTGTTTGCTAACATTTAACAACAAATAATAATAATAATTTAGATAATTGATTTGAAAGCACGTAAAACCCATTGGTTTTTCAATGATGTTAATAATAATAATAATAATAAGTTAGGATTTTTATAAGATATATATATATATAAATTTATATATTAACATAATTGTCGTCAAAAGCGATTCATAGCGAGAGAAAAAAAGTGAAAAATAATATTCATAATAGTTATGTCACAAAAAAACATATTTATATATATATTTACATTAATTATTTTTTTGTTAGTCAGTTAGTTAAGAGAGTCATTAAAATAGATTTACTTATTATACCAAAAAAAATACTTAAAATATATAAATAAAATATAAAAATTTTCATTTGGATTAGTCATTAAAATAGATTTATATTTATATTTATATACAGTATATATATATAATACTGTAATTACAGTAAAAATATTCTATAAGTTTCAAAACCAACCAACAAAAAAAATGAGGAAAAATTATCTCTAAATGAGATTCAATGAGAGAAAAATATATAAAAATTTTATAACAAATTTTTTGTATTTAACACAAAAAAATGCATAAAAATAAAGTATAATTCAATAGTTTTTAAAAAGAGTTTTGATATTTGTCACTGAAAAAAAATGATAATAAATATTTATTATTAAATCTCTGTATCTTTTAATGAGAGAGAGAGAGAGAGAGAGTTAGTCAGTCATCATCCACTCCTCCTCAATGGTAGGCCTGTCCTCTCAATACGCATAGTCGAAGTCATTCATGTATTTAGGTCTTCATCGCAATCGCTGTTTATATATACAGTATATATACTATATATATATATAAAGTGACTCTTAAATAATCAATAGGACGGACTCACCTTTGCCTACGACTCAGTCAGTATATACTGATATCATATATATATATATATGATACCAGAGCGCTGAGGATCAGTACATACATACAAAGTATATGTTCTGTATATATATATATACAATATTTCTAGTATTTATTATATATTACGACAAATAACAACATCAACACAAACTCTTTAATAAGTTTTCTCTCTTTATATATATATATATCAGTATAAAAAAATATATATATCTTTATATGTCTATCCAATTATTAATAATTTTTTGTATAATGTTGTGTACAAGAGAATCGATGACATAGATTGATAATAATAATAATAATATTATCATTTATATCCAGTACAACTTAACCACACACACACATACACTAATCAATTATTATATTACAATTATTAAATAAATATATTAAATATTGTTTACCAGTATATCACTAATAAAAAATTATACTGTTTTTATCACCCATTGGTTTTTTGTTATAAGGGGTACCTCTTTCGACAAATAAAAAATTAACGATAATAATAAATAATAAATAATAATAAATTAATTTTTTGTTTCAAACTTGTTATATAAAAAGTAGTAGTAGTATAAAAATTTGGTTGATTTTTGTTGATTAAAGTTAATAAAAAAAGTGTTTATTAAAAAAAATATATAATAAATTATAATCGATAGTAAAAGTGTGATTTGAAATTCATTATTATTATTATATTATAATATTTTATATTTCATATAATATTCTAAACGCTATATAATTTTTTTTGTGGTTGTGTTTTGTTGTTGTTGTTTATCTCAAAATTATATTGTGTTATATATATATAGTATATATCTATATCTATATCTATCTATCTTTATCTGTGTCCATCCCGAAAGCCCTATATTATGTTTCCTAATATGTCCGGCAATCGCAAGCAAAAGATGATGGGCGCCATTGGCGGCAACCGATCTAACGGTTCCCGAGTCGCCCGAAGCCCACCACAGTCTCTGTCGTGGTTTTCAAGTTTGAGGGCCGCCTGGACTCTGGCTAAGCTGCTCTAGAAATTTAATAATAATAATAATAATTAATAATATTAATAATTAATAATAATATTCACTCAATATTAATCACATTATATAACTATTATTATTATTATGTAACATCATTATTAATACACACACACACTATAGTATATCATTATTATATATATACAATATCTTTTAATCATATTATTATTATATCCAATATATATATTATCATTTATTATAATCATAATAATTATTATTATGATTATTTAGTAGTACAAATATTATTAATTATTAATCGGATTAATATTTTCAAAAAATTATTTCAAAAAAAGTTGTTATTCAATTATAACTATATATATATATATATAATATATTAATAAATTATAATAAATTAGTTGGGAAAAAATCATAAATATATTTTAAAAGAATTTATTATTATTATTATTATTATTATTTATTAATACATATTTATTATCTCAACAAAAAAAATCTCTGAAATCAATTGTTTTAATATCAATAGTAATATCAATAGTAATAATAAAAAATCAATAATAATAATAATCAATATAAATATATATATATACGATATGAATATCATATTCACAAATTAATTGAATTGATAATGATAGTGATGATGATGATGATAATATTGAAATGTTTACTACACATATATATTAATTAATAATTAATTTTCTTAAAAAAAATCACTCAAAATTTTTTTTAAAAAATAATAAATGTCATCATTATTATCGTCCATCAATTGTTGCGCTAACTTAACGCCCAGCGAATGGTTCGGTGGTCTATTCAAACAATGCGATCCATCCGAATGTAAGTCCCGATCCCCCGACACACACATTAAAAAACACAACTTTCCTTATAAGTTGATTATCCGATTACCACTACACACACACACACATAAACATACCACCGATTGATTGATTGATTGATTCATTAATTCAGAGATTATTATTATTTTTTGTTTTTTTCATTTGGTTTTTTTTGAATGTTTGTTTGTAATTAATTTGATTTTAATTATTTTTTTCATGTTTTTTTTTCGTTAATTTATTAGTTTGTTTGAATATACGTAACTTATTATTCAATAATAATAATAAATTGTTGTACACACTAATAGTTAGTTTGTTTAATAATAATAATAATTATTATTATTATCTTAATATATATATATGCACACACACACACACACACACACACACACACTTGGTTTATATCATTATAATTTTTGTTGTTGTTTTTTAAAAAAAAATTATTTTGCAATTTAATTACCGGTATGCATTTTTTATTTTTATTTTATTTTATTATCACTATATACTGTATAATTTATATACACACATACATGTACACGTTATTTATATTATTAAATTAAGTGCTTTTTGATGTCAATTATTATTTATAAAAAATGTGTTTGGTAACATTTGTGATATTTAGCATATGATTTATTTTTTTGTTGGTGTGATTTATAGTTGGTATATAGTTTTGTAGATAATTAATAAATTTTATTTTTAGTGTATATGGTGTGTGTATGTGTGTATTAAATATCTAACAACAAAAAAAAAACAATTTATTTTTGTGTCATTGAAATTTGTGTTTGAATTGAAGTTTGTTTTATATAGTTTGTTATAATTAATTAATTAATTTTTTATTGATTGATTCCCACATTTTCATGAGTATATCATATCTATTAAATGTTTTTTTTAAATAGAAAATTTAGTTTTTTTTATTTGTATATAATTATTATCAATTTTTGTTGTTGTTGAGATTATTATTTTTGTTGTTTAGTTTCAAAATGTCATTTAATTTTTGATATTATCATCCAATAGGTTGTTGTGGCTGTTGTTCGGCTCTTAGGCCACGATATAAGCGATTGGTTGATAACATCTATCCATCCAATCCTCAGGTATGTGTCCTAATAATAAAAAAATAATAGCTATATATTATTGTATTTTTTTTAAAACTATTGATTTACACAAATTCAAAAATTATTAACACTTTGTTACAAAAAATTTTTTTTATGACTATTTATTTTATTTTTTAAAGCCAAGGTTAATATTTTTTAACTGTAAACATATGTGTGTATATGTAGACAATCAGTACTATACAAATAAAAAGACCATTAATTATCAATTTTTCCTTAAATAGATATACTGTACCATATAATAAAAATCATATAATACAGTATAGTATGTATATAAATGATAACTTATATAATAAAAACCCCATTAAAGTGCAAATCGATTGGTTATACAGATTGTACTGTATATACACTGTTAATGCATGAAATATAACATAATTATATATATTATTAGGAATACACAGAATATTCTGTTTGTGATTATTATATTTGATTGTTTGGGAGACGCCTTATAAAAAAAAGACTATTAATTAGATTTTATTCACTTATTATTATTATTATTATTATTATTAAGGATGGTTTGGTTAAGTCAAATATGGAGAAACTTATTTTTTATGCCCAATCGTCGCCCGAAAAGTTAGACCGAATCGGTGACTATGTGGCCCGTAAAGTGGCCCGAGATTTGTCTCGGCATAGAAATTGGTAATAATAATAATTAATTTAATTTAATAAAATAAGCATTTTTTAAGATTATTTGTTAACCTAAATATTTTACATAATAAAATTTAACAAAAAAAAATTCAACAAAAACAAAATTATATTTATTATGGATATATTTAAAACATATTTATATAAATAATTAGATAATAACTTAATAAATCATTGATATAATTCTTATTATTTTTTTAATTTATAAAATTACTAATAAATTAAATCTTTATCATATTATTATTATCATCAGTTATGTTGTGGTAGCCATGGAAGCAATGGACCAATTGTTGGTCGCATGTCACGCACAGACACTAAATCTATTTGTCGAAAGTTTCCTAAAAATTATTCAACAACTATTGGAAAGCCAGGAGCCGGATATGCAGATATTGGCCACACAATCGGTAATTACCGTAATAATCAATAATATAAATATTTTTATAAATTAATTTTTTTTGTTGCCATTTCTCTGAACAAACAAAAAAAGTTTGTTAAGTTTGCGAACATCGAAGAGGACACACCATCCTATCACCGGAGATACGACTTTTTTGTATCGAAATTTTCCTCACTCTGTCACAATGGTAACAACAATCTGGAGATACGGAATACATTGAGAACGGCCGGCTTGAATGGCCTCAAAGGTGTCATCCGGAAGACAGTCAGTGATGACTTGCAGGCAGACATCTGGGAGGAGACACACATGGATAAGATAGTACCGTCACTGTTGTTCAACATGCAGTGCCAGGACGTTATCGGAGCATTGACCACAACAACAACCGACTCGACCGCCGGCGCTAACACTACTGTTCCCGCGGCTGCCATAGCCGAAGAATGTCTGAAAGAGCTGGTCGGTCGGGCCGCTTTCGGACACGTGCACAGTGTAGTCAAACCTATATTAAAACATTTAGATAATCATCATCTGTGGTCGGCCCGTCATCCCAATGAATTTGCTGTCCATTCATTCAAAATTATAATGTATTCAATTCAAGCTCAACACTCCTACGCAGTCATACAGATGCTGATGAGCCATCTGGACGACATCAGCCGATCGGCCGAGCCGTTTGACAGCCAAATTAAAATCCGTACCGGTATTGTCAATGTATTGTCGCAGATCGTAGCCATATCGGCATCCGAATCAATTGGTCCGTCCGTACTCGAGATGATCAACTCGCTGTTGCATCACTTGAGAACATCCATAAGCAATATCCAAGAGATGGGCTACGCTGACGAAGAGGAACTATTCCAGAAGACAGTGATCGATACGTTGGGCGAGTTTGCCAACAATTTGCCCGACTATCAGAAAATCGAAATTATGATATTTATAACGAGTAAAGCGCCGCCAACTGCGGCCGTATCGTCAACCGATAGTCAGCTACAGAATATCATATTGAAGTCACTGCTCAAAGTCACAACAAAGTACAAAACAGTTCAGATGACCAAAGCGTTTCCGACATCGTTTCTGAATCCGCTACTCTCCCGATCGTTGGCCTCCAATCCGAAAGTACGGCTAACTGTTCAACGAATATTTCATCAGCTGCTGGACAGACACAACAATCTCGGCAAACTGTCCCGACCAGTTAGTCTGTCGTCACCCGATATGTTGGCCATGGAAAAGACCGACCGACACGATCTGATGTTTATGAAAAAACATGGAACCGAACTCCTGTTTCATATCTACGAAACTATACAGATTGCTAACAATACCCAACAAAACTTTGCAGCCATTTATACGACACTGGCTCTACTGTGTGTTGAACTAAACTCTGAGGAAACCCTAACCGAATTGTTGCGGTTAACGTTTGCCGTCCAGGATCTGGCAGTGGCCAAGACATCGACACTGAGCGAACCCCATAAGTCATCCATTCATTGTCTAGTATCTGGTTTTCTGCATCTGATCGGCCATTTGACGGCAATTCCCGCTTACTGTGCGCACGTCGAACAGGTTATCAAAATGCGTAACGAGAGGACACCGTGGCTGTTGCCCGAGTACAGTGCCGATACCAAGTCGGCTCTCGGCAGCGGAGGACACAACAACAAGAAGCAGGATGTAATCGATTCGACACTGTTATGTTCAACACCTGATGACCTATTGGACGAATTAGTGTTCAACAGGGCTGTCATTTCGCAGGCATTGCAAAGCAGTGGACACGATGTTAGCAATTTGATGACACCGTTTATGCCGCCAAATGTCGGTATGTATTTGTATTGAATTGAATGAAATGAATTTTTATGTATTAATACTATGATTTTCAATCCATATAATTTCTCTGGCGACCCCTCCCCCCCACACACACACAGTCGACTCAACAATGACCAGAAGTGTTAGCGATATCAACACTATTACTGTCGAAGTAGACAGTGTTAACTCATCGCCAGGATTGCCACGAGTATGTGTGATAATTAGCTGCTGATGATGTCTTTGTTTAATTGATTTCATTGATTTCATTCAATCCATTACATCCAGAGACAACCAGAAGAAGATATAACCTTCGAATCGTTGCGTAAGATCATCAATGAGCCGATTTCAGCCAAACAGGATGAGCTCGAATGCAAACGTCTTCAGATTGTCGACCGTTTCCGTAACTCGTCGTTTCACGATCTCATCAATCGATACGAACGAAAGGTATTAAACCAATTGATAATTAATTTGTTGTAATAATAATAATAATAACTAATCACTTGATTGATTGATGTGTTGTTAAACCATCCGATAAATATAAATAGCAGTCAAACGATTTACAACATAAACTATTTGAAACGTTTTCGAGATTTTCGACACCAATTAAAACGATTGAATCAATTGGTGGACATGAACTAAGTGTTGACATCGAAGTTAACAACGCTATGGATTGTGTCGATGGAATAACCAGCGATGTCGAGGCGGACGACGACGGCGGCAATGATGATGATATCGATAATAGTCAGAGAGGGCTGGGATTACGTAAACAGTTGACAGTCGACGACAATAGTTGGCATTTCTATGACAATCCATTGAGAGAGTTATGTTCCGAAACTGATGTCAATAGCGCCGGACCACCGCTTTTTGCTCTCAAATTTCCCGAACTATTTGTTTATTAGTTCTCTCATTATATATATATATATTTAAATTATAAATTATTATTATTATTACAAATATATATTAATATATATATATATATATATATAATAGTTGGTTAAAAAAATACTGTTTATATAGTTTTAAAATTATATATAAATTTAGATGTTTAGACCAAAAATTATATATACGTATATATATATATAAATAAATAAAAAAATATATATAGTGTTAACCATTTTAGAAAATATATGGTAATTATTATTAGCAACAAAATTTAAAAAAAAACTGTTATCAAATTAATAAATATTTATTAAAATTAAACACTCGTTTAATTTCTCCATTAAAAAAACAATCATAAAAATAATCCATTTGTTTCATTATTTATCATTATATATATATAAATAATTATAATTAAATTTTATAGATATTATTTAATAATAATTGGTTATTAAGTTTTAACAATAGGTAAAAAAATTGTTTAACATGTGTATGTGATGTTCAAAATTACAAGTAATTATCGGTAATTTTTTTAAATTTATAATTTGATTGATAACATTGATATAATTAAAAAATTAATTAAAACATTTAAATTAAGTCCTCACTTGAAAATTGCCGGCTTTGGTCATATATTTCACACCTTTAAATGGCTTATATTTCTAAACAATCAAAAAAAAATTAAATTAATTATTAATTTAGTACCAAAATCTTTAGCTTATATATACTATTAAAAAAAAAAAACAATACATACCTCGCCATACATATCCAATCGATTAACTTTCAGTCCCGAAATGGACAGTTGACTAACACTAAACTTAACCAATATCGTTGGATTGGCATCTGGTAAGGGTGCACCAGTTTGCAGATTGATTATACCCCTGATGTTGGGCAATCGGGTTTGTTCCATACGGCCGACATCCCATACCATCAGTTTGGATACCGTATCAAACGTGTACTTACCCTGAGTAGGCGTAACATTAACATTCAATACGGTTTTCGGCATCAGTATTTCGATGACAACATTTTCAAGCTATCAAAAAAAACAAACAAACATTAATTACCGAATTAATTTACCGATAATACCAACAAACAAACAAAAAACCGTTTACCAGTTTTCCCATTGTCTGTTTGGGTCCAATTTGTATCTCGATTTTACCGGCGCCCGCCTCCTTAAACGATATATGATGGCGTATGTAGATGGGAATCGATACCATATTCTGGGCACCAATATGATAGGACATCAAACGAAAGTTACCGTCGGGCGGTACAAACGATAGGACACGTTCGGAATCCCAGCGCCTGAATCGGACACACGGATGAAAGCTAACGTCGTCGAAAAGCCTGGGATTGACAAACGATAGGCTAAGATCGGGCATTCCCGACAACTTTATACAACAGTCGATCTGTCCATTAAAAAATAAGATGAAACACACAGTTAGCTAAAGAGATAAAAAGCCTACCAGTGCTGAGCTTTCTCAGCGGTTTAAGTGACTGTAGTGTGTCTTACATATCCTTGAATTTCAGCGGAAACTACTGAACCGCTCTTATCGATGATGGCATCAATTTCTTCGATGACATCAAAGTAGGCTTCGTTGTTGTTGTATTTGACACCTGTCCGACGCCACGGCACATTGGATAACTGGCCCGACGGTAGGGTTGCGCTCACACTATATATATATATATATAATCATCAATCAGATGATAATATAAACAAAGATTAGATCCACAAAAAAAACAAATTCTCCCAATAAATAATTACATACTTTGTCCGACCGGTAACCGTATTGGCGATTGTTCTCAATATGTTCGGCGGTTTAATCAGTTCTTTCAGTATATTGGCTTCGGTGGCCAACGGAAAACCATTGTCAAGCATTTCGTCGAGTAGTTCGTAGACCAGAACGTAGTGTTCTTTGATTAGTGATTCGTTGCAGTCGTTGAAATAGTCGACGAGATTGTCGACCACTCGGTGCAAGAATTCGATGACAAACAGCGGCGGTATTTCCTTGTGGGTGACGGCCACAAAATACAGGCCACTGCGATAGATGTGTATGAGATAGTGATGCGGTGTGGCCATTACGGGCGATATGTTGGTCGCCGATTGCTGGCGTTGTTGGGCTTCGATAAAGTAGTCGCATACCGATCGATGGACAACACTTTTCCAGTGTTTCTCCATAAAGATATCGCTGAAGAAGTGGTGGATCCAAGAGATAGACAGAAGAGAGAGAGAGATATTAATAATCACTTCAATTGATTCAATCAAGTTGTTGTTTACCCGCTTTGGTTGATAATAAACAAACTGTCGATCATTTTTTTTTTGGTCGCCAATGTGGTAGTGGCCAGTAGTGATGGTTCGGTATCAGTGTAGCCGTAAAAGTCGGTCAACCGATTGGTTGGCCAAACAGTTATGAATAGTACTGTATGTTAGCTAACAATATGTATATTAATATACAGTCATTGACACACATATGTTGTCAATACATTTACACTGTATAGCATATATAGAGTGCACAGATGTCCACAAATTAAAAAACAATCAATTATTTATTTTTATTTTTTGGAAAATAACAGTACATATTAAATATTGTAAAAATATTGAAAATTTATTATATATTTTATCATTTAATATATAATTAAAAAAATATAACTAAAATATATATAGTTTTTTTTTAATTAATTTGATAAAAATCTTATAAATTAAATACTGGACATTTAAATTTAACTGTATTTTAAGTTGTTAAGAAATAAACCAACCCAGTTGGCAACCTTAGCAAAGTGGGCGTATCGTTAATTAGGTTTCAAACAGTGATTGGCCAAAAACATTGTTTGTTTATATTGACTACACTATTGAACTATTAGGCCATTAGTAGTACATTAGTATTAATAGCGGCTAATTTAAACACAACATTGAAATTTTTTTTTATTTAAAAAATTTATCTAGATAATATATATACATATGTACACTAAAAACATAATCTAATTTCGTATCGTAAAAATATTGATATCATTAACTTTAAACTTTAATAACTTTTTTATTTTTTAACTTAAATAAACAAATTTGATATCAAATAATAGAGTAATAAATCACAATTAAATTGATATACTAGATGGTCAAAACAATGGTTTAAAGAACAAAATATATCAAGGTAAAGTTATAGGTGTTAATAATTTAGGTACAAAAATTATTTTCGTGTTTTTAAAACGCGCGTGATTTCAGACACATTGTTGGGACCAATTGATTCCAATGCATTGTTATTAATTTGAATACACGTAAATAAACAGTAAATGCAGTGATTATCATAAAAATGGTTAAAATACAAGAATTTTCAGATGCAATTCGCCAACAAATGTATGATATGAGAGTCAGCACCGGAAAGTCATACGCAAAAATAGCGGAACTGTTTACAACAACTGATAATACTGTCCGATCAATTGTAAAGAAAGTCGAAAAGTACGGGACAGTTAGAAATCTCGCAAGAAGTGGTCGAAAAAGATGTACCAGTGCTAAACAGGACAGGATATTGAGTCGAATTGTGGCAAAAAATAAGAAGTTGACCACCGATGAGATTAAGGAAGAGTTGGCCGCCAGAAACATTTTGTGTCACAGAAACACTATTAGACACCGGATTCAAGAAATGGGTTATTACAGTGGTATTGCGCGAAGACGTCCAATGATAAGCCTAACAAATCAGAGAAAACGATTAGACTTTGCACGAAAGTACATCCGGATGCCTATGTCATACTGGAGGAAGGTCTTGTGGTCAGATGAGTCAAAATTTGAGATTATTAGTACTAAACGTCGCCAACGAGTGTTTAAAAAGAGAGGCGAAAGCATTAATCCTGATAATATATGTCCAACTGTGAAGCACTCGAAATCAGTTATGGTATGGGGGTGTATGACAGGCCAGGAAGTTGGCCATTTGGTCGAAATTCCATCAACTATGGACCGCTACATTTACGTTAACGATATTTTGACCCCACATTTGCTTCAGAGTGCCAGAGATCTACAAATAAGCGATGATTTTTTATTTCAAGCGGACAACGACCCAAAGCACACATCAAAATTGGCAAAGAAATGGTTGTCTGACAATCAAATTGAGACACTTGAGTGGCCGCCACAGAGCCCTGACCTCAATATTATTGAACATCTATGGGATGAATTGGACAGACGTGTGCCAAAGAGCGAAAGAAAAAGTTTTTCTGCGTTTAAAGAGTCGTTATTTAATGTCTGGAAAAATATACCTGAAGAAGTCACAGAAAAGCTGATCCAAAGTGTTCCAAGAAGATTGCAGGCTGTGATTGATGCCAACGGAGGCAATACTCGATATTAATATTGTTTTTACTAAATTAATAGCTTTATTTTGTTAATAATATTTAAAGTTTTGATTTCACGAAAATACTTTTTGTACATAACTTTTTTTACCATTTCTTACTTCTTATGCTTTTTTATAGATAATATGATAATTAATGCAATTTTATTTATTGACTTATAAACTTTGAAAAGTGTTCTTTCATTTGATATCAAATTTGTTTATTTAAGTTAAAAAATAAAAAAGTTATTAAAGTTCAAAGTTAATGATATCAATATTTTTGCGATACGAAATTAAATTATGTTTGCAGTGTATATATATATATATATATATATATATATATACGGTATATATAAGAGCCCAATAACTAACTATAATACTACTACTTGACAATTGTGAACACACTGTGCCATAATATATATATATATATATATATATATATATATAATATCATATAATATAACAGACAATTTTAGAGGCCATATATTTAGAGTATAGTAGACTTTCCACTATTAAAACAAGGGCTATAACTGTTATGTATATATATATTATACCCCGGTATATAAATTTATATATAAATAAATTTTAAGATTATATATATATATATATATATATATAAAGTAGTATTTTTTGTATATAGTATAATTTAAATAAATTTATATTATAACATTTTTTAAAAAAATTTTGTTTCTATTAATAATGATTGAAAATCTATTGATGAATTGAAAATATTTATTTAATAAACCATTTTTTTGTTGAAAAAATTAATTTAATCCTTTAAAAAATTAAAAAAAATTAGATACTATTACTACTATGTTTGTGCACAGTTATGCTACAGTCACACTAACTGATGATGATAATAATAATAATTAGTGTCTAGATTATCAAAAATAAATAATATAAATTAGTCTAGGTTATTTTAAATCTAGTTGAATTTATTTATATAATATATTTATTATAATTATTTTTAATGACAATAACTATATAAAATATATATATATATATAATGCATATACATGTATAAATCAAATATTTGCACAAATATTTATGCTTGTTGATATATGTTTTATTTGTCTTATTTTTTTTATTAGCCCACATACCGCTAAATACAATACAATTGAATACATATAGTCAAGTACAATGTACTATACATTTACATACCAGTGCTTTTATTATCAAGATATATAATCTAGGAGATACTACTACAAACAGTTTATAGTTAGTTATGTGTGTATGCGCCTACTCAGGCCATTAACAATTTTTCAGTGCACTGCACACACATACAGTTCCCTAAGTGCACAGTTAGTTAGTTAGTTAGCGCGTCCCTCAAAATAAAAATCACCCTAAACTTAGACCAAAGTCTAAGACAACACATAGAGGAGGAACAGTAGTGTGTGTTTGGGATTCACTAAAAGAGAAAACTCTTGTGTCGACAGAGAAATATGTTCACCACATGTGTTGGCCCAACACTACTACTACTACTACTACTGTGTGGTCCCATAAACTGAGAGAAAATTTTTGGTTTATTTAAACAACCCATTGATTTGCATTTAATAATAATAATAATAATTTGTATAAATATATGTATATATATATGATATGATATATTCTGTGTGTATATATGTATGTATATATATAGATAAGTTATAATAAATATATATATATTTATAATATCACATATATATATATATATATATATATAAAATATATATATTCTACATAATGGCGATTACACGGCACAAGTGTAGCGCCAAAAGCGGACCAAAAAATTTATTTAACAATTATCTCAATAGTAATAATAATAGTCATAATAACAATCATTGTTATCGCAGTGTTTATAATCGCATAGTTTTATTAATATTTTATTATACTATTTATTGTTCATTATTTATGACAACCGGAGTTCATCCACAGCAACAACAACGACAACATACTAGTAGTGGTGGTAGTGATAGTTATAACAACTATTTTAATCGTTTAATCGGTGCCAACAACCACAACAACAACGATGCCAGTATCGTCGGCCCGGCCACCGGTCCGGTCGTTGGCCAACAACAACAGCCGAGGCCGGCAAACGACGAGTCCAATCGATGCTACGACGGCCGCAATCGACCCCAACGTTGTGTACCCGAGTTTGTCAACGCCGCCTATTTGGTACCGGTCGAGGCTACCAATACGTGCGGCCAGTCGGGTATTATTGAATACTGTGTACAAACGGGTGCTTCGGGTGCGTCGAAAAAGACGTGCGAACTGTGCGACGCTGCCAACCGATCGTCGGCCCATCCGGCCAAGTATTTGACCGATTATAACAACAACAACGAACAAACCTATTGGCAAAGTGAGACCATGTTCGAGGGCATACAGTTTCCCAATCGGGTTAACCTAACATTGCATCTAGGTAAATTATTATTATTTCATGTTTTTTTTTATTAATTAATATTTTTTAGTATTATTATTATTATTATTTGTTTTGTTTTATCAACTATAAAAATATTTAGCTAGTTAAATTTTTAAAAAAATTAAATTGAATACAGAATAATCAATTAATTATTATATTTATTTTTATTTTTAAAACTTTAAATTAATGTGTTTACTATTGTAGTGAATATTAATCAAATATATAATGAAATAAAATATAAAAATAATAAATCATTTAATACATTTGCACATTTTATTGTATTGCTTATTAAAACATTAAAATTAATTTTAGCTAGTTAACTTTTTCTTTAAATGTAATATTTAGTATATTCAATCAATATTTTTGTATACTGTATCCAAGTTAATCTAGGTTATTGCCTGGCATTTATTTAAAAAAAATTAATTCATAGATTAACCCTTTTTTATAACTGTCTGGTTAGCAATAGTTAGATAAGTTATATAAACAAATCAATCATTTTATATATATATTTATAATGTATTATTGATATGCATTTAATTAAAATCATATTTTACTGTTGAGATTATTATGTTTTAATAATATGTATTTATCAACAATTATTTATCTCTATTTAACAGTATATATATATATAAATATAAAACACAAAAATTATATATAAGATATTTAATATAAGAGGCGACAGTTAATGTCAAACAAATTTAATTTTGTTGTTTTGAAAAAAAATCTTGTTATTAGACAGATATTAGGCTTAATGTTTGAATACATATAAATTATATATATATATAAAATTATTTATAAGTTATAATAAAAATAGTTTTTATTGTTGTTTCAATTATGAGAAAAATTAAAATAAATTTATACATAACATATACGTTTTGTGACATTTATTTTTCAACAGCAATAGTAATATTTATTTATTTTAAAAAACTAAACTAAAATATTTGATATTATTTGAAATGTATAGATATTTTCTCATAATTTTTGTTTTTTTTTTAAATTACAATAATTACTATTTATTATTAATAATATTAAATTTTAATTGAGTTTATTAATTACTAATATACTAATGTATTTTGAATTTCATGTAATTTTTTTATATAATTATTAATATTTATTTATAACTTATATAAACGCACTATTAGTTACAATTAAAACTATTATAAAATATTTTTTTAAAACTATCAATTGTGAATAATATAGTGCATTTATATTTAAAAACTTTATCACTACATGTATTCAAATAAAACAAAACAAAAATATTACCAAATGTTAAATATAGCGGAAATTTGCCACTTTTTTTTTGGTAAATTACTGGTAGTAATGGGTAGAAATTTGATACCCCATAATAGCTATGGATAATTTAGGTGGTGGGACAGTTTTTCCCACTAATTGATCATGGTCAACATGGTGACCTTGAAAACTTTTGATATATATATAMTATACTATACACACAGTTAACGAGATTTCTCATCAGTATCTTTTAGTAATAAAATAAATTATTTATTTAAAGTTATAACTATTTTAACTTTGAAATAATAACATAACTAACTATAAATAGTAGTAATCAATTTGAATTTATTTATTTAATTTATAAAGTTCAATTATCTTCAATGTTTTTCGTTATCATAATATAAACTACAGTATATATATATATATATATATACTCTTATTTTTACATAAATTAAATAATTTTATTTTTAATAAGATCTAAAAATATTTAATATAGTTTTTAAAAAACACAATTACTGTAATTGATTGAATAAATTGGATTACAATATGATATTTTTGAAAAATATAATAATTGATTTAATTGTCTAAAATATCTATTTTTTATTTCACAATTCAATTTAATTTTTGAAAATTAATTTTATTGTAAACTTTTATTAGGATAGTACAGTATTTAGTTAATAATAACAAATTTAATATTATAGGAAAACTAAAAAAATTTTTGTTTTGTAAATTACTATAAGTTAATATTTGATAAGTAGTTAATGTTATAATTTAGATAATAACAATATTAATCTAATATATAACATTTATTATAATATTATTCAATAATCATATAATATTAAATAATTACCACTTTTTTTATTTTGTAGTTGTATTTAACATATTATTAATCAATGAAATTGAATTTTTTACCGGAAAACTTATTATTTGTCTAATAATACTAATAGTAATAATAATAATAAAATATAATAATAGATTTCCTTTTTTTTTGGTTTGCTGTTGAGTTAATAATTGAGATATCAATCATATACAGCAATACTATACTCTAGTATACTATTATTATATTGTAGTATATAATAGTTTAAGTGATTTTTTTAACGATACATAACTGTTATATTCAATAACTTTCTTTTTTTCTTACTATTCACACTAATTGATAACAAAAAAAAAAATTATGCTATCTTTAGGGGGTGACTATGTGTGAGACCAGTTAGCTCTCTCTCTCTCTCTCTCTCTCTCTCTCTCTCTCTCTCTCTCTCTCTCTCTCTCTCTCTCTCAGTTGAGTACACTTAAAACACTACAACCCTAAGCACACAGACCTACCCGGGCTATACACAGACAGACAGATTTCATTCAGTTTTCAAATGGGATGAAAAAATGAGATTTTTGCGCTAAAAAAACTCTCCACAGAAAAACATTAACTTTTTTTAAAAAAAAAATATATATGTTTTAAGTACCAGTATTTCTAGTGAAATAAAAGGAGAGAGAGAGAGAGAGAGCTAACAAAATACATGTTTGCATAGAGAGAGAGAGAGAGAGAGAGAGAGAGAGAGAGAGAGAGAGAGAGAGAGAGAGAGTTTGTTATGACATATACAGTGCCAGAGAGTGAGTGAGTAAGTAGTCATAAGAAAAATCCCTTTAAATGACTTTTTTTTGCTTAAAAATCTAAACCTAAACTAAATGTACTGTTATTTTTAAAAATTGTCTGCTTTTTTGAAGATTACGACCGCATTTTGTTAATAATGATGATGTCTGTGATTTTATATTTATTTTAAACACACATTTGAGAGGTTAAACTTTTAAGTATACAGTTTTAAACCCTCCTGTACTTAACATTACTGGTTTAAAAAAAATTATGTCTATATTTATATACAATACTTTACTTATTATATATATATACTGTATATACAGTATATATATAGTTTTTCAACAACATTGAGATTTTTAAGTTTTTAAATATTTATATAGAGAAAGAAAAATTATATATAATATTACTTATCATTAAGCTTGAAATATATATATATATATATATATATAATAAAATCATTTATAATAAACAATATGAAAATTTGCAACAAAAAACAGACACACATATTGTATCAGTGATTATACAAATTAAATTTTTAACTGTTATAATCAGTATTTTTGGCTTAAATATAAAATGTTTATTATTATTACTATTATAGTTTGGGATTAAGTTTTTTCAGTAAATTTATTATTTTCAAACTATTTTCGGGTCGTCTAAAAAAATATTTAGATTTTTATTTAGCTATTTATTTACATATTTATTGTATTAATAATAATTACTATATCTAATGAAAGTTTTAAAGCTAATATATTTAATTAATTTAAACATCTAGCAAAATTAAACATTACAAATATAAATTTTAAAAATAATAATTTTAAATAATTAAGTTGAATAAAATTTTTCAAACAAAAAAATCTATTGTATTTGAATAATGTTTTACATATAGTATATAATATTATATGATAAATAATTTTATGGCAAATATATTTATATATATAATCCTTAATATGTAATTGTAAGAGAAATTCATGCAAATTCACTGAAAAATTTTCTTAAAATAGACAAAAATTTAGAAACAAAAACAAACAACAAAAAGAAAAAAGATTGGCTGAAAATTACTTAGAAATATACGGCAAATAATTGTATATATATATAAAGTAATAAACAAAAGTTGTTAATATGCCGTAACATATTATTATTATCCAATCTATATAAATATATATATTATATGTATATACTGTATATATAGATATAATATCGCTGAACATATTTGGAAATTATTGTCTAAAGTTTTTCAACGAAAAATTTGACGTTTAGTTTTTCATTATACTATTTATAAATTCAATAATAATAATAATAATAATATAGTTTTTATTTATTATTACTGTATTATTATTATTATTAGAAAAATAATTTATTTTCATATTTTTCACTAATATTAGTATTATTAATATTTTTCAGGAAAAGCATTTGAAATAACATACGTTAGATTGAAGTTTGCGTCGCCCCGTCCCGAAAGTTTTGCCATCTATAAGCGTACAACAGAGGACGGCCTATGGCTACCGTTCCAGTACTACAGTGCCACTTGTCTACACAAATACAATGTTACCGAATCGACTTACGCACCGCCGGTTAACGAAACCAAACCGTTGTGTACGAAAGAATTTTCGGATATATCGCCCCTAACCGGCGGTAATGTTATATTTACAACACTGGAGGGCCGGCCCAGTGCTGTCAACTTTGAAGACCATTTACTGTTGCAAGAGTTTGTGACGGCAACTGATATACGGATAACATTGGACCGAATGAATACGTTTGGCGACGAAATTTTCGGTGACCCCCAAGTCCTTAAGTCATACTATTATGCAATTTCCGATTTTTCAGTCGGCGGGATGTATGTATACACCAACAAAAAAAACACCACTAACTTTCCTCTATCGCTATATAATTGATGATTGACTGACTTTCCCGCTCCCACTACCCATATAGATGCAAATGCAATGGACACGCCAGCGAGTGTTTTAGTCCGCCCGGAGCCCAGCGGACAACTACCCAGCGACGGCTGATATGCCGGTGCGAACACAATACGGCCGGACCCGACTGTAACGAGTGTCTACCGTTTTATAATGACCAGCCCTGGAGACGGGCCACCGCTAAAAATGCTTATGAATGCAAACGTATGTCCAGTTTTTAAAATATATATATTTTTTATTTTTATAAATTTAATATATTTTACAAATAACATATTTTATCATAATTTAGTCAATAGTTATTAATTTTAAAAAAAATATTAATACAGTATAAATATAGATCTAAACTATAGTATATACTAGAAGTCCAAAATAGTCAATGTATTGGGAAAATATTATAATATAAAGTTTATGACAAATTTGGTTTATTTTGAACTTTTACTTATATAAGCAGTTATTTAAAAGCTATGTTTTAGTCATAATTGATACTATACTATATTAATATGTATATAAAATTTAAAAAAAAAACTCAATTTAATTACAAAGTTTAAAACTGTATATTATTTTGAAAAATATCTTCTATTAGATTTAACTCAATTCTAGTTTATTATATTTAGTATGTTTTACAACCACTTTTTTATATTTTTTTTTGTTAGAAAATTATATAATATTTTGTTGATAATGAAATTTACTATTTAATAATATATTAATATATCATTTATTTATAATATTAAAAAATTAGTTTATTAAAATAATCATAATACAAGTATATACAAGCGGTAATAATATTATATAAATTGTAATAACTAGTTTATAATTTTAAAAAATTGGATTTTTTAAAAATCATATGGTTTGCTAATAATTAAAAATTATATGATAGTTTTTATAGTTGTAGTCAAGATAAGCATAGATCATATAATCAGATATTATTATTATTATAATAATGTATAATATTTTAATATAATGAAACAAAACATATTATATTTTTAATAAAATAAATGGCTAATACTTAAAATAATATAATATGACAGTATATATTGCACAGTGACTTATAAGCCCTGGACTTAAATAAGTTATAAGATACCAGTCCTCCCACACTTGATATTGGACTGAAAAAAACACATACACAACAAAATACAACAAATAAATAAACCAAAATTTAATGTATATTCTTATATAATAAAACTTTATTTACAGTATATACTGTACCACATATATCAATAAAAATAAAACAATTTTCAATAATAATTTTTTTAAATATATATCTATATAGAAAAATAATCTAGCATAAGTTGCCAAATATTGCATAATTGTTTTTTTGTTGTTGTTGAATATACTGTTATATAAAATATTATTATATAATATTTGTATAAATAATAATCAAATAAATATTAGCCATTAATAGTGTGTTTTACTTTCTAACTATAGAGAGAGAGAGAGAGAGAGAGAAAGAAAGAAAGAAAGAAAGAGAGAGAGAGAGAGAGAAATAGGATAAACAACTTCCCACATATTATAAGGACAGGTAGACCGGCAGCCAATATATAGTAATACATAACTGTGCAACTTTTTTTAATATTATAGTAATATTATTATAGCTCACATATGCCCGTAAAGGGCCAAAAGCGAGACAACAGTATTTTTTCCCAATACTACTAACTCTATAGTTGTTTAATATATATTAAATAAATGAAAATAATTTTTTTACCCTTTGGTTTCATAATATAATTGAAAAAAATTGTATCAATAATATTGATTTTTAAGCAAATCTATCAATTAAGATACAATAATTGTATGGAAATTGATTGTTATTAATAGAAAATATCGATTTTACTAAACAGGTGTTAACTCCATAGTTATATTAGTTTTAATAGTTTTTATCGTTTTTTTACAAAAATAAAATAATAATAATAATAATAAAGTTTTCCAACACTTTGTGTGTATATCTCTGAATAAAGTCTAGTCTTTTAATAATAATATTAATAATTATTTATTATTATTATAATAATAATTAACTCGGAATCTCAATAATATCAACGATGATCTTCAAATTAAATTCAATTATTTGTTTAATAGTATTATTATTAGCCATTAATTGGCAATATATTGATTGTAAGGGTTTCCGTATGAGCGGTAATCTGGTTCAGGTCTGGACGGGAACTGATTGGGAAAGTAATGACCATAAAAAAATTAATAATTAAATTTAAAAAAAAAATAATTAGAAATTAAATTATTTATATTTAGCTTAAGATTTATAAATCAAATGATAGATTTTGTTTTAATTTTTTAAAAATTATTATTATTATTCAAAAAAAAAAAAAATTCATAGCATGTAATTGTAACGGAAGATCCAATCGATGCACTTTTGACCGGGACTTATGGCTAAAGACTGGTCACGGAGGTCACTGTCAGGACTGTGCCGATTATACGTCGGGTCCTAACTGTGAGAGGTGTCGGGATAACTATTATACAGCATTGGATAACCGATGTCAGCCATGCAATTGCGATCCGATCGGTAACTAATATTTATAATTATTACATTATACTGTAGTTTTATTATAGATTTATTTGTAAATTTTAATTAAATTTTAATATTATTTTATTTTAAGGATCCATAAGCTTACAGTGCGTCGGCACCGGACAGTGTATTTGTAAGCCAGGAGTCGAAGGTCAACGGTGTGACCGATGTTCGCCCAATTACTATGACTTTACGATGACCGGGTGCCGGTATGTATGAGTCAGGGTGGATATCAATAATTTGACCCCTCCCCTCCTAAAAAAATGATACTTATTATTTGAATTTTTTTTTCTCTCTCTCTACGGACAGGTCGTGCGGGTGCAATGTGGCCGGCAGTTGGAACAATACGGCCTCATGTGACCAGACAACCGGTGTCTGTCATTGCAAACAGAATGTCGAGGGCCAGCACTGCGACAAATGTAAACCGGGTTTCTTTGACCTGCGAGTGGACAACGAGTTCGGTTGTTTGCCGTGTTTTTGTTACGGCCATTCATCGCAGTGTACGAGTGCACCCGGTTTTTCTATGCATACAATCGAATCGGTATTCCAACGGGACAACGAACGTTGGACAGCTCGGGACAGGGGTGGCCGCGAAATACCCCACCAGTACGATGCGGTACAGAAAAATATCGGTGTAACGGCACTGTCGCGCGAACCGATCTATTTGGTGGCGCCCGACAAGTATTTGGGTGACCAGCGGGCATCCTATAACCAGTTTCTTAGTTTTAGTTTGCGCATCGGCCAGGAAGGCCCCCGTGCTACTGTCGAGGATATTGTATTTGAGGGATCGGGTCTAGTGGTGTCGCAGCCGATTTTTGGCCAGGGAAACCCGTTACCGTCGACCCGATTGCAGTCGTACAAATTTCGCCTGCACGAAGACGTACGCTATGGTTGGACACCGCGATTGAGCACCAAAGACTTTATCAGTGTACTGTCCAATTTGACGGCATTGAGGATTCGGGTAACCTATTTGTCGTCCGGATCGGGTTCCTTGGACGATGTCCGGCTCGAATCGGCTCAACAGTTGCCCTACAACGAGCGGGCATCGTGGATCGAAATGTGTACCTGTCCCGAAGGTTATGTTGGCCAGTATTGCGAGTCGTGCGCACCCGGCTATCGTCACGATCCGGCCGGCGGCGGCAGCTTTAGCCAGTGTGTACCGTGCAATTGCAATGGTCACGCCGAGTATTGTGACCCGGACTCAGGTATTTTTTTAATCTATTTTTTTGGGTACAAACTTAATCCCTAATAAATTTATTAATCGTAATAATTATTAATTAATTAATATAATTAGTATACAGAATATTGTTATTTATTAGTGTATATCTAGTTAATGCGTTAATACTATTAATTTTATGCTTTTACTCTAATACGTTAATATGAAATTTACATTTTAAATAATCAATTAATATAAAACAAACTAATCCATAATAATCTACCCCCCCTCAAACCCCATCCCTTTCCACCCCTCCACGGTGATGGTTCACTTACCCATTAAAATATAGGTCGCTGTATATGCGAACATAACACTGCTGGGGATAACTGTGAAATATGTGCGTCCGGTTATTACGGTACGGCACTAAAAGGTACTGACACTGACTGTCAAACCTGTCCCTGTCCTGAACAGGGACCCTGTGTTGTACTACCCGACGAAACAGTGGCCTGTCTACAGTGCCCGCAAGGCTACGGAGGTATTGTTGTTGGTGGTGGTGATGGTTTAACAACCCATTAACCATAACTTTTTATAATAACCACTCTAATCAATGTAACCACTAATTAATTACTTACTATTGTTGTTGTTGTTGTGGACCAACCAACCAAACCCAACCAAATAATTAGGACACCTGTGCGACCTATGTGTCGATGGATACTCTGGTTATGGTTCATCATCGGCATCGTCAGCGTCGTGTTCGCCGTGCAATTGTAACGGCAATATCGACCCGAACGCTGTCGGCAACTGTAACACCACTACCGGCGAGTGTCTAAAATGTATACACAATACCCACGGCTTTCAATGCGAAAACTGTTTGCCCGGTTTCTATGGCAATGCATTGGCCCACCCGAAAGGCAACTGCAAGGCGTGCAGCTGTCATCCGTTTGGTACGTACGCCGAGTCGGTAACCGATGCCGCGCGTCCCTATCGCCCGTCCTTTAGTCCCTATACATCAACATCGTTGCAGTCGTCGTCGCCGTTAATGTGCAATCAGGTGAACGGTCAGTGCAATTGTAAGCCCAATGTTATGGGCCGTCAGTGCAATGTCTGTGTGGAAGGCTATTGGGATCTGAACTCTAACGAGGGCTGTCGGGCCTGCGATTGCGATCCAATTGGTTCGTTCAATCGTACCTGCGATGACCTAACTGGCCAATGTCACTGTAAACAGGGTATTACCGGTAAACAGTGTAACGAATGTTTGCCACTTAATTTTGGATTTTCGGCGAAAGGCTGTACCAAATGTGACTGCGATCCGATCGGGTCTACAGGTTCACAGTGCGATGCCAATGGCCAGTGTCCGTGTCGTCCGAATGTTGAAAGCCGACGCTGCGAACGTTGTCGTGAAAACAAATACAACAAAGAGGCCGGTTGTCTGGACTGTCCGCCCTGTTATCGGCTGGTCCAGGAAGCGGTCAACGATCATCGCTTGAAATTGACTGAATTGTCGCAATTGCTCGACGAAATTGAACGCAATCCGCAAGTAGTGGACGACATGAACTTTGAACGACAACTGTCCGAAGTCAACACCAAAGTCCAGTCACTGTTGGACGACGCCCGACGGGCACAGGGATCCGATGGGTCGCTGATTGCACAGTTAGAGTCGCTGAAAGACCGAATCAAACGAATACAGGAAACAACTGGCCGTATTGCTGGCCAATCGGATCATATTAGCCTATCCACCAGTTATGGACAGCTAAACATATCGTTGGCCGAACAGATCATTGAACGGGCAAACGATGCCCTATCGCAGGCCCGACGCCTACTCGATTCGGACGGTATGAGTGCACTCGAAAAAGCTCAGCAACGGTCCGATCGGTTTGGCCAACAATCGCAACGTATGTCGGAAATTGCACGCGAATCGCGAACACTGGCCGATAAACACGAGACCGAAGCCGCCGACATTGAGCGAACATCTCGCGAGGCATTGAATACTTCGGATACGGCTTTCAGATTGGCCAAAGATGCCATCGACACTCAGGAGGCCAATCGTAATGAGCTGAAGAAGATTACCGATCAACTGGAAGACACAACAGATTTGTTGTTGCGAACCGAAAAGATGTCCGAAGAGGCCAACAAAGGTGCGGCCAAAGCCCACGCCGATGCACTGGCAATGTATACGGACGTCAATGCTATTGTTGTCCAAAGTTTTCCGTCGGAAAAATATCGATTGGATGCCATCGATATCATCGAACAGGCAAAACGTTTGGTCAAAGATGCCGACGATCTGCTCGAACGGCACGGAAATACATTGAATAATACAAAGTATCAGCTGAAAGATGCCAGAGATCTGCTGGAAGAAGCTATCAGACAACAACAGATTACCGACGAACTGTTGGCCAATACCGATGCCGCTCTGGAAAAGGCTAAACAGGCCATCGCTGGCGGCGAGAAGATATTGGAGGACGCGAAGAATACGTTGGCCACACTCAAGGAGTTTGACGCCGTTGTCCAAGAGAGCAAAGGCAAAGCGGAAGAAGCGCTGAAAAAAGTACCCGAAATTGAACGTCTGATCACTGATGCCGAGGGCAAGACAACCGACGCCGAACAGGCTTTAGAGGGCGCTCTGACCGATGCCGTCGAGGCACGCGATGTGGCCAAAGAGGCACAGCGTATAGCGGAAAAAGCGTCGGTTGATGCCGATAGAATTCGCGGGGAAGCCGGCCATACCAGGACTCGGGCCGGAAAATTGAAAGGACAAGCGGAAGAGTTGGCCGCCGAAGTGGACGAAACATCCGAACGAATGAAGGGCTACGAAGATCAGGCAAAGACCGATGAAGGACTGGCAAAAGAGGCGTTGGGCAAAGCAAATCAAGCGAAAACATCGGCTCAGGATGCGGCCCGAAAAGTGGCCACTTCGGGCAAAACAGTTGACGACATACTCGACCAATTGGGTAATCAATTGTTTTTGTATATATATATATAAATTGATTTGTGGTTTTAATAATTGTCTTTCAAATTACATGAATAATATCAGAGGGTTTGGATGATATCGACGCCTCTTTGCTCGAAGATCTCGAACGACGACTGGCCAGAGCCGAACAAGAGGTCAAAGACGCTGATCTCGACAATCGTATGAACGATCTGAAGACCGTTCGGGAAGAACAGAATCGCTGGATGAGAGACTACGACGAAGAGATTCGCAAACTCAAGGAAGATGTGGCCAATATTGCAACCATTAGGACATCGCTTCCCGACGGATGCTTCCGAAGAGTTAAATTAGAGCCTTAAGAAAAAAAATAGTTTTTAACTGCAAAAGTGCTAATATTTTTTTTTGATTATTATTATTATTATTATTATTTTGTTAATTTTTGTTTTTTTATATATTAATAATATAACTACAAATTTGATCCAATTATATAGCATCGACAACACACACACACACCACACATACATTGATTGATTGATTATTATATTGTGTATAATATATTATATTATTATTTTTATTATATATAACTTTTAATATAATAATGTTTTTTTTATAAAAATAATTATTAATATATAAATGTTTAGTCGATTGAGTTTTATATTTATATGATATATATTTTGAAATAATTATAACTAATATTTTCTTTCTCAACAAATATTATTATTTTTTTGTGTTTCATTTGAAATTCAATTTATTAAAATTAATATTATATATAATTGGATTATAAATTCCCAACACTAGGTATATATGTTTTTTTATAATTTAGTCTTTTTGAAAAGTTGTTTTTTATATATATTTTTTCATATTTATTATGCATTTATATTTTTAAAGTTTTTTTTAAAAAAATTAATTAATGGATTCGCGTTTGTGCCAAAACAAAAAACTAAAATTTTTATTTGATTAACTGATTTAATTAAAATAAATATAATATAATATATATATTTATGTTTTGTATTTAATATAATTTACAAATAAACATATATTTCATATATATTGATATATAATGCAATAATAATATACTTACAACAGTAATAAAACTTTATACACTTTTTAAATTATGTAATTGTTTTTTTAAATATGTCATTTAATTATATATTATTATTATTATATTGATATTTATTCATATCAATTGTGAAACTGCCAATTAATATATATTATATGTATTGTATTATTGTCATTTTAAAAAAAATTATTATTAATTAATTAATTAAAATAGTAATAAAATTATTAAATTTAAATTTAACAATTTAGTTATTTTTTTGTTGTTGGTACGCATGCATATAATAAAACATATTTAAATTTTACTATATTAGCTAGTTTAATTTTAATCATTAAAATAATTATATTGTTACAAAAAATTTTTTTTAAAAACTTGCCATAAATATTAAATCCAATAATATGTGTCCTAGATAAATTGATTTTTTTTATTGATGATTATATTGATATAATATAATAATACAAATAATAGTTGAAATTTATTTGATTTTATTTTCAAAAATCAACCGATTTTCTCTTCAATGCCTCAATTAATGTCTGTAATGATTGTAATAAAAAAACAGTAATAATAATAATAAACATTATATGGATAACTATACTGTCAATTAGTAATTGATTTATATTTTACTGAAAAAAATCAATTTGCTTTAGTTATACAGTTTAAAACCAACAAAGAAAAAAATAGGAAACAAAAATTATCTTAATTACTGCTATTTATTATTATTATTATTTTTTAGACTATCCTAAGCAACTATTTTCAAAAAAAATGTTTTTAAAATTGAACTAAATTTTTAAAAATTCAAAAATAAATAAATAAAATTTTGCAATCTTTTAATGTATGCTTTCAGATGTACTGTTTTTTTTGAGCTAAAATTAAAATTTTATTTAAAAACTACTAACTTATTAATTGATACAAATTTTATATACCTGTATATATTGTATTGGATAACAAACTAAAAGGTACTAATAGTAATAAAATTATAATATATCTTAAAATTTATAACTTATTTTTATTACTTTATAAATAACTCATTTGTAATAAAAACAAATTTCAATATCAAAATGTATATAGATAAAAAAAAATTAATAATATTTTAGAAAATTATTTCTGTACACTATTTATTCACATATTATTTTTTTAGTCATTTAAATGATAGTTTCAATTATTTTAAAATGAAAAAAAATTAGTAAAACCTTTATATTATTGATTGACTCATTCATTCATATATATAATAATATAATAGTATACATACTCTTTGATTAGTAATAATTGAATTCAATTGTTTAACTTCTTTACGATGATTGGCATCCAATTCATCTAATATTTTGTCTTTTTCTTCACCAATAACTGCTAATTGTTTCTCCATTATTGACAATTGATTCCTCAATAACTCATTTTCCTCTTTCAGTTTGTCTGACTAATCAAAAAAAAATTAGTAATAATAATAATAATAATATAATTAATTGGAGAGAAAAACAAACAAACTTTATATATTACATGTACTGTATATCCATACCTCATGTTTGCATTGAATATCATTGAAATTGTATCGCAAAGCAGTCCTCAAACCGAAACCTACGGCACTATCTCTTAGCAAATCTGTAGACATTAATGTCATTTTCAGTTCATTGCGAATCCCATACAATAGTAATCCCCGGTCTATACTCTCGACAGTTACTTGTCTTATAATTTCATCTGAAATTTTTAAAAAAATAAAACAAAAATATAATTTCAAGTAATAATAGCTAAGTCCCGCTATATATATATCTAATTACCGAAACACTGGTCATACAAATATCGCCTAACGGGACAAATACCAGTTTCACGGGCTCTGAACTCATGTAAACTAGTGTCCAATTTGTCTTTAACTGACAGCACATCCAATCTTGTGGCCGGAACTGTCGACACATGCGATTCATAGACATCATTGTTTAAGTCATCGCTAAATGATCTTTAAAAATAAATAATTAATGATTATTTAAGAGATAAATATTTTTTTTGATACATAATTTATAATAACTAAATATAATAATTAATTAATTTTATACTTAATTTTAAACATTGAGTCCAATGTTTTTTGTAAAGTTTCTCCATTATTATCATCATTGATGTCTAATTTCTTTTTATTGTCATTATTATTATTATGTTTACCATTATTTAAATGTTTACGTATTGGATGACTATATTTAAGAAATGTTAATTCAATTGGCAAATCTTCATTCATTTTTGTTTCAAAAAAATTAAATAAATTGAATAATAATAATAATAATAAAATATTATTGTATTATATTTTCTAATAACAAAAAATTCATATAACAATTACCATTAGAAACGGAAGTTTATATATAKATAAATATATACCTATTTTTTATTAGACCTATTAATGTATAATTATTTTATGATAAAAATTTTGTAGCAAATTTTTAACAGTATTATACATTACTATAGGTATTATTTATGTGTTGCTTCACAAAAAAATAAAATAAATATTAATTGACATAATTAATCATTTTATTTTGATTTATGTTAGAAATATTTGTATCTATAATAATTAGATTTTTGATATTTAAAATTAAAAATATAAACTAACCAAATTATTTTAACTATTTTATAATATATGAATACAAATATTATTACTGGTATAAAGTTTAACATTAATATGTGAATATAACCTATAAAATTATTCATATTTTATTTTTTTCAAAAAAAAAGATTAAAATTAATAAATATTTTATTAGTATATTATATTTTATTAAAATCATACATTGAATTTGTTATTTGTCAATGAATAGTAATAAAAATATACATAATATATGAAACATAATTAAATAATATAAATATATATATACACATAACTAATAATTAACTTAAACTATTGGTACAATATTTTTAAAACCATACAAATAATAATAATAATAATAATAATACAATATTTTACTTAACACTTTCTATTACTGTATTTATTATATTGATGAATACCTGTATAACAACAAAATAAATACAATAGAAATAAATAAATAGGTTCATCATCAATTATTATATTTATAAATATCGCATATATATATAATTTTAATAAAATTTTAATAAATAATTTATTTTTAATACTGTTATGAACTAATTTATATATATATATATACAGTATATATATATATATGTAATTGTAATATACAGCTACTATTCCATTGGTTATTATTTATATAAATATATATTTAATAATATAAATAATTTTTCAAAGAGAGAGAGAGAGAGAGAGAGAGAGAGAGAGAGAGAGAGAGAAAGTGAGAGTCTATAACTCGCGGGAGTAGTAGTTATCATATGTATTATTGAAGTACCACTTGTTCTTCAAGAGGTAATACCTGAGCGCATGACCTCAAAAACTTTTGTAGGAAAACGGCTTATAATATACTTTATATGTATTATTCTCTCTCTCTCTCTCTCTCTCTCTCTCTCTCTCTCTCTCTCTCTCTCTCTCTTTCTTTCTTTCTTTCTCTCTCTCTCTCTATTGAAAAACTTTTATTGAAAATTAGTTTTAAAGTTTCACTTTTACTTAGAGTGAAAAAGTTTTGTGTTTGAATATGTGTTTATAAGTGAAAGCAATGAAAAACTTTTACTTTTCAATTGCAGGTAATATAGTAATAAATTTAGTAATAATAATAATAAATAAATAGATAAATAATAAAACTAACAAATTCTTTAGTGCTTTTATAAAATGTTTTTGACAATTAATAATTGAAAAACTTTTTATTGATTGAATTGATTTTTTGTTTTTTGAATGAATATAATTGTATTTAAATTTTGTTTGTTTGTATGTATGAATTAATTTAAATTAGTTTATTGGATGTGCCATTCAAACAACAATAATAATAACTGTTTATATTTTGTTAAATTTATTTAATTGTTATATATATATATATATATATATATATAGTTTGAATTTTTCTTCAATTGATAACTAAATTATTAAATTTTTGTTGTTGTTATGGGAATCGAGAATTTTATTTTATTTAAAAAAAATGATAAAATAATTGTCGACTATTGAGAAAAAACAACAACAAAATGATTTTATTCAACTCATTATATGTATTGTTAATATTAATAATAATTTCTATCAAATGTACTGTCAATGAAACACAAACTACAACAACAACACCAACACCAACAACATCGACAACAACAACAAAAAGTGTGGAAAATTTCCTAACAATCAATACAAGTGTCGGCGCCGTCGATGATAGCAATCTTGTCGACAACAAAACAACAACTCTGGTGCCGACAACTACTACTACTGTCATCGATGATGACTACAATGACAACGACGACTCGGAAGATGACATCAATGGTAACAACAACAACAACAACAGCACCACCGATGCTGAGACCATCATCACCGGTGATGATGAGGACAACAATGAAGAATCAGAATTTCGCGAACCACGAGATCCGTCAGAATTTATGGACTATTTCGATGATCTAATGGGTCGGACACGTGTCCGACTCGAAGAACTATTTGAACAATATATGCCACAACTGATACAAATGAGTTCAACAGTCCAACTGTCCCCACAGTGTACATTGGATGCCATTAGGATACTTATGGGACTAAGAAAATTGCAGCCCTGGGCTATCAAAAGTATGTTATATTCAAATATATATATATATTAATGATATATACAGTACAGTAGTATTTTATTGGCTTTTAGTTTTTCTTAGTATACATCCCTTTGTTATATCGTTTATATTATTTATATTTATTATTATTATTTAATACCCGCTATTTTTCCCTTTAATTTTATTATTTATTTCTCTCCATCTAACAGTTTATATATTGTTTATACAAAGTTTTATTAATCAATTTAATTTTATTTTATAGTATAAGTTAATTGGAAATATTTGAGTAAAATGTGTTAATTTTTTTGTTTGTTTGCTTAAATATTTTTTTACTATACTATAAAAATGAGTTGAACTTTTTTGATTGTTTGATTTTTAGTTTGCTATTATAATATGATAATAATTATTATTATTAGTCAAATATATGATATATTGAATATATAATATTTATTTAATTTATAAAACGTGAAAATACAAAATCAAACAACTAAAATTATTATTATTTTTTAATTAAAACACAATTTTTACAAACAAATTATGCACAAATAAATTATTTTAAAAATCATAATGACTTTGACATTGGGTCCACACTCTTAAAAAACAAACAAAAAATTATTAATTAAATTATATATATATATATATTATAACAAATTTAATTACAAATTCAATATCTTTTAGATCTGAATGAATATAATAATAATAACAAAAATATTTGTTTCTTTATTAGCTTATCTATCAATTAGTATAGTTTTTATAGTTTGTGTTGACATTAATTTAATACAGTATTTAATAACTCCCAGGTATTTGATAGCTGGCAAAAAAATTGCGGTTAAGTTCACATCACCGGTGCTATAATACCCCAGCAGTTAGGTGTCAGTGCCTCAGGTATTAAGTGAAAGTGAACTTTTCAATTAATATTAATAAAAATAATAATAAATTCAAAATGAATTGATTGCTAATATGGGTCAGTAGTTATTTTCAATACATGTACAGTATATTCAATATATATATATGATATTAATATGTGTTTTTCAATCTCATTATAAATATCTGCATTGTTTTTATCTCATAATATGTTTTTTTATAAAAAAAACTTTATTACATTTAGATTATAATGTTTTATAAGATTTTATTTTATTTAAAATTTTTAAATGATATTAATTGCATATACTGTAAATATTGTATAATTTATTAAAATTTATATATACAGTATGACATAATAATTAAATTAGGTTATAAATTAGTATTTCAAACTATTATAACTATAAATAAATTATTTTACCTAAAATAATCGACAATTAAAAATCAATTAATCATTTAATATAATATTAATAAAAATAATACCATAATAATAAATAAAATTATTTAAAAATTCACGGATTCATGTCATTAAATAATTAAAAAAATTTCATTAACCGGTCGATACCATTGTAAATATATATTTACAGTATGTGATAGTATACAGTATTTTTTTTATTAATCGTAAAATTATATTTAATAGTACATTACATAACTATAATATAACTTAGATTAGTTTAATCATTATCTCAAATATCATACATACATATTAGCCTTTTGACATCAAATTAGTTTATATGTTATATTTATAAATCAATTTAATTTATTATATATTTTGTTGTTGTTGTTGTATATGCGTGTGCATGTATGTATGTATGTGTATGTGTGTGTGTGTGTGTGTCTTATTAATTAATTTATAAACTTTTATGCTCTTATAAACACTTGTAACACAAATTTGAATATAATATACAGTATAATAAAGTACAATATAATGTTATATAATAATAATAAATAAAAAAGACAAATCTGTGCTAATATTATATACAGTTATATTAACAATTAAATACATTATTTTACAAATAACTAATTGAACTTTAATTTCCACTGTTTTTAATTTTGTTGTTTTTTGTTGGTGAAAATGCTTACTGAAAATGTAATTATTTAAAAAATAGTATTTTTTTAATTCATACACAATCTTAATAGATATTACATAATAGAGCGTAAAATAAGATATAGTATTTGTCAACAACAATAACAACAATATTTTTTAGTATATTTATCGACATATTATTATTATATGACAATTATCTCTCACACAAAAAAACATTGCAAAAGTTATCTATTAGTTAATAAAAAAACAATATTTGTTTGTTTTATATGTGTTAAAACAAATGTATACCCCAACAACAAAAAAAAAAAGTTTAAATCAATAGATATTAAAATGATTAAAATATAACATATAATTATTGTTTTTTTTTTGTGTATTTTTTATTATCTTTATGGTTTGTTTTTTCAACAACAAAAAAAACACAATCATTTAATTTTTTTAACTGATTAGAAATTTAATTAAATAAAAATAATTGTTTTATATAAATTTAATATATCATATAATTATAAATCGAAAAAAATACAATTGACTGATGATATAATTAATTAATATATATTTAATTACCATTTTTTTATAGCTAGTTTAACAAATTATAGCTTTACCTTAAAATTAAATATATTATTAAAATAAAATATATAAAAATAAAATTTAAGATTGCAACACATATTTCATACAATAATTTATTTAATTTTGTTTCAAATATTGCTAAATAATTATTTTAAAATAATAGGAAACACATAATTAAACATACAATTAGTTGTTAAAAATAGATTACCTATTAATTAAATAAGCTATTAATCAACAATAATAATTAGGTGCTATTATTAATGATAAATAGTCTTAAAAATTTTTTGTTTGAAAAAAAATATTTATTAATATTTTATTTATATATATATATATTAAGTGTTGGACTCGAGCGGCAAAGTTCCCGACGGTATACTCGGCGGAACACTGACAGCGTTGGGCTCTTACGATGATTGTCTGGAGTCCCGAATCGGCGACGACCAGACCGATACCGACAACACCAAAGGCCAGTACTGTGCCATAAATGTTAGGCCATATTTGCCACCAAAACCGCCGCTTCATTTGCTTGAGAAGGAGTTCAACGACGCCGCCGATGCCAAAGGTTTTGCTAAGGTATGTATGGGTATGTGGGGGGAGGAAAGGGGTCAGAAAATCCACTGATTTTGTATTAAAAACTGCTGTTTTTTCTCTATATATATATAGGAACACCATTTCGCGCGAATCGCACCGTTATTCTACTATTTGCGACTCCGGTTGGGTATCTGTGTGCCGGCCAGCTGTCAGATGACTGATATGGATCTCATAACCAAAAGAAGTTTGTTTTTGTTGTTGTTGTTGTGTAACAATCATTATAATCACACTATTTTATTACCACTACCCCCTCCCCAGTATCTTATAGATTTCGGGTCAACGTTTCCGTACAACATTGCGATATCAAACCCGAATCGTTTGCCATCGAAAGCGACCAATACGGGCCACTGGCAGTCATAGCCGGGTTGCTAATAGTCATAGCCAGTGCCACAATCTACGATACAATGGTTGGTGGTGATGGATATGATAGCAGTGGCCAAACAACAACATTGTCTTCATCGTCGACAACCACAACTGTCGTCTACAAAATACGCAAATTTCTGGCCAATTGTTTCCTAACGTTTTCGGTACGACTGAACAGTTCAATCATTATGTCCACTGCCACTACCAACGTATCGGCCAATCATCATATCAGACCGTTAAACGGCTTGCGAGTGATTAGTCTGGTTTGGATAATGATAGCCCACACCTATATGACACTTGACTATCGGGCCACCGGTCGACTGATTACAACCAAAGAGCTGCCAAAAGGACTGATATTTCAGACAATACTGAACGCTTCGCTGGCCATCGAAACCTTTTTCTTCCTGAGCGGACTACTGGTCACTTATAACTGTATTATACGTATGAATCAATCAAACCGTTATTGGCGTCTAACCGATTGGCTAGTCTTCTATATACACCGTTATATTAGGCTAACTCCAGGTGCGCTAAATCCCTTATTTTTAATTTTAATTAATAAATATTTCTATTATTATATTAGAAAATTAATCAGAAATTTTTTATTATTAATTAATTTTTTCTTTAATATACATCATTATATTTATTAATAATAATTAATAATAAATATGGTATATATATATATACAGTATAAAGTATATGAATGAAATATCCATTTTAAAATTTTAATAATTTATCTAATTTTTAAAAATTAATATAAATATGATATATATATATTTAATAATTATAATTGAGTTATTAAATAGTGAAATTTATCTTTAAAAAATATATAATTTTAATATGAATGATAATGAATGAATGACATTAGTTAATAGTTAGTAAATAATAAGAAATAATTTTTTAGAGGATTAAATTTTTAATATTAGTAAAGTTTTTAGTCAAATGTTTAGTCAAAAATTTTTTTCAATTTAATACAATTTAATAGTTTAAAAAAATTTAAGATTAAATATTAGTACAAAAAAATACTGTAAGTATTCAAATACAATATTCATAGCATTTAAATTATTAATATTATTATTATTAAAAAAAAATTTAATAACATTTAGCCTAATAATTATTAATTTAATTTTGTTTGATGCAACCAAAAAAATCATCGGGGGTGGCTATAAAAAAAATTTATAAAACAGCAATTATGCTATTGATAGTCATATTCCTGTTTGGCTACCGTCTGGGCAATGGTCCCCTTTGGCAGGAACTCATATATCCGACTGCACATAAATGCCGGGACAATTGGTGGACACATTTACTATATATTAGCAATTTTATTAATGGCAAAGATATGGTAATAATAATAATAATAATAATTGTGTCTATTTATCATATTTTTTTGTTATTATGTATAATATTTTTTTATGCATAAGTTTGCATTTTTTTTAATTATTATTATTATTATTATCTACTAATGTATTTCCTATTGGTTTTTTATATTTTCTTTATTTACTAAATTTTGTTTTGTTTGTTATTTCAAGTGTTTTCTACATTTATGGTACATTGCAGCCGATATGCAGCTATTTATACTTACGCCAATATTTTTGGCTATTTTGCACAGGTATTCAAATAAAATATTTAATAATAATAATAAATATTATAAATATTTTTTTCCTATTGAAACATTAATATAATATATAATATATATATATATATATATATGAGTTAAATTATGAGTTATTGGTTTATTTATATACAGTATATAAGTAGATAACTGTTATTATCAATATTGATTTTTGTGTGTGTGTGTGTGAATATTATTATACATTTAGATTATCAATATATAAAAAACAATATATCAATATATGAAATCATGATAATAGCATTTATATTTAGTATTGATATCATATTATCTATCGTATAATATTTGTTTTATATCTCACACCAAAAAGAGCTCATATATTTATAATTTAATAATAATACTAATATTAATAATATTTTTAATTTATTTAATGTTTAATATATATATATTTTTAAACATATAGACACGCCTACCTGGGACAATTGTTACTAATTATATCAATTGTCTTATCAATCCTATCATCAGGAATTATAACCTACATAGAGGTATAATAAATAATATTATTAGATTTAATAAAAATAGTAATAGAGATAAAAATAAAATAAATTAAATTCTAATAAATCCATATAAATATATATTTTAAAAAAAGTATTAAAATATTTTATAAAAATATTTTTTTTAAATCCAATATATTAATAGAATTTAACAAATAGATAGATAAGTTAACTATTTTTTTAACAACCAACAACAAAAAATAAATAAACTAGATAAGTTATTTAGGACAATTTAATTTCAATTATTAATATAAATTGCTAAAATATAAAATTTTTTATTTCATTCATTTATTTATTTCATTTAACTATAAAGGACTTACCGCCTACACTGTTATTTAATAATCCGGATCCATCGTAAGTCATATACAGTATATATATATATATATATTATATATATATATATATAAAATAAATAAATTATATTTTGCAATAATTTATTAATAGTAATAACTAAATAACTAGTGTACTTAAATATAAAGATCTATACAAAAAAAACAACAAAAAATAAAATATTATATTCTATATATATATTAAATATAATTGAATATATATATATATATATATATATATATATATATAAAATAAATGTATTAAAATTTATTTATCTCCCCCACGCCTCCACACAAAAAAACCAACAATTAAATTACTACTTAAAGTGCTCGACGACTATATGGCAATCTATTATTTGTTAAACCCTATCCGCACGCCGCCCCCTATGTAGTGGGAATGTTGACCGGCTATCTACTCTACCAGTACTCCCATATCAAACTGTCCCTAAAAGTCAAATCAATTGGCTGGCTATTGGCTACAATGGTCGTAGTGTTGGAAATATTTGGCACTTGGATCTGGAACAGTGGCCACTCGGAACCAACCAGATTGGTGTCGACACTCTATGCCGGCCTATCCAGGACTCTATGGGCACTGGCTATGGCCTGGATTATAGTTGCCTGTCATAATGGGTTTGGAGGTTACAAATAAAAAATAAATACAAGTCAAACAACTAATTAAATAATAATTTTTTTTATAAAAAAAATTATTATTTAGTGATTTATATATTTTTATATAAAATATATTTATATTAATATAAGCATGCTAATTTATTTGTATAAATATATTTTTTTTTATATATTTATAGGTACATTAAATTCAATACTGAGTGCATCAATGTTTGTGCCATTAAGTAGACTATCATATGTTGCTTATGTATGTATATTAACTATAAAAAAAATTTGTTTTATCATTTTGTTGACCATTTATTTTTAAAAAATATCAATATATTATTATTATTAAGAAAAAAATCCACAACAAAAAAATATAATTATAGCTAAAAGCATAATAAATTTTACAATATATATAGATAAAAAATATTTATTTTCTTAAAATAATAATAATAGTAATAATAAAATAATATTTTTTTATATCTATTTTTTGTTGTTGAACAGTTAATACATCCGGGAATGATGTATGTGTTTATTGCCAGCACTCGTAATGTCTACGCTTTTAGCCATTATTTTGTGGTAAATATTAAAAAAATAAAAATAAAATAAAATACTAAAATAAAATAATAATAATTTTATTTTCTACTTATTTTCTAAAACACACACACGCTTATAATCTTTTATATATATATTTTTTGTTGTTGTTATTTATTATATAATATTAAATTTAATTATAATTTTTTTCCATCAAAATATTTAATTTCAAAAAAAATTCCCAAATTTCTAATATATATATATATATATATAAATTTTTTCCCCCAATTCAATAGATACAATTATTTTTCTCACATTTGACCACTACATACATTGTGTCATATCTGTTAGCACTGGTCATTGAATATCCGTTTGTATCGTTGGAGACTATAGTCTATAAAAAGTTATTTAGCAACACCAGCACCGGTAGCTACAGTAGCAGTACTAGTAGTAGTATCAGCCATAATAATAAGCCACGGCTGTATGCCGTAACCAGTGTCGATTCGACGGCCAGTGGCCAATATTTTATTAGCAACAATAGTGGCCAACAAGACAACAATGAAAACAACGATAGACCTCATAATAGGCAACAATTTTTTGGCGATAAATACATTAATACATTGACATCGTTTGCCAATAATTTGCCACAAAATTTAAACTATAGATTCAATAATAATACTAATACTAATAGTAGTATTAATAATATTAATAATAATAATAATATCAAAAATAATCAAAACACGGAAACAAATAGTGTTTTTAAAATTAAATTATAATAAATAAAATAAAAACTTATTATTATATGAAAACTATTATTTTTGAATTCAATTCATATTAGTATTTAATTTGTTAGTATTATTATAATTGTGATCTAAATAAATAAATAAAAAAATTTTAAAATGATGTAAAAAAATAATTTTTAATAAAATATTTTTGAAAAAATAAGAAATTGTGTTTTTTATTATACGATATTTACTTATTAACTAATTTATAAACAATATTATAATATGATAAAAAAAAGTTAATTTTATCATGTTAATTTTTTAAAATAAAGATCAATTATTAATCCATTAATATATTAATATAATATATTATGATATAACTATTAATAGATACATTGATTTTTTATTGTTGGTGATTTAGTTAATAAAACTTTATTACTATTTTATAAATAGAAAATATCTAAATCAAAATTATCAATTTAGTTTAGTTAGTTATTTTTTTAAATATTATATCAATGTCTATTATTTTTAATTATTATGTTTATTACAAGTAAATAACAATCTCAGTAAAAACAAACAACTATATTAAATAATAATTATAAATAAAATAAAAACAGACAAACAATCAAAATTCAATTATCAACTAATTTCATATATCATACGATTCATAATATCTATAAATACAGTATTAATATATATTTATATATTTATATTTTGTTATTTCTATATATAACTTATATCAATATAATAATAGTAATAATAGTAATAATCATACATTAATAATACTTAAATTTCTTTAATACTTTAATATACAGTGTATATAAATACTGTATAAATATATTTATATATAAATATGTACAGTATATAACATATGATATTATTATTAATATATAGTGTACACACATTTACTCTATATGTTAGTTATTAAAAATATATATATTGCTATCAATTTTTTTTTAGTTAGTGAATGTCTTTTAAGCAAACATTATAAATGAATTTATGAGGTTTATGTAATATATGAAAAATATTGCTACATATTTAGTAAAGTAAAGTAAGTGAGTGAGCGGGTGAGTGATTTAGAGAGAGAGAGAGAGAGAGAGAGAGAGAGAGAGAGAGAGAGAGAGAGAGAGAGAGAGAGAGAGAGAGAGAGAGAGAGAGAGAGAGAGAGAGATAGTATGTATCCATATATTTAATAATAATAATAATAAGTTTCACAAAAAAAACATACATCCAATCGATAGGATATCCTTGGTTACTATAAACACGTAAATGAGTGGTGCAATCATGCGCTCAGTTAGCCCCTAAACCACTACTACCTAACCACCACCACTACTACTACTACTACTACTACTACTATCATCGAAAACAAAAAAAAATAAAATAAATCAAAAATGTTTTATTTGTGACCAAACAAAAAATATCGGATAATATTCTAAATATAATATTTTGAAATATAATAATAATGATAATAATAAGTAATTTTTTTTTTTGAATTGCTATCATTTTTTTAAACTACATATCTCTATCGTTTATCAATTGTCATAAAAATAATTTCGCTATCAAACAATGGTAAAACATTTTTATTTATACTTTTAATATTTAATATAATTTTTTAAAATTTCATTATCATTTTTTTTAAATAAAAAAAACTATTAACGGAATCTAATTTTATGTACACTTTTTTGTGTGTGAATATAATATGTATTTATATATAAATATTATATATATTTGTTGAATATTTTATAGAATTTTTTTTATCAGTATTTTGTTTAAATTTTTTTTATTTATATAAATATTTTAAATACTAAATATATATATATATATATATATACATGCATAAATAATGTAATTTTTTTATTATTAAAATATATTTATATTTAGACTAAATTATATAAATATATAATTAAATTTTAGGATTCTTTATAAAAACATTAAAAATAATAAAATTAGTTTACATTATACTGTGTGTATGCAAATATATACACTATAATAATAATTTATTTGATAATAATAATGTAAATACATGTATGAAATATCTAATAGTTTATAGTATTTTAAATATTTCTAATGTATTTGTTTATTGAATATTTGCGCTAAATTTTATGCTATAGTTTTTCAAATTAAATTTTCAAATTAGTTTCAATTTTAAGTAAACACATACACACACAACAAAAATTTTAATATAATTTTTCTAAATAATAAATTATATTTAAATGTTAAATATTAAAATATAATAAAATATAGTATATATTCAAGTTTATATAATAAACTTAAATTTATTTTATTTTATTAGTAATTTGTTTTTTTATTATTATTATTATTACAGAAACTAATCAAACAATACGACAATTATCTTTCAATAATGAATTTGTTGTTATATATTAAATTAATGGCAATTAATTTATTAATAATATGTATTAATAATGGCAATTATTAATCGGATTATAATAATAATAATAATATCATTAAATATATTTAATATTATGTTATTTATATCATATACAGTATACAGTATAATAATGTTTTAAGTTAATTAATGTTTTATAATAACATATACTTATATAATAATTATAATAATAATAATAATATAAGAACCAATACACAAAAAACCAGTGCCTAATAATATAATATTAATAAAAAAATATAATTAATAATAATATTTATATTTGTTATTATATTCATTATAATAATACTGCTTTAATAATATGTAATAAAGTTATATTAATATAATTTAATCGCAAAGAAATAATAACATAAATATATGTACATAAAAGTCAATTGCTTTAATTGTAATCTTGATTATTATTATTATTTTCACAATAATAATAATAATAATAATAATGCATACAAACAGTGAGTTTGAAAAAATAGCTATAATTGTTATACTATCCGGTTGTGGACTGGCTATTGCACTGGCATTTGCTGTACTAATATGCTGTCAATTGCTTATTAAGGTATGATAACCAGTAATATTTATTTTTTTTTAAATTATTATTAAAAGTTTTTATTATAATTTTGTAGTATTTTATTTAAAAATATTGTTTTTATACCCCAATTAAGCCTAAATACTCCCGCTATGGATGTGCCGATAGTGTCATAGTATTTGAAAGGCAAACGACAACATCGGACGAAAATAATATCGACTACAATAGCGGCTGTTTTGAGGATAGCTTCTACACTCGCGACTATAATCCGGGCGCCGATAGCGATACCAATCCGGACACTTGTGTCAGTTCACCTAATACGGTGGTTGCCGTACAGACACACAACAACTGTATGGTATCGACAACGACGCCGAGCAGTACAACAACATCGCCGACGCCGACAACGGCAATAGCAATGGTCACCACTGTTTCAGCCGCCGCCGACACCACCACCACAACTACATCCCCATTATCACAGCATTCAAATGGCGCACATACACCACCATTGTCACTACCATCATCATCATCATCAACAACAGCAGCACCATTACCATCATCATCATCGTCATCATCAGCACAACCATTATCATCAGCTCTTCCTAATTTACAACAACGACAACGATCGTCATCTCATCAAGTCAAGTAAACAACAACTTAATTAATTAATTAATTAAACTACCAGTGCTTTATTAATTTTTGTTAACTATACCCCTCCCTACCTCCCTCCCTCATAAATAATTATAATATAAATTTATATATATATATATATATATATTAAGGTATACTGGTACATGTATATAAATTTATAAGGATATATACTGTATAATGTACTATATATAAGTGCTTATATAGTATTAATATATACCGGTATATATATATATATAGTATAAATACATGATTAATCAATATTAATTTAATATTATAAATTTTTGTTTTGTTTAATTATGCTATTTACACATTGATGATATTCATTGCAACAACAAAAAAACGCTATAAAAACTATGGATATATTATATATCTTATATTAAAGTTGTAAAAACTTATATAAAAGTTTGACTAAATTTTTTTTAAAAATATTTAATTAACTTTACAAATTGGTTGACCTTTAACTTTAACATTACCAATATTAATACTAATTATAAATTAAATTTTTAAAAGGTTAGTAATTTTAAAGTATTGTCAACAACCAATTTGTAAAATTAACTAAAATTTTTATTTGTTCAATAAATTTAGTCAAATAAGTTATATATATAACTATATAATATAATAATAATAATAACTATATAATAAGTATATTATATATATATATATATTGAAATAGATAGATTATATAGCGTTTTAGTTGAAATGTTATTATATAAAATCAATGTTTTTTTTAAAAATTAAATTTTTATTTATTTATTTGTATGGATGGCCCAGATTTTCTACCCGACCACCATTGGTTAGTACACGCAAAACATCGCTTCCCTGTAAATTTGTAACCATTTGCTACGATAATAAAACTGTAATTATTATTATACAAAAAAATTATTTTTATAATTATTAAATTAATTAATTCAAATTAAAATATCAACAACAACAAAAATTTTAACATATAATAGGATGAAATTGTATCAAATGATAGTCACCGGAAAARAGGTAATAATGGCCAACAAAGACGATTGTCGGCCGGTATTATTAGGCAAAAAAGTTTTGAAGACATCGAAGAAGATATCAGTTATAATAATCAACAAATTGGTAATCAATTAATTATTTACCGGTATATCAATAGTGAAATTATTTATTATTATTTATTTTTATTTATTTTTTTTTTGATTAAAAGAATTATCGGAAAGACGTCGCCGAAACTCTTTGGAGGACAAGACCATTGATAAGGATGTGTTGCGCCGTCAGTATAAAGATCTCTGGCATTTGAGGACCACCTATGAGGCCGAAGAGGACGAGTCGTTAGACCATCAGTCGCTGGACGCGGCATCGGCAGCGACGGCAGCAAACATAGTAGTGGTCGCCGCTGTCGCCGAACCTGCCGATAGTCTACCGATAGTTGGACCCCAGAAACTGACCAAAAATGATTCGGGTATTTATAACAATAAAAAAATACACAATTTTTTTGTTGTGTAATTTAATTATATATTTTTTGTTTGTTTAAAAAAACAGGTTATAAATCTATTGAACGCCGAGACTATTCAATTGACTATAAAAGTGAATATATTTACCGACAATTTACGACACAAACATCGACAGCAGCACCGATAGTACCGCAACAACAACAACAGCAACAGCACCGGGCGCTCAGTATAACTCATCAACAGAGCATTAAAGAGGAACAGGAGACCGATATTCATGCAGTTTTTGTATGACATTTTTTTTGTATAACAATCCCTATATATTATATTATAATATTATTATAAACTATCTAATAGTTATATTTCACTAAATAGTTTGTTAATAACAATATATATATACAGTATATATCATAAATATATTTCTGATAACTAAACAATATTTATTTAGATATTAGAGAGTATATAATAGAAATATGTATACTATTTATGTTATATTATTAATATTTACATTATATATAATACCTGTGCAAAAAACATGTGCGTGTTTTATACACAGTTATTTAATTTATATTTACATATTATTTAGTATTTTTAATAGATTTTTATTATAAAAAAATAAAATTATAAATATATCTTATATTAATATAAATATATATACATTTCCTAAACCTTATATTGTGCTATAATATACAATATATATTTATAAATATATAATATTATATAATACTTACACTGTTAGTAAAATATATTATATATATGTTTATAATACTATTTTATAAGATTGTTAATTAATTATACTTATTATTATTATACAAATAGTATATTCATATTAATGTAACTATTGTTTTATATTTAACAAAATAAGTAGATAAAACACACACATATATATATTTATTATAGTAAACTTATAAATAAATACTAATGTAATATTGATAACAATACGGATGCTGAGTGTGAATGTATCTATAAATATAATAAATTATATATATATAAATAATTTATATATAATATGATTATCTAATATGACTTCCCATAAGTGCTTTCCAAAAATAGGTTAATAATCCTAATAATAATAATAATAATACTGTATAACAAAATGAGTGAAATTTAAGATTATTATATAATTTTCTTATTTTTTATTGAATTATTTTTTGTAAAAATATATATAATTATATATATTTTTGTTGAATAAAATTGATATATTATATATAAATTAGATTTTATTATAATATAAGTTTAATTATATTAATAAATATTTACCTTTATACACAAATATATATACACACACAAACATATTTATATAACAAATATTATATATAAATTAATATATATATATATATATATATATATATATATATATATATATATATAYTTATATTAATACCTGTAATATCAATGTAACTGTTGTTATATTATACTGTATTGTTATATACTGTATATATTATAGATTTTATACCATACAGTATTAATAATAAATAATAAAAATAATAATTATCAACTTATTAAACAAAATAAAATAAGATAATAAAACTAAAACAATATTTAAATTTTTTCGGAAATCTAAAACATATTCAACAAAAAAATAATTATTTAAATATTAATAATTAATACAATATCTCTAATTTAAAATATTTAAGAATAATAATACTATTTTTATATACAGTATAACTTAAATGATATATTATTATTATTATTTAAGTTAATAAAATTATTATTATTATTGTACTAACATTGAAGATGATTATAACAAACTAATATAATAATAATAATTGTAGACATAATAAGCAATATATGTATTTATAATAATAATAATAACTAATAATAACTAATTTATTTTAGTAACATAAGCTTATGGCTACTTACGACAATAACAACAATATTATGGTTGAATTAATCTTAATCTTTTTTTTTGTTGATGTGATATTTATATTATTGATATATAATAATAGTATTAGAGAAAAATTATATATAAGTTTTAGATATACTATAATAGAAATTTATATATATATACTCTGTAATTATATCATATATATATATATATATATATATATAAAGTTATATATTTAGAGTCTAAATTTTTAGACATTAAGACATGTTTACAACATTATATAACTGACCTTGAAATTCATACAAACAAATAATAATAATTATTATTATTATTATTATTTAAACTACTGGTAAACCAGAGAAAAACACAAAAAACTACCAGTTTTTCTGTTTGTTTGGTTGTCTTAATAAATGAAAATGATATAAAAAAATGAAAATATATAAAGAAAAGAAAAAAAGGAAAAAAATATAATATAATGAATATACAAAAAAAGACAAATAAAACAAAAAAAAATTAATACAATTTTTATTTTACTGATTATCAACGGCTCGAACCAGTAGTAGCTGTTCATCAACTCGTCTCAGTTCTTCCTGTTGCTGACGGATCTGGTGTTCGAGTAATTGTTGTTTTTGTTTCAAAAACTGCCGAAGAAGTGACTGTTGTTTATTGTCCACCACCGCCGCCGCTGTGGCCGCCGATTCAGGATCATCGATAGTAGCCATCGATGATGTGTTTAACATCATATGATGATGAGAAGCTACAGATGATGACTGACGGTCACTAACTACTGTATGGTTCCCGCCGACGCCGCCAACAATCATCGACTGCTGCTGATTCATAACCAGACCACCAGTCATGTCGTTCGGGCCGAGAAATTCTTGGGCAGAGATAACAACATCCGGATAACAGTTAAGCCAATTCTTTGTCGTAGCCATTGAGGCTGATGTCTGTTGAGGTAATGGTTGACCACCGTTACCGCCATTGAGGCCATTATCGATATTTTTTGCCGCAGCCGCCAATCGTTGTATTGTTTCCGCCTGTCGACACTTATCGGTAGCATATTTATGGGCTTTTTGTGCCCGGGCTTCGGCCACCTCAGACTCCCGGACCACTGTATGCCTGCAGACAATGTATTCGGGTTTCGAGTTCCAGTGATGATAGGCTATATAATAGGTGGTACGCAACCAAATCCATTGTTGACTTTTGGTCAGAAATCGATAGACCGATGAAGTGGCCTCACCCGTCCTCATGAGTTGTTCGTGACCGGCAACGATGTCGTCCAAGTCGTTCCAGTGATAATAATCGTAGCCCGAAGTTCCAAGAATCTCGAACGGCAAATAGCCGATAATAGGCGGCGCCCGACTGTCCAAATAGAGGAACTTCCACTCCAACGAGTTTCGGGAGATAAACTCACGTCCGCCGCCGTCACCGCTGCCACCACTACCCATATCAGCTGTCAACTGATAGCTAAGCTCTTTGAGAAATTTCGGTGTCTGCAGACGTCCAATGCCGACAAAGTACTGGTTTCCCGGTCGGCATCGCAACAGTTTTGTGTTCAGTTGGCCCGACTCGTAGAAAGAGCCGACCAGACGAACCAATCGATAGATTTCGGTTTCGTCGCTGTCATCGAAATCGCGATCTTTGAAGTGAAGCAAAATCGATGAAAACGCCGCACCCGTACCGCCATCGCAGTCGCCACCGATGTTGTCCACTACTGACCGATAGTGGAGAAAGTCTTCGACATAGCATTTCTCTTCTTCGTGAATCAAATCAAATATCGACAACTGTGTGTTGTTGTCGTCGTCGTTGTCGACGCCATTGTCTGCTGCGGACAAAACTGACGTTTGTTTTCGGCTTTCTTTTGTCGATATCATACCCAACAGTGAATATATGGTATCAGACATGTATATTATGCGACCACTGGTGTTGGCCTCCAATACAATCAGAAATGAGTCCAATGCCTGAGTCCGGCGGAAAATAGTATTACCAATAAAAACAACCGATTGTTTGGTCACCACTTACTTCGAGCATAAGATGTATGAACTCATCGTTGACCAGAAACGACGGCTTCCAACAGAAAATACTTTCACCACCACTGACTCCGCCGCCGCCAGAAGTATCATAATTGGTCGTCGATTGTTGTCCACCAGATCTTTGGCCACCGGCAGACCGTTGATGATGACTACCATTGATGTCATTGTTTTTTGGACAGTTGCTGTCAATCTGCGAGTTTGTACGCAGAAAACCTATCGACGCCCTCAATATCGACGACTTATCCGTTTTGTGTTTACCGCCGCCGCCGCCAACACTCAGATCGGATAACCTCCCGGAAGAGTCGGCCGGCAGTGAATTATTATAACCGATTGCTGTACTCAGCTCATGGATCAATAGATTAAACTGATCCCGTCTTTTTTTCTCACTTAGATTCCTGTTTATCCTATTATTATTTTATTTTTTTTGGCAAAGAAGGGCGGAGGACGACCCCCGAGGGTTAGGGTTAACAAATAAATTAGATATAAATAATTTTTACTTAAAATAAATATATTTATTATTTTTTAAACCTTTTGTTTTTATCTTTTTCTTCATTATCCATGTCATCCAAATTGTTGTTTGTTGTCTCCATTAAATCGTTTGCATCTATTGTTGTTAAATTGCTTAATGAAATAATTATATATATAAAAAAAATTATCAATAATTTTATTATAAATTAAAATAACAATTACTAATATTTTATAAAAAAAATAATTATCAAAAAATAAAACTTTTAAGTATTTTTACTGTATTTTTTTTAGTAATTAAAACTATAAAAAATAATATGTATAATAAAATCTATAACTAAAATAATTGATAATTAATTGGTTTTTTAAAAATAATTATGCTAATTATAAATTAACTTAATTGTTTTTTTAAACAAATATTGTAAATTAAGGGTAATGTAATTTTTGGGGGAAAAACTATGAATACAATTATAAATAAAATAAAAATTAATTAATTAAATATATAAATTAATTACAAATATTTGGAGTCATTGGCAGTAAAATATGATCGTTTCATAATTAATTAATTAATTAAAAAAACAATTTCAACTATTATATCAATATATTTATTTCAAAAAAATTTTTACTCATATTTTCATCATAAAAGTAACATTTATTTAAAATGATTTTAATATAACATTTGAAATAAACTGTGTGTATATTATCACAAAAAAAAGTTTATCTAATGTCTCAAAAAATCATTCATTGATTGATGAAAACAAAATAATATACTAATCATAATAATTATAATAATAATCAGTAAATGATTTTTCTAGAGAAATCATTCAATATATATATGATTTTGTGATTTTCATTTGTAATCAATTATATAACTGTATTGTCTATTATTTTTTGTGATGATTTTTTTTATATAATATAATATTATTATATTGATATTTGTTGTCTCCAATCAACAAACACATTGATGATGATGATATTAAAAAAGGTATGCTTTTATATAATAATAATAATAATATTATAGGTATATTGGATATTATATTACATTTGTGTGTTTGAATTGTTGAGAGAGAGAGAGAGAGAGAGAGAGAGAGAGAACTTGTTGAGTGGATGAACTAAATCGATAATATTATTTAGTTGTTATCTAACACTTTGTGTAGTATATAATAGTATAGTTATAAAATGTTTGGCACACAAAAAATCAATTATATAACCACTTTGCTATGTATTATATAAAACATGTTTTTTAGTTAGTTTTATATCGTATTTAATATTATTAAAAAAAAATTTTTTTAGCAAATTGGTATTATATACTGTATATAAATTTATAATATAAACCTTAATTACATTTTTTTGAAAAATATATAATATTTAAATAAAATTAAAAAAACATTTTTGTTTTATTTTGTAAAATTGTTTATTTTTTAATTATTATTATAATAAACATACTTTATTTATAAATTAATGATTTTCAAATGAGTATTTTTATATTATTATATATACTTTTTTAAAAAATCAAATTTAGTTATGCGTACAGAATATTCTTGTATTATTATTACTTAAAATTATATTGCATTTGTCTCATACACATACATGTCATATAAATATGGCTTTAAATATATCAAAATATTAAAAAATCTTTACAAATGTAAATACATATTTTTTCTCAAAAAAAACAAAAACAAAAAAATAATGTAAAAAATGTTCAATTATTATAAAAAAAATAATATTTGCGATCAATGAGATTATAACTTTGAGTTAATAGTCTTTTTTTTTGTTTGTAAATTAAATTTTTTTAAAACATATAATAAAATAAATGTCATTACAATTTGTTTTGTTAGTTTAGTTGGCATTTAGTTATATATTAAAGAAAAATAAAAATCTAATATATAATTATTATTTAATTATCAATATTATTAATTAACAATATAACAATCAATGTATAAATACTGTATATATATAATTAAATTATATTATTATTATATAATTAATAGAAATTTATTAATTTTATAATCAATTACTAATAAAAAAAACTTTATATCATATAAAAAATATAATATTTTTTTGTTGATTTCATTGTAATTTTAATTAACAATTGTTGGCCTTTTTTTGTTTATATATATATATAGAGAGAGAGGGATGGGATGACTACACATGTGTTATGTTTAGTTACCAGTGTTGGCGGCGGCGCCGGCGGCACCTCTGCGGCCAAACAGACTGGATCGCTGCCGGTTGGCAAACAATGGTCTCTGTAGTCGGCCTTTCGGCTTCTGGTCAGGTGTTGGCGGCTGCTCACTGGCTGGCGGTGGCGATGATGACGAAACCTCTGGTTGATTGTTGTTTGCTGGCTGATTGCCGGCTTCATCGGCGGCGGCCAAAGCAGCAGCCGGACTGTCATCTGATGGCACATTGACTGACGATTCGCTACTCGCCGGCGGCGATGATGCAGGCGATGACTCGACGGGCGCGGGCGCCGGACTACTTGTTTCGTCGGTATTTTCTTGATTTTTATTTCTCGAAAACGGCTGTCGGCCTCTGAGTTGAGGTCGATTTCGGGAACCGATTAATGGATTAGCTGGCCGTCTCAATGATAGCGGTGATCTGGTAGTGGCTGCTACCGGTGCCGATGTTGCTGAAGCCGATGGTGTTGCTGTCGATGACTGCGATGACGGCGACAGTCTGTTGATTGTGGCCGGCGTACGTGGAGTTCCGCCAAATCGTCGACGTTCACCGCCGGCGCCCAAAAATCTACGCGGTGTTGACGGCGCTGCGGTTACAGCGGCTTCGGTAGACGATGGCTGTTGTTGTGCTACACTGGCCGCTGTCGTTGCACTTACGGTTGTATCTGATTCGTTGTTGTTATCATCATTTCCGGGCCGTTTCCTGAATCGGCCGGGTCTTTGTCGAAATCCGCCGACACTGTTGCCGCCAGCCGTGGGTCTTGTAATACGAGCAGCTCTGGTAGTCGGTGGAGTGGCAGTGGTTGTCGTAGTGGTAGTACTGCCGATAGTCGGACGAACTCTGTTGAGGAGGAATGAGTTTCGATTGGAGGCGGCGTTAGGTCGTCGCCTATTACCGAATCTTCGCGGCGCTTCAGACGCTTCTTCCTCGGGGGCCGCGGGAGTGGATGGCGACGGAGGTGGCGGTGCAGGTGTTGTCGTTGTGGTTGTAGTGGTAGTAGTCGTAGTGGTTGTTGTTGTTGTTGATGGTTGTGTCGGTATGGTTACCGTTGTTGGCGGAAAAGTGGCCAACGAAAACGACTCGAACGCATTGGCCGGACGACCCAGACTATCCAATTGATTGTCTACTGGCTGTTTGGGTGGCGGAAAGTCGTCCACTGGCGCTGATGCCGGCGGCGGTGTAATGCGACCAAAGTTTACAAAACCTGGAGTAACTGACGGTTCCTGTGGTTGGGCGGCCGGTTGTTGTTGCGATGACGACGACGGAATGTGACGGAACGCTTGGCCGGGAAATTGTGGCGAAAACGAACTCTGCGGTCGCTGATGATGATCGCCGCGATGACCACCGTTGTTGATGGCATTACCGAAAGCCGGCGACGACGACGACGACGATACCCCACCGGAACTGCTGCTCGAACTGCTACTACTACTACTGGAACTACTGCTTCGGACACTACTAGTGCTGCTAAAAGTTTGCGGCTGTTGTGGTTGTGGCTGCGATGCTCCTCCTCCTCCTCCGCGGGAACTGTCAAACGGTGAGTTTCCTCCTCGCTGTGAGCTAACCGATGATCCATAACGGAAAACATTAGATACCGGTGCGGCGTTGTTCTGGTTTTCCGAAACTGAAACGCTAACCGTTTCGCGACTCCTTTCAACCGGTGATTGGGTTACAGCTCCTGCAGACGGAATCTCTCGAAGACTTTGAAATGAACCGAATGGTAGATTATCAGCTGCTGCTGATGATTGTGTTGGTGGTGGCGGTGGTGGCGGTGTGAATGGCGATGGAGTTATGAAAAATTGTGGCGTCGACTGTGGCTGACTACTGGGAACCACAGGTGCCGGCAGCGGTTGCGGTGGCGGCGATGGCTTACGTATGTCGCCAAACGATGGCGAAGAATCCTGGCGACCAAACGACTTATCTCTGGATGAAACTACTGTTTCCTTATTATTATTATTATCTCTATTGTTGTTGTTGTTATCATTGGCGGCATTCTTGATGACAACTCGTCCCGGTTTATCACCACCGGCTCTGTTAGACCCACGGTTTTGATCAAATGATTCTAACGATGGTATGGCGTCAAGGTTTGAATCACCTGCGGCTCCGGCCGATGATGCCGACGATCCAGCCTTATTGGTGCCATTCTTGTCGTCGTCATAATAGTAGTAGTAATAGATGACGACATCATCTTTTTGTGGCTTATTCTCACCGCTTGAAGGCTTATTACTGCCACCACTGCTGGTGGCCGACGATGACGACGCGGCTGAAGGCTGTGGCGATGGTTGACGAGATGCCAGAAGTGCCGACTCTACTGCTGCTCCCGATGACTGAGACGACGAAGACGGCTGCTGATGATGTGCCGACTGGAGTCCACTACGGCTTACGCCGCCGGCAAAATCATACTCGCGAGTGGGCGGCTGTGGCGGATAGAAACTCTGCGATTGTGGCTGCGATTGATGGCCAACATATCGATTCTGGCGTTCCGATTCCGTTTTGTCGGATAACGACCCGCCGGCGCCGCCGTCTAGCGATGACCCGAATACGGACGATGATAGTGGTGTGGACTGTGGTTGCGGATTGATTTGATAAGTCTGTTTCTGGCGATTATTGTTGTTGTTGCCGATCACCGACGCTGGCGGTACTATTGTTGGCGGCGGATTCCACGATACGGCCTGATGCGGACCTACACCCGTTCCGCTCAGTACCGATATGACCTGCGGCTGACGGGGTAACAGAGCTGCCGACGACGAGTCTAGTGACGGCTGATTGTTGTTAATATTTGTATTCAAATTACTATTGGATGGAAACTGTGGGAACCGTCTGATTGTATTGAATGCTTGATTGCTATTTGGGTCGACACCACCACCACCACCGACAATAGCTGGTGAACCCAATTGATGAAACTGTTGTCTGAATGTTGAGCTTAGGTCCGGTTGCGGTGGAAATTGCTTTAATAACACATATAAATATATATATATATATATAAAACAAATTAGTTTTAATAATACAATTGAATTGAAAAAAAACAAAATTAATTGTTTTAGTCACACATTAAAAAAAATCATTTGTTTTATTTTAATACTTTTTTATTATTATTTTTTCTTAATAATAATTAATTTTTGTTTTAATTGTTTTTTTTGTTTTAAGTGTTTAATTAACTTACATAAGGATTGGAAAAGTTTGCGTGAAATTGGTTGAAATTATAGGAAGTTTGACGTTTAAAACGCGATGTTATCTTATAATTGTTATTATTATTATTATTATTATCATTGTTTGCCGGTATCAGTGGTGATGCCGGTTGTAGTACTGCCTGTGCTGTTAACGGTGTCGACAGTATTACACCGATTAGTATGTTTAATACAACAATGATGATGACCAACATTGATGATGATGTCGATGATGTTGATGATGGTATCAACAACCTTAACAAACAATAATAATAATACAATTATAAGTTAAGTGTAAATAAACTTTTTTAAGTTTTTTAAGTTCAATAATTCATTAATATTAATGTATAATAACTTTTTTTGTTGAAACAAAAATAAGTTATACGGTATATATATACAGGTAATAAAATTACTGAGAAAAAGTGTATATGAAATACTATAAGTGATTATTTAATTTTTTTTAAATATTTATATATATAACTGTTATTTGACATGAAAGTCAGTATTATATATTACTGTATATATTATAAAAAAGTGTATAAACTTTTTTTTTGAAAAGTTTTTATTTAGTTAAGTGATGCTAAAAAAAGTAGTGATCAGTTTATAGCCCCACACATAACTAATAACTTATATAAAATATATTAAATAGCAATAATAATAATAATAATTTTTTTTCTATAAATAGCTTTAATTTTAATTGCACTATAAATATTATATATGGATAAACATGTATTTAATATACAATATATTTATCTTATATAAATTGTGTGTAACTTATTATGAACTGACCTTCATTTAGAGGGAACAGTTAGGTTTGTTAGGCATACATACATACCATACATACATACACAGCCTTTGGGGCAAAAGTTTTTTGTTTCTTATATCGGGGTTAGCCTTATATCGGGGTTAAGCTTTTACATACATAACATAATAAYATAAGATATAARACAGTATAAAAACTTAAACAACAAAAGTATMGCTGAATTGATGGAAAAGATTTTTATTTATTATTTTTTTAGAAAATAAATAAAATTAATACTAAACTTATGCTTTTAATACATATAATTCAATAATTTAATAAAACACATATAACTTAGATATAAAAACTTTTTTAATAAAAATAATTTTGAATACCACTTGTATGCCCACACATATATATATATACACACACATAACATGTTGTTTAAATATTCATATAATATTATATCATCATCATATATGATATATTGCACATATTACTAGAGTTACAAATATATTATATATTTTTCAATTGTTTTTTTTTCTTATTAAATTATGTTTAGTATAAAACACAGTTACTATATATGTGTGTTGAATATTATAAATGATTTCATAGTAGAAAAAAGTCTTTTTTGGGAATATTTTTTGGATTAAGTAGTAGTGAGTGAGTGAGTGATTCATTAGAAATTCATAAAAATTGTTATTTTATTTATATTTTATATTATTCACAAATAAATATATAGATAGATATGTATATATATATATATATATATATATATATATATATATATATATATATGAGTTGACACCTTGAATGTGTGCCAAATTTAATTTAAATTTCTAATTTCTCTATAAGATTAAAAACACATACAAATATTCCGGACAAAAATTTCATTTAATTTATAATAATAATAAAAAAAAATTGTTATTTTTATTATTATTTTAGCTTAATTTTTCCACTGAAATATATATATATATATCAACCAAATATTTTTTAATACTAAATAGCTTTCATAGGGTGTTGTCAGTGGTTAAAGTGTGTCGGCTCTACAATCAATCGCTAGGAATCTCTCTCTCTCTCTCTCTCTCTCTCTCTCTCTTTATATATATATCTTCAAAAAAACTACAAATTATTTGTACATTTCCTGCATTCATGTCTCTTCAGCACAAAAAATTAGGCACAAAATAATAATAAAAATGAAATTTTTTACTTTTTTTATATTTGTATTATCATTATTAGTAGGTTTTATACTATAGTTATATACTAATAGTGATATTCATATACTTTATTGTATTTATATATATATATATATATAGACTATTGAATCGCTTCATTAATTTTCTTTTCGAGACTAAATCGTTATAAATTTTTTGTTATTGTATATAACAGTACAATAATATGTCATAACATATAATTATTATTATTATATATAGATATATACTGTATATAAATATATATACATTTTTTAAAAAGATATATTTATATAATACTTTTTTTGAGTTTGAGTTCATTTCACTTAATTTTACAAATAATAGAAATAATAGAAAGACTATAACTAAACATATAATTATAAGGGGCAGACAAATACATTAATTTTTTAAAAATAAGTAAAAATATTAAAAATATTAATTTATTATTTTTGTATTAATAAAAATACAAATAAATTTATAGTATATATACATATATTTGGGCATAACAACATTATATATATATATGACCAAGTTACTGTACAATAAACAATGTTATTTTATGGTTCCTGTTTATTGTCAATTATTAATATCAAAATAATTAAATAATAATAATTTAATAAAACTTTTTAACTACCATAAATGTAGTTTATATCCTTAATTATATGTATTTACAAACTTATTATTCACAGTTAACAGAAAAATATTTTAATTTATTAGAAATATAGTATATATAGTATATATATACATATATACAGTATTAATATACTGTATATTATTATTTCTAAGCTATCGGAATATTCCTAAAAAAAATTATTTTTTGATATATTTTCAACTATTTTTTTCAACTAATTATTTATTAAAATAATAATAAACAAACACTACAAAAATCATTGTCARTCAAATAGTAAATAGTTTATTCTAAATTTTTTTAAAATTAGTAAAATCATTAACATTTAACATCACTGGRTATAATTGATATGGTAATAACATTATCGGTACTAAAAATACATAAATTATTTATAGCAATATTAAATTATTAGTATTAGTATTATTAACTATTATTAGTATGCTAAAGCTTTAAAATATATTAATTGGTATATTTTATAGTTTTTTAATTATTATAGTAAATTATAGTAAAGCAATATTCAATGTAATAATTATTTCAAAACAAAACTTAATTACATAAATTAAATTACTAGTATTAGTATTATTATTATATAAATGTGCTAATAATAAAACAAATAATTTTAAAATTTAAAAACAAAACAAATTAATTTAAATTAATATTTTCAATTAATATTATATAATATACTTAATAACTTATTAGTTTCTATGATATTTTCTATGAAATAAATTTTTTTATTTTATTTTCAAAACAAAATACCGCAAATTTTTAGCACCGTTACCTAATGATTTATATACAGTATATATATATAAACTTTTTTGGGCAAATAAAAACAAAATTGATAATAATATTTAAAAAGCTTTATATCATGAAATAGAAAAATCATTAAATAAAAATATTTTTAAAAAAATATCTTACAATGTTTTGAGGGCTTTAAATTACATACACATTAACACAAGTTATTTTATAGCTTAAAAACTTATCCATCATTACATCATTAATTGATTGGACATTTAGTTAGCAGAGAGAGAGAGAGAGAGAGAAATTTTTTTATATTTTATTTTCTCAATTTGTTTTCAGATTAGAGAGAGAGAGGGGGGAAACAGATCGACTTAATTGATAACATATTTAACAAGCGATGCATTCAATTAATGAGTGTATTAACTAAATATCATATGATAATAAAAAAAAGTTTTAAAATTTTTTGTGAGTTTAACATTTAAAAAGAAAACTTTTTTTTATATATAAAGTAAATAAATAACATAATATATATAAGTATATGAGATAAATATTGCATTTGTTATAATCACTAATACATATCTATATTTTATATTTACCGGAATCACAATATTAAATATAATAGAGTTTACAACAACAACAACAACAACAAAATACATACATTTTTATGGTGTGTCCGCAAAAATTCCCGGTCAGTCAGTCACTAGTTTTGTATGTATGACTTACTAAGCTATCACTTATCAAGTAAATGAGCACTTAGTCGATGATCACTACTATTACTACTATTACTACTATTACTACTACGTGTGTGTCTCTCAATAGATATATATGAGTGTCGGCGACAATATATATATATATATAGACAGTATATATACGGTAATCAAATTGTTTTGTGTGATGACCTAAAACACTAGTCTCTCTCTCTAAACACTACTAACTTTTTTTTTAGAGAAAAAAACTTATTATTCACTTATATAACACACATTTTATATAACAGTGTATACCGTATATAACTTTATTGAATGATTCACTTTAAGTTTAAGAGAGAGAGAGAGACTGGAAATAAAATTGTTTTACAAAACTATATTATATATACGGTATATATATATATATATTTTAAGGCCACGGTTTGGAAACAAGTTTTACCCCCCAATATATATATATAACTGTAATACTGATGATATGTATTAGTAATTCTAGTATTGAATAATCTATTTGGACGACAACGATGCCACCGCCGCCGCCACCAAAAAAATTTAGGTCAGAATACAGTTTATGGGCAACCGTTAGATGTCAGGGCATCACTATATACTAATTGTATAGTAATAGTATAGAATCTCTATACTACCTCTACATTGAAAAATTTATACATGTATTACAGTATAATATTTGCTGAAACACACACACATACATACATACAAACACATACATACATACATACATACATACATACATACACACACACACATGCATACACACACACATGCATACACACACATACACACACACACATGCATACACACACATACACACACACACATGCATACACACACACATGCATACACACACACATGCATACACACACACATGCATACACACACACATGCATACACACACACACACACACATTACAACGGACACCTCTACACGCTCACACACACACACAAATTGTACATTGTCGTTCTAAATATATTTAAATTAGAGATGTGTGCTGGTTAGGTTAGCGCGCATTGGCGCTAGAATTCTATTTATCTGTATTTATCTCTCTCTCTCTCTCACACACACACATACACACTCTCTCTCTTTCTCTCTCTCTCTCTCTATCTGTATATATATATATTGATGACGTGTTCACTGCGTGATCACTGATGAGTTTAGTTGACTACATGACTGTATAGTGTCCTACGTATTGGTGGTATTATTATTATAAACCCGTCTAACATATGACGCACTAATACAACACACATAACATACTGTATATTATATGATATCTGTGTTATACTAATACTAATGTTGTGTTTTCGCTGTTAAAACGCGTCCTAATATACGTCGAACACACGTCTCAGCCAATGGTAAACCCAAAGCCGACTGACTCTTAACTCTTGTAAACTAAATGTTACCCAAAAAATAAAAACTTTATTTTATTTATTATTTATTATTACTTTTGATTTTATTTATATTTAAATTCTAATTATTATTATTTTGATTTCAAATCTAATTATTTGTTTGTTTTTGTTGGTCGACTCTCACCCCAACCCCTAACCCCCCACTTATATCTATAGACGACTCAGGCCATAGCCCTGCCACAGGCCGGCGGCGGCGGCGGTGGTGTCGTATCGATAGTCAAACTGTTGCCGTCAAACAACAACAACAATCAACAACAACAACACACAGTGGCCACCATTCAGCAGCCGAACCAACAGTCGGTAATTCAGGCCACTGGCGGTGCAACGTCCGTACAAACTGTACAGGTATTTTTTTGAAAATAATTTATGGCGGGAGGGCAGTGGGGGGGGGAGGGGAGGTGTGTAATATATTTCATCTAGGTCCAGTGTTTAATATACACATGTGTATATATTTTTATTTTTATTAGTAATTTATCCTTGTTAATTTTGTTGTTTAGGATATCCATAAAACATATTTACAGTGTAGACGGATATTGAATGTTTGGCAGGGGGTGGGTGGGTGGGGTCCAGGGGTGGGGGTTGATTAGGTGTGGGTGGGTTATAGTGTAGGTATGAGATTAGGTTAGGTTAGCTTATATGTATGTAATTAATTTTATAGTGTATTATAATGAATGTATACAAATATATTTATGATATTAAATATACAGTTATATGTACTGTATTTATAGTGTGTATATAATATACAGTATATTCATATATAAATTAATGTTTTTTTAAATACAAATATAATATAAACATATTGCATATCATTCATAGGATATCATATATTAATTAATAATAATAATAAAATAATAATTATTGTCAATATATATTGTATAGTAATAACTGGATCTATCCCCTCCCCCTCCCTATTAACACTTATCATGTTTATTGCAATTAAACTATTTTTTGCATATCATTTAAAATTTTCCACAAAAAAACTTAAATTAATTAACATATTTTTTTTCCAAAAATTTTTGTCTTCAAAAAAAATAAAAATAAATAACAGTTACCTAAAGGAAACGTGATTTTATTAAAAGGAGGACAAGTAGGTCAGAGCTCAGTCATTCAAAGCACTGATAGTGAATCCGATGTACACAACGGCACCGTTCAGGTGGAGGTGTGTGTCTGTGACTAATGAATAGTTATTTTAAAAATTTATAATTTATGTCTAAATTACTTATATATATATTTGTTTTGTTTATCATGATCGGTAATCCCCTCCCCCACCCCACACACACACACACACACACACATAGATACTGTCGAAGAATGATGACGGCGATGTAATCTTCGAGAACGACTCGCGAAAACGCCAGGAAATATTGGCCCGAAGGCCCAGCTATCGAAAGATATTCAATGACCTGTCGTCTACGGAAGCGGCCGGTGCTGTGACAACTATATCGTCCGAAATTATCAAACAAGAAGATGACGATAACGGCACGGCTACCATACAGGTTAACGGCCAGTATATCAAAGTATTGCCGGCATCGGCCATACAGTTGGGTACACAGGACGGCACTATTCAGGGTATTCAGACACTGACGATGACCAATGCCGGCGCTGGTGGGGCCGGTACTATTGTACAGTACGCCACACAGGGCCAGGATGGCCAGTTTTATGTTCCTGGTAATTACGGTAGTTTTAATTTTGTTATTGTTTATCTCCTATTCCTCTCTATCTCCCGTTCCGTCAGTTCAATGATTATTATAATTTATTTATTTTTGTTGTTGTTGTGTATGACCATAACAAACAGTGACGGTATCAGCGGCCGACCTTCAAACGTATCAGATTAGAGCGCCATCGCAAACGGGTATTGCACAGGGAGTCGTAATGACATCGGCGGGTGGCCTACAAACGGGTCAAGTGGTGGTTGAAGAGGCGTCCAAAAAACGAGAGCTCAGGCTATTGAAGAATAGGTTAGCAGTTGTTGTTGTCATTGGGTTTTTTGTTTTGTTTGTTGTCTTATATTTGAAATTTATTTATTTATTTATGTCATTCATATAGAGAGGCGGCAAAAGAGTGTCGACGAAAGAAAAAAGAGTACATTAAGTGCCTCGAGAATAGAGTAGCAGTTCTTGAGAACCAAAACAAGGCTCTAATCGAAGAACTAAAGTCTCTTAAAGAGCTTTATTGCCAAAAATCCGATTGAAAGCCCACACCGCCGATGATGATGACGAAGACGATTGTTGGTGTCATTGCTTTTACGGTTTTTTTAAAAAAAAATAATAATCGTATATATCATTTGAGTATATATACAATATATATAAATTTATATATAAATATATATATATATATATATAAAAATAATTATATGTTATATAATATAGTTTTTCTGTTATGTTTTACGCGCCAATCAATCTATTGGTATATATATATATATATTTCTGTATGTGAAAAGTGCTCCAAGCAATCAATCATTTTGTTTTATTTTTTTGACAATTTTATCCAACAAATTAATTTTGCTTTTTTTTATAATCATTATTATTAGACTTATTTTTTTTTGGACAATTTTTTGTTTGTGAATATCAAATTGTTATTGAATTTATGGTACTATACATATACAGTGAATATATGTATATATATATATATTAGCGTCTGTTTATTATTATTATATTATTATTATTATTATTACCTATAAACAAATTTATAGACGTTTTTTAATCCAATTAATAATTTAATTAATTATTAATTTAACGCAATTTTATTATTATAATTATTATTATTGTTTTTATGTTTCCATTTAGTAGAGCCTATGTATACCAATCTTGAATGTGAAACGAAACAAAAATTGTTTTTCTTATTATAATTACATTTAATTATTTTTTAAATATATATATATTATATATATATATATATAATTATTTCATTATCAATCATTGGTAAATAAGCATTAAAAATATTGTTCAACAAAAAAAATTTAATAAGATCTCATACATACATACACACACATATATATATGTATACATATAGATATAAATTTTGTAAATTAAATTATATATATATATATATAATTTAGTATGCGATTAATATATATTTATATATAGAAATTGTTTGGAGCACACAATTTATTAAACAAACAAAATGCGGTAAATATATAATTGTTTTTTTTGTTGAAAATATTATACAACAACAACAATAATACAACAGTGTATATTGAATTATATATATATATATATAAATTTATATCTTTTATTTTTAAGGGATAAAATATATATATATAATATAACACATGTATACTATAATTATTATTATAAATAATGAATGATATTATCACAAAAACAAAATATTATTTACATAAATAAATTATAAATAAATAATAAAAAGTCCGAAAGTCCTTAATAGTATTGATTCAAATAATAAAAAATTAATTACCAATTAATTTGTTGTGTTGTTTTTAATAATAATAATAAATACATTTTTAAAAATATCACATTTAACAATAAATATATATATATTTGGTTCGTATAATTGCTTAGCATTTAAACATTTAAGTTTTTTAAAATTTATAATAATTGTAATAATAATAATAATAATAATAAAATATATGTATATATTTATAATTATTTAATTTAGTAATAATATAGATTAAGAAATAATTTTCAGATAACAATTCACAACAAAATTTTTTTTTTTAAATATATATATATATATTAAGGAAATAATTATTAATATATTATATAAATATATTATAAACTTTTTTGGTTTGTTTGTTATGTTTTATTTTGTGGGTAAGTTTTTTATGTGTTTTTTTAAGTTTGTATAGTTGTTGTAATGGTATTGTTGCGGATCAACGACAACAATGTTGAAGAAGTAGCCGTATTGTTGACGATATGATGTCCTGCCGTACAGTAGTCTAACTCTCGGCCGTGACTACACTGGACACCGTCGATGACCCGTACGACTGCCAAAAACGTACCGACAATGGCCACTGCAAAGCCGAACAGAACCATCAGGAATGCCGGAAACTTTTGCCATTCAAGATTAGGTCCGGGATCTAGTTTTAGGTAGCATAGAGCTGGCAGTATGAATGCCAGGGGAACGGCTGCTAATACACCCTACAACAACAACAACAACAAACAGGTATTAAAAATCTATATATAAAGTAATAATAATAATAACTTACGTTAAGCTCGAGTACAATACCCAAGCAATCGGTAAACGTCGAGAATATAAAACAAGTCAACACAATAGCCGTTGTTATCATTATGTGATGGCATCGGGTTTGCGGTGGCTTTCCGTCCCAAATGGCGTTTTCCAATACCTATTTAGATAATTACAGGTATTATTATATACAGATATATCCTATATTTTTTTAGGTGGTATACCATACCTCTCGGACAACAAAACATTCGATAGGATAGGTTAGACAAATGGTGGCCGCAAACAATACTCGGGCTAAATTTGCCAAATCATCGGACATACAATAGTTTTCCAATAGATCGCCCTGACTATACTGGCCAAATGTGACGTACCCGAAGATTCCGTACAACAATATGATCAGACAGGAAGTACCCACCGATATATGGGTAATACGATTCCAGCGACTTTGGGTCGGATTTTCCAACGATTCGTACATCAGAAACGAGCTATGATGACACATGTATGCTGGGGGTGGCGTGGGATGGGATGGGGTTGGGGTAGACATGATCAATGAAATTAATAACAACAAAATTTTTATAAAATATTATAAATAATATATAATTACCAAATGCTATAATTCCTATCGATTCTGTAATACCATTGCCAACAAATTGATATTCATCAGCAGTATGTGGTCTAATGTTTTCATTATTATTATTATTATTATATTTTTCGGATTATTATTTAGGAAAAATATAAATTATAAAAATAAAAATTTTAAATTAATTTTGTGGTATTAAATATGATATTATTATTATTATTATTATCATTACTTACATTTTATCGGATAATGCTTCGAGTCTTATAAAAATAAACACAAGAATCACGAATACAAAGAATAAAGAGATTAGTGACACCTGTAATAGGGATTTGTTTTTTTTTTGGGATTAATTTGTTTTTTTGAAGACATTAATTAATATTATTTAATTTGTTTTTAGATATTATAATAATTAATTAAATTTTTAAGTTAATTAATTAATTAATTGATTGATTAAAATTTTCAACTACTTACTTTATTTAATTTCGATATATTTCTATACATTGATAGCGGAAATGTGATAAATATTGAACATATAAACACTAATGTATTGCGATTAGCGAGTAAACTGCTCGTTGAAACTAAATAATAATAATAATTATATTAATAGATATAACAAATAAATTATTAATAATAATAATAAAGAAAGTTTATATATCGTATAATATATCGTATAATAAATTACAAACAACAATAATAATACATATGTGATAAATAAATAATAAAAATAATCATAATTATATGTTTATATGATATTTAAATTATAATAATATTATATTTATATATAATTATATAATGATTGATATAAATATTGTATATACCATTAAATAAGCGGATCAATATTTTAGTAATCGTATCGCCAATTATAACATTATATGATATCATTGCTAGAAATGCGAAAAAATGCATCAAATAACAGACAAAAAAATTATTTTTGAATAATTATTTTTATATGAATTTTGTATTATATTTTTAATAAGAAAAATATTTTATATATATATATTAAAAGACAATTTATTTTGTTTACCAATAAATGGATATAAAAATTGGATAAATGTTAAAAGCCAATACCCAGGTGATCCAAATGATGCCCGCACCAGATCCTACCAATATATATATATATATATATATAATTAAAAAAATTATTTGCAAAAATTATTTTATAATTAATTATCATATATCAACATAAACAATATGTTTATATTATTAATAATATTAATTATAATAATATTAATAATAACCTGATATGTATTGACACCAACATAGTTGCCCGCTTTGACCATTATACATAATGAATAGTCAGTGATTATAGCTATTAACTAAATATAAAATTACAATATTGATTAATTATAATTACTAATTTAATAAATTTAACATAATAATTTAATATGCAAGTATTGATTGTAAATCAAATCAATTAATTAATCAATTAACTAAATTAATTACCACAATCAAAAAGATGCCGAAACCGAAACCACCAGTTTTAAGACTGTATGGAATTCCTGTCAAAAATATCATATGATTTATTTATTTATTTTTTTTTAGATAATTAAAATTTTATTACAAAAAATTAATAATTAATTAATTTACCGATAACACCCGATCCGATAATACTATTGACAAAATTAAAGCCAGTTTGATGTAGATTACTGGTAACACCTAACCGATTGGTGGTCGGCTCGATAACCAATTGTTTGGTATCGGTAGTTGTCTGGGATGATGTTTCATCATCGGCCTGTTTTTTTTGGAGGGGTGGGGTAGTGGGGTGAGTATTATTTTTAAATTAAATTTTATTAGATTTTATTAATTTATTTTGAAAAATATGTACTGCATATATAATTTTTTTATATATATATATATAGATATATATTTAGATATTTAATAACTATTAACAAAAAAAAATTATATACATTCAAAACTATGATAAAATAAATTTAATTATACATTTCATAATATTAAAAATTACAACTAATTAAATATATAATTAAATTTAATATTATATATATGTATGTATATATTAATATGTTTCAAATGTGTGCTTTGAAAAATTATTGTATAATTAAATCATTTATTTCTATAGTTTAATAATAATAATATATTTAACTTTTTTTAATATTATCTAATAAACTAATTAATTAATGAATTACCTGACTATTAGTCGAGTTAATTGTACTGATCTGTGATGTGGTGGTCTCCCGAAGTATATAAGTATTTTCATTAGCCATATGGACAACAAAAATAATATAACAATAATCTGATGACAGACACAAACAAACACACAGAATATCCAGATATTCACCCAAAAAAAAAAACAGTTGGCTATTATTCTGGAGGTGTCGACACCCAAAAAAAAGTAAAAATATTTATATTACTCTTATTTTAGAAATCTTTTAGAAAATAACAAATACATGTCAACAACACTTTAAAATACAATAATATGAAATAACAATTGACAGCACATACACACACACAGGATATGATAATTACTATCCGATTTTCAGCCAACCTTTACCACTGTGTATGTGTTTGTTTCTTCATATTATAAGCACTGGTAGGTTATATTGAAAGCGCGCACTCATAAGTAAACTGTATAACTCATACACACATATGTACAGCTCATGTATGTGTCTGTCTGTCTATCCGTCGCCAAACAAACTCACAGAATCTCTCAGCGAAATAAAAGATCGATATATTTGTTGACTAACTCTTTGATAGCCAATGAATGATAGACCAAATATATATATAACTATTTTTTGTTGTTTGTTTTAATTAAATAAAATACTATTTAATTAAAATTATTCATAAATCATATGAATGAAGATTATTATAATGATTATAACATAAAAAAAATTATACAAAATTTTCTCAATGAATAAATAATTATCAAACAAACAAAAAATAGACACAAATATGTTATTCAAAAATTGAAATTTGTTAGTGAAATAGAAAAATATATGAGAAATATTAATATTTCGCTTTTTAAACAAATAATTTCAACAATTTTTTTTTCGTATTATTCATTACTTTTAGTTTAATGAATTAGTTTTTTTAGTTGTTGTTTGTTGTTTAGTAAACTACTTTAATAAATAAATTTGGGTCATATCTTAATAGTAAAACCAAAACCAAAAACTACTAAATTTTTATTAATATAGTTTTTATTAGATAATTTGTTTATATATATATATATATATAAGTTATATATTGTATATACAGCGCACATGTGTTAGTTAGTTAATCGATGCAAAAATCAGTATTTTAAATAAATATATATATATAAATATAAAACTATTACTTTAGTTTGTTGTTATATTATACACACAATTAAGTTAAATAAAAATCTGATATTTTTGTTTTAATGGCTGATATAAACAATAATAATTTTTAATAATAATTTTTCTCTACTATTAAGTAGTGGTTTGAATATATATATATATTATATAAAAACTTATAATATTATTATTATTATTTTTAAAAAAAATATTAAACGCCACGTATGTTTTGACACTAATTTATTTTAAACAATACTATAGTATACCAGTATATATTGTAATTATATGGTAGTATATATATATATATATAATATAATATAATATATATGAGTCTCTTACCTAATATGTTGTATTGTATTTAAACAACAAAAATAATAATAATAATAATGATTATGTTTTAGTTGAATGCCTAACAAATCTTATATAATACTATATGATAAACATTAATGAGAAAAATCCATTATTTATAATATATAGTAGTATTTTATTATTATTATTATTACTTTTTAATAATATTAATACCCATACAAGGCTAATGGTAAAAACGTATGCAACAATTATTGTACATTTATTATACAATAATATATATACTGTATAATATAAGTGATAATATAAAATATGATTTAAGCAATTTGATTTAATTAATTAATATAATTATTTAAAAATTAATTTTAAAGCTTTATTTTTTTTAAAAAATAATTACTACTAATATAACTAATTAATTCAAATTAATTTGTAAAAATATTATATACATTATATTATTAATATTATAGTATAATTTTTTTTAGTGTCTGTTAAGTTTATAAAAGTTATATTATATTTTTTAATAAAAAGTTTTTATCATTTTTATTTAGTAATAGTTTAAACATTATTTTATTTTTATTTATAAATATTATTATTTATCACTACTAAAAAAAGATATGGTTTGCTTTTTTCAATAGTGTATTTTATTTTATAGTTTATTTTATTTTATTTATTTAAAATATGGTATTTCCGCTTTTGGCATATATTTTATTGAATGAATGTATGTATAGTTAAATAATTAAAAAAATGTTTAAACTATAATTACTTTTATATAGTATTAGATATCTTAATATTTATATTTATTTATATAATGGAAATTTTTCGTTAAAAATTATATATAATAAATATATATATATATTAATTTAATTACGAGATTTTAATTTTAATTAATTAGTTAATTATATGATATATATTAACTAATGTTTTTTAATTTAACTAATGTTTATATATATAAATTAAATAATATTATACTATATATATATATATATATATATATTACCGGTACAGTAGTTTGACATTTATAAAAATGTGTTCAAATTTCAAACAATAACAAAAAAGCTATTATTTTATTTTATCTAAAGTGCACTTTTATTTTTTATAATAATAATAATAATATTACTACTAGTTATTACTACAAATAATTTTTTTGAAAACTATACCTCTACTAAAAATTTTTGAAAACAACTTGTATTAAACTTACAAAATTTTAATAAATAATAATATAATAATGATTTTTAAAACATAGACATAAATAAATAAAAAATAATAATGTTTATAAAAAAAATTTTGTAAAAAATATAGTAAACATTATTTTATTTTTAAATACACTTGTTTTAGGTGATTGATCTAAAATAATAATATTTTTTATACAGTAATAATAATAATAATAATTATTATTATTATACTGTTATCTACAAAAACATATTGTATGTGATATCAGTAATATTATATCATATTAAAAATTTAACATGCTAACTTTATTTGACGGGTATATAAAATAACAATATTATGATAAACTAAACATAAAAAATATCATAAATAAATCATAATTTATATAATATATATCGTATAATATACTACATGTTGTAGTCTATTATATAAAAATGTATTATTAATATTTTATTAATATTGATAAGATATATATTTTTTTTGAATAAAAACATATTATATATTTAAATATTATACATTTTCTTACAAAATTATTTATTTATAACATAATATAAATTTTAACATTTTTCATATTAATATTATTACCCATGTCTAGTTTATCATAATTAATAATCGATAAAATATATGAACAACAAAAAATTTATTATACAGTATATTAAATATATTATTTTGACGACAAAATAATTTCAGCTCATGTTTTTAGTATCTAATAATAGATTTAAATCTAAGTGTATTTGATTTTATTTATTGTTGGATTCAATGGGTGTGTAAATACAATTATAAATTAAATCATCAATGTAAACTTAAAAACTATATATGATTTTTATATTTACATAAAGTTTTATAAAACAAATATTAAACACACATACAGTGTATATATATATATATATATATATATATATATATATACTTACATACATAGATACAATCGCATGATAATAATCATCCAATTTCTAAACATTTATAATACCGGTATAATATAATCTATAAACTATAATAGTTATACATTATATATATATATATATATATATATAAGTACTGTAAATCAATATAAAATCATGTTTTATTTTTAATCAATAAGAAAAATCATTACAAATAGTAGAGGTAATCATGATTTACTTTTATATACCAAATAAAATATTATACAACTATATTATACAACAACAACAAAATACACCAAAAAATATAACAAATGTTAAACAAATAGTTGGATACTATTTTTAGAGCAACAAGTTTTTTGTGTGTATTATATTTCCAATAGTATTATCTATTTATTATAATTGAAAAAAAAATTAAATATAAATTACTAAAACATTAAAACTATAATTGATTTTTTTTAATTGATAAAACTTTTGTCATATTATTATACATACTATTAGGATATCAATACATATATATTACTAATAATATGATAATAATTATTGATATTATTATTATTATTATTACACACTATATTTTAAGGGTACATATAGTATAGTACATGTGTGTCTATATATTAGCTAAATGTTACAAAAATTTCATGTATTAAATAATAATGTAATTCAATAAAAACCAGTGTATACTGTATTTTATGTTACAAATTGAATCTAAGATCATATAATTATATATATAAAATATAATTTTTGATCAGTGTCAATTAATTGTTAAGTTTAAAAATTACCTAATAAATGATATATAAACATTTTGAATCGAGGTAAATATCAAATTTAATATAATATGATATTATATAAAAAAATTATTATTAACTAGCTAAAATTTAGTTTTTAAAAATGCTATATTAGTAATTTTATATTTTTAATGCTACCATTTTTTTTAAAAAATAAATTTTAATTATTAATTTATTTTATATTTTAATTGACAAATATATCACATATTTAAAACAAATTTATCATGTTTATTTTTCACTAAACGTCCAAATACAATAAACTATCGTTATACATACAATAATAATAATAATATAGTAGAAATATTTTATGGTTAATAATTAATTAATTTTTAAAAAATTATTAATATAATAATTTATAATAAATTGTCTAGGTTATAATTTTTAATTTTTAAAAATATAACATGTTAAATTAAATATTTTTGTTTTGATTATTTCGACAAATTTAAAATAAATTACGTGATATTTTTTATTAATATAATATGTATGTTAATAATCAAAATTAAATTTGCCAAGGTCAATTATTTATTTTTATTAATTTATTTTATGATATAATAATTTTTAAAATTTTTATAATTATACTAAAGATTATTAAACAATATTTTTTTTGCAAATATAGTTATCTCCTTAAATAATATCAATATTTGAACAATAATTTTAAGATTATTTATTAAAACCTGAAATTTATTTATTTTTTTAAATTTGTCTTTTAATAGAAAATTATAATTTTATTATTATTATTTGGTGTAAATTTTATTTATTATTCGTGATAWATATATATATATAAATTTAAATTTAATTTTTAAAAATATTGTTGATTCATAACAAAATTAAAATTATGACCAAGAATATTCTTTATAATTTTACTTTCAATTTAAATAATACATTATTACTGTATATAAATTGAATACACATATCTTAAATTAATTTTAAATATTTAAAAAAAACATTTATATAAATGATAGTAAAAAAATATTTTGACGATTGACACACATATTTTAATTTATATGTCTATTACTAAAATATTGTATAATATTATCTTTTTTTAAAAAAATATATTTCAATATACAGTATATAGTATTTACATCAACAACAAATTGATTAGATATCAAATAATAGACATTAAATTTTATTAATATCTTACTAATAAACCAAAAATTATTATAAATCAATAGATTTTGATATATCAATATATATATGATATACTGTATATATATATTTCAATGCTAACTAATTAATTAAAATAAATTTTCAATAATTTTATTTTTGTTATTAGCAAATAAATTGTCACCAGAAAAATGTGTTCAAATAGTAATAATAATTTACCGATAATTCGGTTCACAAATTGTCAGATACTTAGAGACCATAAGATAATAAGCGAAGACTTGTGGGTCAGAAACGGAAAGATTATAAATCCGGAACCGATTTATTATTTAGAGAAACGATTGGCCGATATTGTCATTGACTGCAACAATCGGCTCATAGCTCCGGGCTATATAGACCTACAGATTAATGGTATGTTTTTTTTATAAAAAATTTTTTTTTAATCAAATCTATGACTAAATAACTTATGGTATATATATATATTTTAATATACTATCAAATTGTAGGCCACTTTGGTTACGACTTTTCCAACTGTGATATCGATATCGAAGAAGCTGTCCATAAGACAGCACTGGGACTCGTCAAACACGGAGTTACCGCTTTTTGTCCCACACTAGTCGGTCACCCAAACAAACAAATAAACAATCTTAAGATTAACGATTATTTTTTTTTATTTTACTTTTTTCAGGTGACACAATCGCGCGATAGTTATCACAAAATTTTGCCTCAAATCAAACGTACGGCCGGTTCCAAGTCCTATGGCTCAACCAATTTGGGCGCACACGTCGAAGGACCGTTTATTAGTCCATCGAAAAAAGGTGCCCATCCTATCGACTATATTAAGCCAATTGGATCGTATGCTAACATCCAGGACATGTACAAACATATGGACAATATATCGATTATAACATTGGCGCCCGAGTTGGACCCAAGCGGTGAAATTGTCAGACAATTGGTTAAATCGGGAATTACCGTATCGGTCGGTCATTCGATGGCTACACTAGAGGAAGGCGAACGTGGTATCAATGCCGGAGCGACTTTTATTACCCATTTGTTCAATGCTATGCTACCGTTTCATCACCGAGACCCGGGTCTGGTGGGCCTATTGACATCGACCGGCATTACGAAACAGATCTATTACGGTATTATTGCCGACGGCATTCACACGCACTATGCAGCCCTGAAAATTGCATTCAAATCCAATCCCAAGGGTATGGTATTGGTTAGCGATGCCATATCGGCAGCTGGTTTAGGGGTCGGCCGACATAAGCTGGGCATACAGGACATCGAAATCAAAGACAATAACAAAGCATTTATCTCGGGAACCGATACCCTGTGCGGTTCGATAGCAGCACTGGACTATTGTGTCCGACATCTACGTCAAGTAACCGGGTGTTCAACAGTAGAGGCCATTGAATGTGCGACACTGCACGCGGCACAAGTAATGAACATGGCTGACCGTAAGGGAACGTTGGCTTTTGGTGCCGATGCCGACTTTAACATACTGGACGATAAGTTGAATGTTTTGGCCACTTTTATTTCGGGTCAATGTGTCCATAAAAATGACGAAACGTTAGACATTACTATTTGATGTGTTTTGTTGTTGAAAAATTAGGTAAAAAAATATTTTTCTATAAATTTTTAAACAATTTTATACACACACAACTAATTATAAGTTACGGTAATACAGTATAAATAACTGTATATTAAAAATATTACGGTAATACCAATACTACCCGTATTTGTTATTTTTATAATAACAACCAATACAAGTAATTCATATAATTAAAACATACATTTATGATTATTATTATTATTTTTTCTTAGTATTTATTTCGGTAATTATTAAATATATATTTTTTTATTATATATTTTTCATATACAGTATATAATTAGCAGTGAAATAAAACAAATAAAAATGATTAACACATTTATATCAAGTGTTTGTGATTAGGCGGGGATTAGGGATCTTAATCTACAAGAGATAGATAGACAGAGATAGTGAAAGAGAGAAATACAGATAACGAGAGAGAGAGATGACTAAACAAGGAGAAGGTGGGGGTTATCCATAGAATTGGTTGAATGGATGGTCGGGTTTTTTTAGGTGTTAAGTATTTGCATTCATTGATTGATTGATTGATGGTATCATTCATTGATAATTTCCTCGACTCTAACTAAAATACTTTCGATTAGATCAAAGTTCTGGAGCGCTAGCAAAACAATCTGATGCTTCTGTTCGATGGGAATGTTAGGCAAAACACCGCCATTCCGGGCGCCGCCGATCTTCACCTCAAAGTTGACTGAATTTTTGCCGCTTTTGTCGACACTACCGCTGGTCTTCTGTTCTTTCAATTTACATAATTCTAGTTTATAGTGAGCCCGGGATAAGTCCAGGGCTTTATGTAACGGCTTCAACAGGTTGTCCCCGATATAAGGCATTAGATCCCATAGTTTTGTTTCATTTGTCGATCGGCTGTCTTTTAGACAAATATATCTGATTAGGTTTAATGTGGCAAATATTGTATCGTTTTGTTCCAGTAGATCGCTGGCCACTTGTTCGGGTAGCGATGACTTGATGGCCGACTTAAGCATTCGATGTAAATGTTGGCCGAGAAACAGATCCGATGTAAACATAAAATCTTTATATATACTGATAACAAGTCCCTGAAGACCCGAATGTTGTTGGGGTTGCGATAGTAATGACAATAGAATTTTATAGCGACCACTGTTGTCGAAGGCGACGACCAGACGCCGAAAGATAGTTAGAGCTCGTTTACGATGACTTTCAATGGCCGAATAGACCATTATCTGGACAAGTGACTTTTCAATTGGTATAGCACGGATCAGGTCCAAGAAGTTGGCCTCGAGTTGCCTGTCGTTGATTTGGGACAACAGCTGCTGAGCCAATAGCAGACCCTTTTCGTAGATCAACGATACGTCCGACCGAAGCAAATGGTCAATGAATTGCAGATGAATTTCAAAGACATAGACATGGGTGTAGACAGTCGGTAGAAAATTGATGGCACAACACGTCTCGCAGTGTACCAGATATGACAGATTGGCCATCGACGAGATAAATGTCTCTTTTGTTAGTTCAATGTCCGAACTATCACTACTACTGCCACTCTTATTATTGCTGATGAGGTCGAGCCGTTCGAATAGCATATAATAGTTGGACTGTAAACGGGAGATCAGTTGGACTACATTGATGGCTAACTCGCGGGATTCTCCTTGAGTTTCATCGGTGAGATCCAAGTGAAGCAATGGATGATCCAGTAGTCGTAACAATGCCTTCAATAGGATATTTCGCTGGATATGTGGATCCGATGTCTTGCTATTACAGTTTGCTGTTGTCGTCGTTATTGTCTGACTGTCTGTCATTGTTCCGGTTGTTTGTGTTGTTGTTGTTGTACTTTGTTTGGTAACATCGACTTCATTGACAAATGTGGCTAAAAACGATATATACAGCGGTAATACACTGTTAATCTGTTTGGCATTAATATCATTATCGATAAATTGCTTTTCTTGGCCATCAAACTGATAGTCATCGATGGTTGCGGTCGACAGACGAGTTATATGCGAATTCAATGTCGATAAAACCCATTTCAATGTCTCATTACGTTTGGTCGGCAACTGAACCAATACACACTCAAGCGGTTTCAGTATGGCTTTGAAGACATTATGATCGCACAGCTGTTGATGATAGTCATCGTTGGTCGCACCACCACTACCACTGTCGCCGCCGCTGCCGCCGATCGTATCGTTTTCCAATTCGGCCAAAAAGGCAATCAACACCTCTTTCGGCTTACATAAGACACTGACTTCGAGTAGCAACTGTTCGCACGTATTGAACGTCTTGAATCGGAACTCATTGAGACCACGCAAACGATTGCAGACCAACGGTATGAGATCCCAGACAATATCGAAATCGGTGACAATCAACTGTTTCATCTGATCGTTGCGGAACAGTTCGACCGCTTCCCTCATCTTATGTTTATCTAAATAGCATTTCAGTTGCGATAAGAACATCTGTTTGACATCTTGTGCCGACATTGTCGGTGTCGGTGTCGACGCGCCGGTTAAGGTGTCAGCTTAAAGATAAAGAGTTGATCCACACGTGTCTGACAAACAAACAGCTGAGTGACACAAATCAATTGAATCGATCGATCGATAGGTTTGTTTGGTTTGACTGTAATATATATATCTCTCTCTCTGTATATACAATGTTATGGCGATAAACACAAGTGTGTGTTGTGTTTATGTGTGTAATGCTATTCAATAGTACAGTATTTACTGTACTCTACTGTGGTATATGTGGTATGTATTGAGTGTTTTACTGTATAAATATATATATTTTTTTTTTTGACTATAGATTTCAATGTAAAAACAGTTTTTTCAGTCAAAAAACCACACGTTGTTGTCATGTGATTGACATTCAACTCTCCTATCAATCACTTACTGTCTGTCTGTCTGTTTGACCGCAAGTTTTTTTTTTGACCAATACTTTACGGGACAACTTTGAGTGAATGAGTAGTGGACAGGACATCATATCCATAACAGCTGATCCACTCATCGACAACTAGTATTGTTGTTGTTGTAATTTTCAGCTCAAGAAACTTCTGTCGCGCGACGACATCATTATCGCGATGACAGCGGCCGCGGCGGAGTCGGCAACGATGACCATCACATATGAGGCCACTGTCGGAACTGGTTGCGAGTTTATAGCCGTCGAAGAGTGTCAGCAAAAGTTATCGCCCAAAACTGTTAGACAAATGGACGGCCGTGTGTTCATCGAAACCGACCGACCAGTTGCCGAAGTACTACAACTGAAGTCTTGCGACAATATCTATGTTGTTATCTATGATAAAGAATTTACTGATGATTTTCCGGCCGCCACTGATTCGGCTGGCGATGATCTGAGACAGTTGTTGGCCCGCGTGTCGTCTGACTGTCAATGGGAAAGTGGACTTCGGATATGGTCGGAGACATTCGGATGGAATAAATGCCAGTTGAATACTATATTGGACACGAACTGTACGGCCGACAACAGCGAACTAATTGAATTGAAGCCGGCTTTTCGGGTGACCTGTAACCGAACCGGTAGTCGACACAAGTTTACATCAAACGAATGTGCCTCACATTTGGGCGCCGTTATCAACGAAACCTACCGGTGGAAGGTATCGATGAAACAGTTTGACATCGAAGTGGTGCTTACAATCAAAGACCGTCATCTATATGTAGGACTGGCATTGACTCGGGAATCGTTGCACAAACGGAATCTGGTTGTATTCGGGCCGACCAGTCTCAAGTCGACAGTAGCCTTCCATATGCTATGGATGGCCAACATTCAGTGCGGCGATTTGGTTTGCGATCCGATGTGCGGTTCGGGTGCCATACCTATTGAATGTTTGCACAATTGGCCAACGTTTGGCCTATCGGGTGACAATCATCCGGTAGCTGTCGAACGTACTCAGATGAACAACGGCCACAACCAGTCGCTGGTGGATGTCATCAGGTTTGACGTCCGAGCGCTACCCTTGCGAACCAATTCAGTAGACGTATTCTGTACCGATTTACCGTTCGGCAAACGTTTGGGATCTAAACACGACAATCGGACACTCTATCCGGCCCTACTCATTGAGCTTAGCCGTTGTTCGCGTGCGGGCACCGGCCGTATGGTATTGTTAACGCAAGACAAACGAAATATGAACTACTCGTTAGGTAATCCCGCAGTGAAAAAGTATTGGAAAATTGTCCGAACAATGTTCGTCCGCATCGGCGGTCTCGACGCTTCCATATTTGTTGCCCGAAGAAATGCCGTACCATTTGAATGAATACATATCTTCCTCTTGAGTGAGAGCTCTTCATTGATAATATATTTTTTTTAATAATAATATATAACTTATTGTAAATACAATATTCAATGACTAAACCAATCGGTGATATCAATAAAAAAAACAAATCGCAAATAATTTTGTTTTTCTTTAATATTACTTTTTTTTAATTACATTCAGAAAACAATAATAAAAAAAACTTCTTAAGCAATCAACTCGTACGGTACGGGTTGCAAATTCTGCGGTTTGTTAACAGTCGACACCCGAATCAAATGGCCAGTACGCGGCTGTTTGGGCTGACGTTTCAATAACAATCGTTCGCCGGTTTCTTTTGCCAACTTTTTCAACTGTTCGTTACGTTTGACCCGATCCAAGAAGTCTTGGCGACACTTACTATGAGATAAGTGCTCCACTCGGACATTGATTTTCTTGGCAATAATACGATTGCGGACACGTTTGTTGATGATAACACCGACAGCGTGTTTGGTTACATTGTAGACGCGTCCAGTTTTGCCGTGATAGTACTTGAATGGCATACCCTTCTGAAAGGCACCGTTACCTTTGATATCGACAATATCGCCCCGTCTGTAGACTTTCAGATAAGTGGACAGATGTTCGACGCCGTGTTGTTTGAATTTACGGGCAAACATATAACGGGTTCCCCGTCTGATACCCTTTGGATTTGTCATCCTATTACCGACGGCGGCGGGAGTGAGGAAATGGTGTGTAGGGAAACAAACAGTTTGTTAAAAACTACCGATAAATAGGATATCAATGGATCACTTACTTGGATCAGTAGTCTTCAGCAGTTGCTGTTGTTTTTCCGACAACTATTTGATGGCTAAACACAACAGGAAAAGGAAGAAGTCTTTTAAATAATAACAACGTTTCAGTGTTGAAGAGGTGTTGTCCATAAACGACGTCCCATATAGTACTGTAGTATATGGTTGTTATGGAAACGTTGCCAATAAGGGAAACACCTATTTTTAATGCGGTATTTATTACATACAGTAGTAGTCATTGACTGACAGTTTGTTTTTGATTGCAATTAAATATTAATTAAATAATTTAATTAATTATTTATTTTTTATGATTAATAATTAATTAATTAGTATTTTATTTATTTTTTTTCACTGAAAACAAAATGTAATCAAAAAAAGACTTGATTTGTTTTCTTCACTGTCTGTCACTGTGTTTGTGTCTTCAACTGCATGTGAATCTCTTCCTCTTATATTTAGCGGCAAATGATGTCCGCAATTGTCGCCGCCGTTGTTATTGTTGCCGTTGCCGTCGGCCGCCAACTATTATCTCATTAAACCAATTATCACAACATATATCTCTGAAGAATCTCTGAAGAATATCTCTGAAGAATATCTCTGAAGAATCTCTCGGAAGAATATCTCTGAAGAATATCTCTGAAGAATCTCTCGGAAGAATCTCTCGGAAGTATATCTCTGAAGAATCTCTCTGAAGAATCTCGTGTCTCACTCTTATATATATACCTGAAGAACAAGAATGGCGTTTATATCGTTGTCGTCGTTGTTGTTGAGCATCACCGCCAGTGACAAACACATCCTACACTGTCTTCTCTTATTGATTGTGATACTGACATTCGAGTCGATGTCCGGCGGCCTGAAGTTGTGGTATACCGACAGTGACTCACCGCCAATCGATCCGTTCCAGGCGTACGGCTATTGGACAGCCACTGGACTCTATATACTCCGGGCGTTAGCATTGCTATCACTACCGCAAGTGTTGTGCAACTTCTTGGGCCTCACTCTATACAATGCTTTCGCTTCGAAGGTCACACTAAAAGGTACGCCACTGTTGGCACCGTTTATCTGCATCCGGACGGTAACCCGTGGCGACTATCCCGATCTGATACACAACAATGTCAACAGGAATCTCAATACGTGTCTGGGAGCCGGTCTCGACAATTTTATCATCGAAGTGGTTACCGATAGGCCCATTGGTCTGGTCAAGAGTCCACGTCTACGTGAAGTAGTAGTTCCCACTGATTATAAGACCAAAACTGGTGCCCTATTTAAGGCCAGAGCTTTGCAATACTGTCTGGAAGACGATAACAATATATTAGGTGATAACGATTGGGTGGTACACTTGGATGAAGAAACTATTATGACTGAGAATGCCATTCATGGTATACTAAATTTTGTGGTCAACAATAAACATGAATTTGGCCAGGGATTGATTACGTATGCCAATGAGGATGTAGTCAATTGGTGGACTACGTTGGCCGATAGTTTTCGTGTGGCCGATGATATGGGCAAACTTCGGTTCCAGTTCTATATGTTTCATCGGCCATTGTTTAGTTGGAAAGGTATGTATATATCATATATATATATATATATATATATATATATATATATATATATATATATATATATATATATAGTATATTTACTAATACTAACCGATATTTGACAATAGGCTCGTATGTGGTCACAAAACTCAGTGCCGAACGAGCCGTATCGTTCGATCACGGACTGGACGGTTCGGTAGCCGAAGATTGTTATTTTTCGATGATTGCCTACAAAAATGGCTATACATTTGACTTTATCGAAGGAGAAATGTGGGAAAAAAGTCCATTTACTTTATTAGATTTTCTTAAACAACGAAAACGTTGGATGCAGGGTATCTTTCTAGTGGTCCATTCCCCAGCCATACCCTTGCAAAACAAAATATTTCTGGCCCTATCCCTATACGCATGGCTAACAATGCCGTTGAGTACATCCAATCTGATATTTGCCAGCATATATCCTCTGCCATCGACATCCTGGTGTAACTTTTTGTCCACATTTGTCGGTGCCGTATCCATCTATATGTATATATTTGGTGTAATCAAATCGTTTACATTGACCCGTATCGGCATTGGCCGTTATCTACTATGTCTGGTCGGTGCCGTACTGACCATCCCATTCAATATAGTCATCGAAAATGTTGCCGTTTTGTGGGGTTTTATCGGCAAAAAGCATACCTTCTATATCGTTCAAAAACAATATAAACCATCGTTTAATGTTTGATTTATTGTTTGTTTTTCTAGTTTATACATAATATATATATATATATAAATTGTTGTTATATATTGATATACTAAGTTATAACTCTATTATTATTATTATTACCCTACTCATTTTATTTTTTAATAGATAATTTATTTAATTATGATTGTTAAAAAAATACGGTAATGTACTTGGTATAATTGATGAAAAACAATTGATTATTATTATTATTACGATTATATTATTTCCTAAATTTTATTATATTATTTAGTTTAATTTTTATTAGCTTTTAGCGAACAAATTTAATTTATTATTTACAAAAATTCATAAAAAAAATTAATTATAATTGTTTATAGATACTTATAATTTACTCATTAGATTATATTAGGTTTAGCCAACCCCACTCCCCCCCCCCTGTGCATAGATTTAATAATAATTAAAAATGTAAAACTGTAGTTAAAAAATTATATATATATATAAAATTGTAAATAATTTAATTTAATAAATCAATAAATAATTAATTAATTAATAATAATTATAAAAAAAGTTACAATAATTTCAATAATATATTATAAAAAATTTAAAAGCATTTAAATTGAATCAATATCTAACAATAAAATTAACTAGGTAAATAAAATCTGAATTTAAAAAAAATAATAATACAGTATAATAACAAATAAAACATTAATTATTAAACTTTTTAAATTAAATTAATTAATTAAACAAAATTTTACAAAAAAAATATATTTAATTTACAATAGTATTGCATAACATTTATACATTAAAAAGTCTATACATTATTATAGGTGTAATAGTTTTCTATTAATGTTTATATGTTTTGTTTGTTTATTATTATTATTATTTTGATTTGTTTTGTGGCAAACAAACAAACATATGATTGATATTTAATAGGATATATCATATCATATATCATATAATAGCCGATCCTATCGATGACCACCAGATAACTATGGCCACCACCACCAGTGATGATAATGATGAACAACAACTGGAACAATGTCTTCAACAATACAGACAAGAGGTTGGTGGTAGTAGTAGTAGTGATTTAATTCATCAGATCCAATGGATTTTGATGGTTATTATTATGTATTATTTTTTAGTTATCACTGGTCAATGCAACCATCGATGGCGATGACCAAAATAACGGCGGACAACAAGAGATTCGGGAGTTAAGAGACAAACTTCAAGAGATTATATCGTTAACTGAAGGTTTGTTTGTTAGCTGTTGTTGTTGTTGTTGATGATGATGGATGTGTCCATCAATTTTGAATGAATGACAACAATATATGATATATTGAAAGAGATTTTCCGCTTCTTTTAGCCGATTTGGTCGCTATTAAAAAAGCCCGACTATTGGCTGAAATCGAGTCTCAACAACAACAACAGCCACAAGAAAAAGTTGCAACTAATTCAAGTGATAATAATAATTATAGTGAACCACAACCATCATCATCGTCGACATCATCATCGAAGGACACAACAAGTGAACGACCAAACGATTCAATTGACGATATCCTCAGCGAACTGAATGGCAAAGAATGTAGAGTACCATTAAGTCAATCAAACGGTTCAGTCAGTTATCATAACGCTATCATTATGACTGCCGAAGAAGACAGCGGTGCCACTGATTTGTCAGCGATTAAAGTCAAAGTTTTCTTTATGTATCCGATGAACAACTCAATGCTTGCCTGTCCTCACTATCTGTCGGCCAGTTGTCGTTTTCCGCCAGAAAAATGTCGTTATTCTCACGGGTTTTCCGTATCGTTGGCCAACATCCGGCCATTTGAACCGATAGACTATACGGGTTTGCGGCGCGATTCGCTATGTTTGGCCAAATCTTCAGTAGACTCTCTGTGGCACAAAGCCATCATCGATGACATCAACAAAGATAACGATAAAATTATTGTCAAATACTGTGATAGAGACAAATGTGTGGATACTGTCGACATTGAAGATCTATTACCACTTAATGGTGATAATAATGATTGTTTTGATGGCGACAATTATCTACAACAACCAAATCTGAGTTTGAATGATGAAGAAGACGTCGACAGCGACAATCAGTTAGTGGTAACTGAGTTTAAAAGTGATTCAGCGATGGCTGAATGGGAAGCACATACCAAAGGTATCGGTTCGAAGCTATTGATGAAAATGGGTTACGTTTGGGGACAAGGACTCGGACAGAATGGTCGGGGAATTGTCGAACCAATCGAAGCCTATGTTTTCCCGACGGGTAAATCATTGGACACATGTATGGAGTTAAGAGATAAACATCTATCAGGGGATGACTTGAAGCAGAAAATCAAAGCCAAAGCAAAGTCGAGACGCATTCAGAAGTCGATAGCAAACGGCTATAACAGAGTCAACAATAATAACAATAGCAATAAAAAGACCGATGTTTTTGATTTTATTAATACAAAAATATTTGCAAAAACTTCAAGTAGTTCCACATCGACTAAAACAATCACTTCCAGCAGCAGTAGTGATACCAAATCAATAGACACTAAACAGCTAAAGACATCAAACATACAGTCATTGAATATAACATTATTTAAAGTAACGGAAGACTTGAGTAAAGCTGATAATGAATTGAAACGATTGAAAGATTCAATGGTTAGACATAAGAATAGATCAGACAGTGGTCTTATGTATAGTCAGTTGAAAGAAAAAGTTGATAAACAGATCCAATTGATTGCCAATCTTAAGAAAAAGGAGTCAATGATTCAAAGGGAACAATTGAGTCGATCTAATAAACATAAGTTAACTATATTTTGATTTATTATTTATTTTTAAAAATTATAATTAATTAAATATTTAAATTTTTGACTTAAATTACACCACTATCATGTAGACTATTATGATAAGTTAATGGGGGGGGGGGGTGCATAAATTTATCTAGATAATTTAGACTGTAAAAAATATATTATTAATTTTATATTAAATGACTGGTAAAATAATAAATTTGTTTTTTTTTTTGTATAAATCATATCTTATTGTAAAATATCAATTGTTTTTAATGATAATTATATTGTAATAATAATATTGTAAATAAAATCTCTGTCATAGATTTTTAAGTATATATATATTAGTAAATTATATAACTTGACTATTATAAAAAAACGTCCATGATATAATTTAACATTGTATATACTGTAGTAATTATAATGTAATAAAACTGATACACTAATACTAATTGCTAATTATAAGTTTACCCCCTGATTAATAATTATTATATCAATATTAAAAGTTAACCAGGGTGTGTTTTATTTATTAATCAAATTAACTATATACATTGTTTGATGATATATAATCTCGTAACTTTTGTAATTTTGTATGTCAAATCACTAATTTAATTATAAGTAAAAAAATAAAATTAATTTAAACAAAATAATTAAATGTATCATTAATTTATTGTTGATTGTGTGTGTCAATCAATTGTTTAGTATACCACTGATTACCGGTAATTGTTTAATTTTTTTATAACAAAAATTATGTGAAACTATCATCGATGGCCATCCTATGGATCAAACATAACTGTATGTAAATATATGATATATAATTTAATTTTAATATCAAATTAATAAAAACATCAGATTAGAAATATTTTTTTTTATTAATTATAATATAAATCATTAAATCATATTTATTACAATACAAAAAAAAACAAAACAATTATCACTAAAATTACAATACAAAAAAATGTGTGTATATATATTTTGTAGATCAATTATCAACTAATTATTTATTTAGTTTTTTTTTTATAAAAACAATCAATCATTCAATTAAACTAATTATTTATTTAGTTTTTTTAAAAATAAAAATCAATCATTCAATTAACTAATTTATTTGAGAAACAATTATATTATGTAATAATAATAATAATAAGACTATTATTTAAGATATCATATCTAAATAAGTGTTGTATAATAATAATTAATTAATTATAAAAAATGTATGGCTATTATTGTCATTTGATATGATTGTCATTATCTTCATCATCATTGTTGTTGTGGTTGAAGTTGTTGTCTATCTGTTTGCTGAAGTTGTATCTCTTGAAAGCGTTGGCTAATCCTTTGATTCATTTTCAAAAACTTATCGAAACAATTGTTAGCGCATTGTTCCTCTTTGGTGGTAACCGTACGTAATGTCATATCGTGGACACAATCGGTAAAACAAATTTCCGATAGTTTATTATAATTCAATATAAAATCCTTGAACTGTTTGATCTGATCGGCACCGGTTGTCTGGTCGGCCATATTGTGTTTGGTGTCAATCGGTCGGCGGGTGAATGGATGGGATAGTATGACAGACCACCACAAAAAATGTGATGATAATAACTGCTATAATTTAGTTAACAAATTGCAATTTGTTTGTGTTGTTGTTGTGATATTAACACTACTGTATAATAAACATGTGTTTTATAGTGTAATATATAAACAGTGATTATAGTCTAGAGTACTGTATTTACTGTGTATTTGACTGTTAAATATTATATCAATACAAATGCAATGCAAACTTCAAAAGTCATGTGATTAACGCATGGATTTCAATAGATTTTTTTTTTGTTAAAAATCAATTTTTTTATTCAACTAATTTTTGTCAATTTGCCGGACAATTGATACAATTACTACTCACTTAGACCCCGCACCCACCCCCCACTATACTTAAACTATATGTGGGTTTAATCATGTTTAAAATTAGTAGTTATTTAATTCCCCCCCCCCCCCAAAAAAAAAATTAATCGTTGATGTAAAAGCACAATTAATAAAAACTTATTTTTTTTAAAACTAAATATTTATTTAAAATTTTGTTTTTAAACTTTTTTAAAAAAATATTCAAACTGATTAATAATAATAATAATTAAAATTATATTATTTTTATTAAGTTATATGATATATATATCAAGTTATTTTCTTCTATTATTAATATAATTTCTTATATAAATTTTGTTGAAACTTTGAAGTTTTTTATTTTTAATATTTTAAAAATTAGTATTTATTATTAGTATAATATAATTATAAATTTAAAAAATAAAAAATTATACACAAATTCATAAATCGGTATAATATATACTTTTTTATTATTATTTTATTCAATCAATAATAAAATTTATATAAAAAAAATCAATTAATAATACTATCGGTAAATGCAAATCAAAATCACTTTCTGCACCGTTTTGTTTGTTTGTATTTTCTTCAAAAATTACATTTTTTAAATAAAAAACTTAGTATAAAAAAATGTTTGTTTGTTTTGTGTTTTTTTAATAATAATAATTATTATAATTTACAATATATTTCAATCAATGTGTATGTGTTTTTTGGTCCCAAATGATATAAGAAACAAAACAAACAAATAATAATAATATCAAAAATGATTAGTGATTTATACAATGAATACAAATTTAACTTTTTTTTGTACAAACATTTTGTTTTTTTTGTGCAACTTTTGGTGTATTTGTTTGTTTGTTAAATATATAAAATATAATAATAATAATAAACTCTAAAAAAACAATATTTTTTTAGATAATTAGTAAATTAAAAATCAATAACTTTTTCTAAGACACATATTAATTAACTATAATATAGCACACAATTTGTTTTATTTATTTTTTAAAAAACAATTGATTTTTTGTTTGTTTATTTAAAAGTGTATATAATATATAAAAATAATTATATAAATAAACTCTATATCACTCTCTATTTATTTCTATACTGTAGTTACCTTTAATTAATTAAAATAATTTTCAGTTAACACTTTCAATCAATGATTATTAGCTAAATATATATTTGTATAAATGTAAATATAAAAATATGTGCAATATTATTTTATATATAATAATAATAATTTAAACTATATATAGGTTATAATTAAATGTATAATATAAATATAAATATAGAATCTAGTTCAATTATGTGGGTATACTTTCAAATAAAACAATTCAACTCGATCAATAAAACAAATTGAATTAACATATTATAAATGTAGTTATAAATATAAATATATATATAATTAATTAATTAAGTATATAATGATTGTGTATATAAAATATAATATAATAATGTATTGAAGATTCAATAATAATGGTTTTCAAAGTGTTGTTGTTGTTGTTGTTGTTGATCTAAAAGTGATCTATTTTTATGATATACTTGTTGTTGCTGTAATTGTGACCTTTCGTTATCAAAAACGTACAATTGTTGACCATTTTGTTGTTGTTGTTGACTACCAATCGATTGCTAATTATTATTAAAGACAACAACAAAAAACAGAATTATTTTCTCTATTTAATACCACAAGAAGTAGTTCAGTGACACAATACCTGTTGTTGTTGTTGTTTCTTCCTATTGATTGATGCGTACGAATCATAGATAGGATCGTTAGGATAGACCCGCTGATAGAAAGCTCTCAATTGATCCATTCGTTCATTTCTGGTTATACGGTCATCACTGCCTCCAGAGTCATGGTTTGCTGTTGTCGTTGCTGTTGGCGATTGTGAGGTGTTGTTGTTGCTGCTGCTAGGTGTGCTATGTTTTGGTTGATGATCGCTACTACCACCACCACCACCACTGCGATTATGACCACCAAATCGTTCGCCAATTGCCGACTTTGATCGCTGTCTTATCGGTGGTAATTGTTGTTGACCTCCTACACCACCCCGGTGTGGCATATGTCCGGAATATTGGCGTTGAAATTGTTGTTGTTGTTGCTGCTGATGTGATGATGACATGGGTATCCTCTCCGCATTAGATGATATATAGATAGGCTGTCTATTTTGAGCACTGGAAGGTATGGCACCATTGGATGGTTTATCATAGATATCTTTATTTGCCTTTATATTATTATTATTATATAAAATGCAAATATATATATATATATATATATATGAGATAAACAAAAATAATTGAATTAATATATAGTTAAAATTTGTTTGTTAAACAAAAAAACGTTAAGATACAAAATACATGCATTTATTACTATAGATTTAGATTATATAAAGAGCCCACCAATACCTTAGAGGAAGAGGAGGAGATAACCAAATGCCGAGGACTGGGAGAATAGTTAGCATATATAGGATATGATACATATATTTGAGTATTATTATTATGGTTAGCATTGTTTAGCAGATTTCTATCGTTGTTTTGATCAAACTATATATAAGATTTTTTTTTAGAGAGAAAGAGTGAGAAAGAGAGAGAGAGGAACGTTAGGTATAATGTATATGTGCTGTATATTGACTAATATTAATTAATTAATAATATATTGTTGATATTTTGTTGGTATAAATACCTGATGTTTCCTATTGATCGAACTATAGGTATCATAAACTGCGGGCACATTATTATCGTTCGGATAGATCCGATGTCTGCCTTCCATACGCTGGTATTGAGCCCTGAGTAGAGCCATACGCTCGTTACGGGACATACCGGCTGCCGGTTCATTGCTATCATAGTTGGCCGTATGATCACCGGCTGTGCCGTAGATCGGCGTAATCTTTCCATATGTTTCGTGATTTGTTTGACTCCACTGTTGCTGTTGTTGTCGCGGAGCCGCTATTGGCTGTACTGACCGTACCATTTGTCCCGAATTCTGACGTTGAAGCTGTTGCTGATGTTGTTGTTGTTGTTGAAGCTGTCGCTGTCGTTGCTGTTCCATCAGTCTCTTGTAGTGCATTTGTATCCTCTCTTGTTCCATGACATAGACTTGTTGTGCATTTTGGTGATGGTTGCTTAGCGTACCATTTGATGGCTGATGATGATCATCAGCTAATCCTTGTTGTTGTTGCTGCTGTTGTTGTTGTTGTTTATCAGTCTTACGACCCTTTTTCGAGCCCAACTTAAACAATGTTTTCAACAAACGTTTCTTTTTGCCGCTATTTTTCTTCTTCAGAAAACCTTGAGCTTCGTCTTCGGTGGTCAACTGTGAAGACGTGGCCGTATTGGCCGTACAGTGTGTACTGGCCATTGAGTGAGCAGTACCGGCAGCAGGTTTCAGATAAATAGTTTGCGTACCGTAAATGTGTTGCTGGGGCTCATGTTGTCGTTGTTGTTGCTGCTGCTGGTGGTGACGTTGTTGTTGATGATGTCGATGACGTTGTTGTGATATATTTTCAACTGAAGAACCACTATCGCTGTCGTCACACTCTTCGGCAACTATTATAACAAAAAAATAATTAATATATTTACCGATAATTGATATAATCCAATCATATAATCAATTGTAATATCAATTACCCGTTTCCATAGTTTCATGATTATTGTCTTCATCGTCGTCGTCATTGTCCAAATCGTACGATCGGTCGACAGCAACCCTAAAGCTTTCGTTTGTTTCGCGACTTCGGGAAACACGACCTCTCGATGATGTAGTCGAATGTCGGGCTATTGTTGAAAATGGTTTGACAGTTGCCTCCAACTGTTCCTTTTGCAAGTCTTGCATCAGTGTCTGTAAACTTTCTAAACTACACGATCGTCGTATGCCGACACCACCACCAGCTGCTGCTGGTCCGACACATGTTTCTCGGTTAGTCGGACCGCCGACACGTATTTCCTGGCCATTGGTCGATGATGAATAACCGGATGATGTACGAACCGTATGATATGGACACGAACCGGGCGATCGACACTTCCCTATAATAATATTATGACATTATCGGTAATATATATATACAGATTATTATTTAAATATTTTAAAAAATGATAGAAATTTAAAAAATAATAAATAATAGATTTTTCGGCAAACAATCGGATGCAATCAAATAAAAAATGCAAATTATAAATGAAAAAAAATTAAATTATTATAAAACATATTTAAAAATATAATAGATTTAGGCAAACAAAACGATGCAAATTAACAAAAATTAAATGCAAATTAAATGTTCAAAAAAATAAAAAATGATAATTTCGGTAAACAAACAGTGCATTCAAATAAAATTAAAAGTGCAGACAATATATGTATACAACACATACAACAACAAACCCCCGGCGAAAACAGTGTTGTAGTTGTAATTGTGTTTCGGCTTTTTGATTGTCGGCCACTTTTTTCTGTTAATATAGTAGTAGTAGTTGTAATAATAACCAAATACCACACCACAAAAAAACAAATATCAAGATATTATATGTTAATAAACAACAAAATCCCATTAATAACCACAAAAAAAACAAACAAACAAACAATTTTAACCAATAATTTATAAAAGTTATTGAAAAAAACATCACCATATCATCTATGATATATGATTTATAAATAGATATCATAGATATATACATACTTTGATTGCTTTTAGTCAGATCCTTAACCCTTGTTTGATGTGTAGTAGGAGTAGTAGAAGTAGTGGTAAAAGTTAAAGAATCACAAGAAGTAGATCTTTGATTTATTAATGAAAGATTGTTAACTGTTTTATGAAATACTATATCCAAAGATAGAGAGAAAAAGAAAAAAAAGAAAGAATAATAATAATAAATAGGAGTTAATAAAAAAAAGTTAATTAATTTTTAATTCAATATTATATAACTGATAATCAATAATAATTTGTTTTGTTTTTTTTCATTGAAATGATATTTTTTTTAATAACACAAACCTAATTCATGTGGACTCAGATCCGATTGATTGTGGATCGGTGTCACCGGTTGTTGTTGCTGTTGATGATGTTGTTGTGACTGTGGTGTCGAATCTGGCATTTGTTGTTCCTTTTCACGGCCCAGTCGTTCCCTTTCCTCTTTGGTCTTTTTGTTCCGACGATAGGTATCGGTATTTTTTGCGTCCAACTGTGCGTGTCGTTTCTCGGACATCGATTGCCTACCGAAACCGTCGCGTCTGAATCCATCGGGATCTTCTTCATCGTTGTTACCGCCATTAAGCGATTGTTGACTTTGTAGTTGATGTTCACCACCATTATTATTGTTGTTGCCATCGTTAATACTGCTATCACCACCACCACCACCGCTGCCAACACCACCTGTCCTATAAATAGTATCATTTTCGGTACAATCTCTTTCGATAAGTACATCACTTCGAGTGATGATATTATTATTATTCGGCGTTTTCGTTGAGCCATAAATGGTTTGGCCATCAATCGTATATAATTGTTTAATATATGTCTCATCAGCAGATGATTGGCGTGTTTTCAATGGTGTCTGCGGCGGTGTCATCATCATCGTCGGTGACAACTCGTGTTGTCTGGACGGCGTGTTTTGTGACTCTTTTAGCGGTGATCTACTGGTATTAGACTGTATTGATTCGCTTCTTGGATGATATATAACAGTGTTGTCGCCGCCGGTACTGGTGGCCGATGGATAACTATTATCGTTGTAATTATTATACGAATAATCGTCTGAATTCATAGTAGTATTCTGACAGTAGTTGTAGTTATTATCTGAATTTGATAAACCATTTGACGATTCATTAGATACGGTACTCAACTGGGAATCATTTCGTTGATGAGCCGAATTGGGGACACCATTATTAATATCATGAAATTGATTAGTCATCGACATTGCCGACGAAGACAACTTTCGGGCAATGGTTACGGTAATGGCATTCGGATTGGCAATTGGACCGTCGCTCAGGATCATAGCCCGACGCAAGGTTTCCATTGCCTGACTGTTGGACATTCCCAACAATGGAATGCCGTTAATATTAACCAACTGGTCGTTGGTCTTCAAGCGGCCATCTTTGGAAGCGGCGCCACCATGGATCACCGATTTGACAAAAATACCCAAATCTTCGGTAACACCTCTGACAGTAGTTGTCTTGCCTTTCATACTGACTCCCAAACCGGCCGAACCCGTATCGTTCAATGGTATTTCAAATGTCAATACTTCGCGTTCATTGCCACCAACAGCTGTTTCAACACTACTTGACTTTTCCGGCGGCAATTGTCTCGGTTGCATAGGCGACGGTGACAGATCAACCTCCTGACGGGAGACAATCAGATCGACAATCGTACCCATCGGTTGGGTACGCAATATATTTACAGCTTCGGGTTGGGTTTTGCCAGTCATTTCGATGCCGCACACTTCGAGTAGGCGATCACCTGATCGAAGTCGGCCGTCCTCGACAGCGGCACCGTTCGATAGTATATTTTTTATATAGATGGGAGCGCAACCACCTGTAGGGTTATCACGGGTAGTAATACTGAATCCAAGTCCTTCGGGACCTTTTTTAAGTTGAATGTGATATTTTTTGCCAATTTTACGTGTATTGGCCACAACTAATGCTGCAGTAGTGGGAGTCGGTTTATGATTAGTACCGGTATTACCGGTAGTAGTAGCAGTAGTAATAGCAGCACTATTGGTAGTAATAATAGTTGGCGTCATCTTTTTGGTGGGCGTAACAGTGGCCAGTTTAGTTGGCTGAACAGCTCGTTCCTCACCTTCGACCATACCTTCGATGGCCCGAAGCTGTTGATGTTGGCGCATAACATTCACTGGCTTCGGCAGTACCGGTGGCGGACACGACGGCTTGAGCCGCAAACTACTACCACTATTACTAATTGAGCCGATATTTTCACTAACATTTTGATTACATTTAATTAGACAAAGTTTAATCTCATCACTGGTTAGGGCATCTTTGAATACACGCTGAGCGCCATCAAAGTCCATATAGTTAAGACTTTGGCCGTTGATGTCGATGATAACATCACCGACATTGAATCGGCCATCACGATCGATGCGGCCATTGGGTTCGATACCGATAATTAGCAAACCTTTTTCACACATATTATCACTATCGGGCAGTACATGTATGCCCAGTGGACCCGACTCTTTGGCCATTTTTACTATCACAGTCGACTGTACAGTCATTGTCACATTTTTGATGTGTGGATCGGAATTATTGTTTGGATGGCTATTATTATCACTACTGTTGTTATGATGATCATCGGCATCGGCTATCTCTTGTTGTTGTTTAATGTCCTCAATGGATAGCGATCTATTTACCGATGATGAGGATGACGGCGATGACCTTCTGTTGTTGTTGTTTTTGTTTGACGAACCGTAGATCATGTGCTTTGGCAGCGAATTGTAGTTTTTGTATAACTCTTTAGCCGAACTACGCTGAGGCGAGCGTTGTCTATCGGCAGCATCGGACCAAATATCCAGACTGTTGACGTTCATCGACAATCGGGCCGAACCTCTGGCAAATCGGCTGAACGTATTATTACTGGTGGTCGACGATGGTGTGTGCTCTGACTTGTCTTCGCTGGCATAGCCCTCCTCTTTGATACTGTTTGGCGACAGAGAGTTCACCGAATGTGCCTTATCTTCATCGCTGGCCGCCGACGTTGTCGTGTCCTAGAAATTGATTGACACAATTACAATGTATATGTAAACAACAATATCACCGCAAACTCGACAACAATACATACTTTGGTTTGACTACTATTGTTGTTGTGATTATTGAAATGATTGTTGGTATCGATAGTATCGTCCACCACTGTTGTTGGCGGCGATGATGTGTCCAATTGGCGTATCAATTGTTTTCGCCGTAATGTTAATCTGTTGACCTCATAGGCCAACTGTGTCCTAACGTTAGCTCTTTGTGCCAATAGTTCCAGTTTAGACAATTCACTTAAGTCGTGGTCAATCTATATGATAATTGGGCGCAAATAAGACAATAGTTAGTGTCCATTAAAAAAAAATTAATTAATAAATTATAGCATTCATTATAATCGCTTAAAATTAATTACATTTTCGATCTCTTTATTCAACAATTTTGTCGACATTTTTGTCTAAACATTCCTAACATATTATATTTAGTGTCGAAAACAAAATAATAATAATAATAATATCAAAAAAAAAAATATTTTAGTATTTTTTTGTGTGTGTAATATTATTGTCATAACTGTTGTGTTGACTCTCCTCTCTCTCTGTATTAGAGTCTCTCTCTCTCTCTCTCTCTCTCTCTAAATGTATGGTTCAATACAATGAATATTAGTTTTGGTTATAATATTATTGTATGTAAACTATGTATGCATTTTTGAATTGAATATCACTAACATTAGTCACTGTATACAGTATATACTGTATTTGAATTTGAATGCATATGTACTGTACATATTCACTGTATATATGTTTTCAGTGCATTGAATGCTATGTCTATAACAACCTTATAAACCAACAGTTTTTTTAGTTTTCAGTGGCACTCCATCTCATCCAATGTCGCCAAATATATTCCCCCCCAAACTGTTCCCTCTCTCTCTATATACTGTCGCCACAAATAACGTACCGGAAGTGGGTTTGAATGACTGGCCTCTCTTTCTCTATCTCCCTGTGCTCTTTGCTATGAAGGTCGACAAACAATTGGCTTATCTATCCTAATACCCAGTGGTGATGATATGACACACACACACACACACACACACACACACACACACACACACACACACACACACACACACACATATGTATGTAATATACATGTATAACGTTTTTATAGTGTAGTGTTTTTTTTAAGTATAACTCATTATTACTATTAGTGATATGAATTGAATGAATGAATGAATGAATGAATGAATGGGTGGGTGGGGTGGGTGTGACCCCACAAACGTGTATAAATAAATGCTATTATGCAATGCAATAGCATATATCACGTGAAACACTACACCAATTGTTTTTTGCTATACTAGTGTATAGTACTGTACCTATTAATAGCTTATGTGTGCAAATTGTCATATTATAATAGTTAGGGTTAGGTCGGGTTAAACTAATACTATATGAGTGCCGCCGCACTGGTATGTTATGCACTCTCACTTAGTAGTTATTACGCTTATGGATGTATTTGTAGCTTAATAATTAATTAATTATTATTTTATTTTACCATGTCATTTATTATAGGAATTATATTTATTTATGACACTAGAAAAAAAACAATTTTTTTTATGGCAATGAATATACAGATTTTTTTTTGTTGTAAAAATAAGTTCAATGTTTGTATGTGTGTTGTTGTTATCATAATTTTACTATTTATATAAATTATTTTTTAAAAAAATTGAGAGAAAGTTAAATTTTATGTATGGATTATTATGCAATATTATTTCTATAGAGCACTGGTATGTATTTAGTGAAAACTGTAAATAAAGAGAGAGAGAGAGGTCCTACCATTATGTCACCCCTGGAAAGGGTAGTTAGAATTTATTATTTTGTGTGTGTGTGAAATGTGTCGGGCCCCACATAAGTGTATAGACATTTTTTTGGGGGGGGGTGAGGGGGGAAATAAAATTTTTTCTACACATAGACACATTAGTCTGAATTCCATTACCTATTGTTGAGGTAATACTCGTATAACTAATGTATTTCCAAGAAACTGTATGTAAATTATGTGTGTGTGTGTGTGTGTGTGTATGTATGTGAAATCTACCCTAATATCAAGGTCAGGTACCCATATTATTTTCCAATGAATGTATAGATGTTTTATTTTATCTTTAAAAAAATTTATTTTTTAATACATAATTATATTAGATTAGCATGGTTAAATCACATATGCTATTCAATTGGGCTTAACTTTCTATTCATCATAATTACTGTTTATACTGTATAATTTTTCTATTGTATAGTTTTTAACCTGCTAAAACTATCTAAATTGTCCATGTTGCTATGAAATTGATGATTAAATTGTATCTAGATAATTATATATATACTGTACTTAACAAACAAAAAAATAGCATGCATACCAATTATTGTAAAAAAAAAATCTACAATAATGTATTATATAAGTTACATATTTTTTGTTGTTGTTGTCAATATCAATCATACAATTTTATAAATCAATAATTTAATAATAATTTTTGTTTTTTTTATTTTACAAAATTAATACACTGATCATACACACAGTACCTATTATTTTAATAATCAATTATCATGGATACCATTGATATACTGTATTATATACAGTGTACTTACCATTTAACTACATAGTTATGTATTATATGTTAGATATTTAACGATAAAAATAAAACTTTAAAAATCATTACAACATTACCTAAGATTACTATTAAAATATATATTTTATTTATGACATTATAATATAATATTAATACATAATATCAAATATATATATATTAATCTAATTAATTAAACATTTAAAGTTAATATTAATTAAAATAACGATGCAATGTGTGAACAATACAATATAATATAAGCATATATTGTATATCACTTAATAAAATATGCACAAATAAAATACAATTGGATACCAATATTTTATATAATAATAATAGTTTATCAATTAATTAATTAATTAACAACAATTAAATTAAATACTAGAAGACCTATCTATCTATCAATCAATATATCATTTATATAAGTGTATAACCAATTTAATAGCCGTATAATAATAATAATAATAACTAGAAAAATGCTATTATTTGGGATCATTGGGTATATTATAGTAGTTATTGTATAGCCGTTTGCCTAACATATAGACCATTCCTAAGGTCAATGTGCCGACGGCGATACCCTGGGAGGCCACTCGCAATTGGATCAGATAGAGTGATACGGGCATATCGCCCCGATGTTTGAAACGGTAGGCACCGTATAGGGCCGCACACCCGAAACCAGTCAACGCTATAGATGTGAGATACAAAAAAAAGGTGACCATTAATATCTCGGGCGGTAATATTTTGTGTGTGTGACTTACCGATCGGGAAAAACGGGTTATCTCTAGCCTTTCGGGTCAACTTTCCGCCCGAAGTCTCTTCAGTATAATAGGACGCCGACTGTTGTTGCCGGGGGTCTACTGAATGTGTTTGTGTGGCCATCGGTAATGTCGTCGTCGTCGGCGGAGTTGTTGTGTCGATGTTATGCTGTTGGCTACCAGTGCTCGGCATCTACTGTACTGATGATACCAGTGCTGTATCGTCTCCTAAACGGTCGGTTATTTTATAACACAATTGGTTTATATACCGATACAAAAAAAACGGACCGAAAAATAATTGATTGAATTTTATTTTTATTTTATCAATCAATTCATTGATATATTGAAATCATTGCAATACATGACATCATATGATTTTTCAATGCAATGTTAAGTTTTTTTGTCACATAAATTATGTTTCAGTTATTTATTTAAAAAAAAAAAAATATTTTCAATGATTGATAAATATGTTTGTATTTAAAAAAAATAATTTTTCTATTAAATGTTTTTTTTTAAAAAAACTATATAATATTATATATACTGTCCATAATTTTTAAGTAATATAAACTTAATTAATGTTAATTTTTTTAAAAATTGTTGTTGAATTAGTTAATAATAATAATAATAATAAATTAAAAATAACAAATATAGACGTAATTTATGTCCAAATAAACATCAATGTGTTTGTGTGTGCGGTTTGTATCGTAAATTGAATCCAATTATTATTATTATTATTATTTAGTAAACAATATATTTAGTTATTATTACAGTATTTTTTGTGTCAATTAAATAGTGTCCACAAAAAAAACATATAAAATCAATGACACCATTGCATGTCATCATCACTATTAGCTGATCCATTGCGCCAGTGATTACCACAACAACAACAACACACACACAGACAGAAAAATAATGCCAGAAATAGTCGTAACAAATAGCGAACTAAACGACGACTATCTAATCGGTTTGTCCCGTAAGTACTGGTCGCCGGCAACTTTCGGCCAATGGTCACCGTTTGATAGGCAATTGGTTACCGATATCTATAAGAATGAGATTCAATTGTCGTCGCCGTCAGCGTCGTCCTCGTCGTCGTCGACCACCGGTGTCCGCGGCAGTGCCGACAGAGGCGGAGGATTCAATACCAGACGTATTGTTATACTCGAGTTGAGCCGTTATCTTGAAAACTATTTGTGGCCAAATTTTGGCCAATTGGTGACTGCCGATGCTGCTGTCGGTGTCGAGTATCTAATGTCAATCGTTGTGATGGTTAACGAAAAATTTCGCGAACGAGTCAACGTTTGGCAGTGTTTCGAAATGAATCCCCAGTTTTTCGGCCAATTGGTCAGTCAAGTGACTCGGCTGATGATCGCGAAAGAGACCGCCGATAACTTGTCGTTCAAAGAGAGAACAGCTTTACTGGTGTTTATCATACATTGTTTCAATGGTATAGAAGTTAAGATAATCAGAGACGAAATCCAAAAGTATGTGTCGCTAAGTATTTGGTCAAATTTGTCGGCAAAACGCCGGGAAATGGAGTTCAAAAAAGTACCGAAACTAAGAAAGTATTGGTCGGCCATACAAAAGAAGGACAAACAGATGGACAGTGAAACCCGTGAAAGAGTTTTGTTTGAAAGAAGTTTTTTATGTAATCTAATCAAACAGTTTTTCGGTTATCTGTCACTGATTCCGGCCGCCGCTGACAATGAGATCGCAAAACTGGACAAACGATTGTACGATTGTGTCCACTATTGCGAACGATTTCTCGAACTGATGATCGACTTGGAATCGATTCTCCAGACCCGACGTTTTTTTAACGCAATCTTCGACGACCAACACGTTGTTATTAGAGCCCGAATGTCTAATCTGGCCCAACGTACGGGTCGCGAGTCCAAACTGTTCGGTCAATTACTCGAAATGTTGGTCTTCTATGCCGACTTCGAAATCGACGACATGACCGGCGAAGCGATGACTTATCAGCAGATTATGAAACAACACTACGATGCCATTCATCGGCTACAGATCCAAGTGTTCCAACATTTTCCTGCACTTCGACAAGTATTTCTGGCCAATGTTTCGGCAATTGATTCCCGATCGACACTTGCCAAACACTTTCAATCGCTTACGGATTCAGATCTTCTTAAATTGGCCGAACTGTTGGGTTTCGGCGACGAAGATGTGTTGAGAGAATCGTACGACAAGAATCTGATTAAGGAATTGATTTACAAAAAACACGAACGCAAGACATCTCGTCTTCAGTCACTGAATGAGATGCCATTATATCCGTCGGAAGCGATTATTTGGGACGAAAATCTGGTGTCGTCTCAGTATTTCTCGAGTGATGCCTGTCTGGCGCTACCGAAACTCAACCTACAGTTCCTCACACTTCATGACTATTTGCTTCGAAATTTTCATTTGTTTCGACTGGAATCGACTTACGAGATTCGACAGGACATCGAACAGGCCGTCTCCCATATGAAACCGTGGCGTACGGAAAACGGTGGCCTAATGTTTGGCGGCTGGGCCCGTATGGCCATCGGTATCGATAGTTTTACTATCATTGAAGTACGCAAACCAAATCTCGGCGACAAACAGCCATCACGAGTCCGGGCCGACATTGTGGTCAACTTGAATGTACACAAAGATGTCAAGCACGAATGGGAAATGTTGCGCAAACACGATGTCTGTTTTTTGATTACCGTCAGACCCCGATGTCCACCGGGAACTGCTTACAAATACAAAGAACCGTTTATACCTCAAGTAGGACTTACTTATGTTAGGGGTTGCGAAATCGAGGGTATGCTCGATCCGCACGGAAAGATTGTCGACGAAACATCACTCGACAAACCGTTCTATAATTCAGATTTCCGTACGTTTCGTGTTTGGTTAGATTGTAACCAATATAAGGAAGACATGGACAGGACTAGTGGCGGAAGCGGTGACAGTGGCGGCGACGCCGAAGATATCTACGATTCGTTCAATATACTGGTCCGACGTAAACCTAAAGAAAACAATTTCAAAGCTGTTTTGGAAACCATTAGAGACCTAATGAATACCGAATGTGTTGTACCCGAATGGCTACAGGAAGTCCTACTCGGATTCGGTGATCCATCGGCGGCTCACTACTCGAATATGGCGACCAAATTGTCGACAATCGACTTTTGCGATACGTTTCTCGATTTTGATCACCTGAAAGAGTCATTTTCCGGTTATGACATTCAAACAACTAATGATTCTTCAGCAGCAAAACAATTGATTCCACCGTTTAAAGTGACATTCAATGATGAAGACGATGATAGCGATGAGGAAGATGGCGATGACAATGAAATGAAGAACAAGAAGACCAAATCGCTAATTGTTGTCCCATATGTTTTGCCAAACAGAGGTCCGTATGATATGGAAAACGGTGTCAACAAGAAAAATACTATACGCTTTACACCGACTCAAGTGGAGGCTATCAAATCGGGTACACAACCGGGCCTTACCGTTATTGTTGGTCCGCCGGGAACCGGCAAAACTGATGTTGCCGTACAAATCATATCAAACATTTACCACAACTTTCCCGATCAGCGGACACTGATTGTTACCCATTCGAATCAGGCACTGAATGCCTTGTTTGAAAAGATTATGTCACTGGACATCGATGAACGACATCTGCTACGTCTGGGTCACGGCGAAGAATCGCTGGACACTAGTAAAGATTTTAGTCGATACGGCCGCGTAAACTATGTTCTGGCCAAACGATTGGATCTACTAGGCCAAGTCGAACAATTGGCCAAATCATTGAACATCCAATCGGATGTTGGCTATACGTGCGAAACGGCCGGCTATTTCTATTTGTATAACATACTGTCCCGTTGGGAACGGTATCTATCAAAACTGCGAACCATTGACCGGACGATTAGGACGCCCGAAGTCGTCGCCCAATTGTTTCCATTTCACAAGTTTTTCGCGACTGCACCGCAACCGTTGTTTAGGGGACAGTCGTTTGACGATGACTTGGAATTAGCCAGAGGTTGCTATCGACATATAAAGCAAATTTTTACCCAATTGGATGAATTTAAAGCTTTTGAAATGTTACGATCGGGTTTGGATCGGTCGAACTATTTGCTGGTCAGAGAGGCGAAAATCATAGCCATGACCTGTACTCATGCGGCACTCAAACGCAAAGAGTTGGTCCAAATTGGTTTCCAATACGACAATATATTGATGGAAGAGTCGGCACAGATACTCGAAATTGAGACATTCATACCATTATTGTTGCAGAACTCTGAGAATGGACACAATCGACTAAAACGATGGATAATGATCGGCGATCATCACCAGTTGCCACCCGTTATCAAAAATATGACATTCCAGAAGTTTTCCAATTTGGAACAATCGCTGTTCACCCGATTCGTGCGGTTGGGTGTCGGTACTGTCGATTTGGACGCCCAGGGCCGAGCCCGACCATCACTGTGCTCGTTGTATAAGTGGCGCTACAAACGGTTGGGTGATCTCAAACATGTACTATCGTTACCCGAGTATCAGTTTGGAAATCCCGGTACGGTATAACACACAAACTAATTACCGTATTATTAAAATTAAAATGATTTTTTGTTGTTGTTCATAGGATTCAAGTATGACTACCAGCTCATTGATGTTGACGACTATAACGGTATCGGCGAATCGGAACCCGTAGCCCATTTCTATCAGAACTTAGCCGAAGCCGAATACCTGGTGGCCACATTCATGTACATGCGATTGATGGGCTATCCCGCCGATAAGATAACAATACTGACCACCTATAATGGTCAGAAACATTTGATTCGCGATGTTGTCAAACAAAGATGTGCCACAAATCCGTTCATTGGTTTTCCATCAAAGGTTTGTTTGTGTCTTTGAATTTAAATAATTGATTGAAATTTATATTATTATTATTATTTTTAGATAACAACTGTCGATAAATATCAGGGCCAACAAAACGATTATATATTACTATCATTGGTCAGAACGAAAACGGTTGGCCATATTCGCGATGTCAGGCGTCTGGTAGTAGCCCTGTCCAGAGCCCGGTTAGGACTATACATATTTGCCCGGATATCCCTGTTTCGCAATTGCTACGAACTGTCCGATGCATTCAAACTGTTAACACAACGACCCGATTGTTTGCATCTGTTACCGGCGGAAAACTTTACCGATTGTAGTCGAAAACTATTAGAAACAGATAGTTCGGAAACGCCCGAAGTGAAGGACAACAGCGGCGGTGGCGACAAAGTTGTCATCAAAAATATGCAACAAATGGTTCAATTTGTTTATCAATATTATCAACAAAAAGTCGAACAATGGAAACAAACTGATCCGCAAATGTTGGATAGAGTACTGAATAAAACAAACAATAAGAGCCAACAACAACAAGAATCGGCCGCAGATGAAGTGATGACGGAATCATTGGCTGATGATAATGAAGAATCTGGTGGTAATGATAATAACGACGACAACAATAATGACAAACAAGAAGAAGAAGAAATGGATGATAAAGAAGACGATGAAGAAGAGGAAGATTTAGGTTTCGAAAAGCTAACAGAAGACGATACGGGAACTGAAGATATTGTTGAAAACATGAGTATAACAGATGACTAAACAAAAATTTGTTAAATTAATTAATTAAATAAAATAAAATAAAATAAAATAAAATAAAATAAAATAAAATAAATAAATATATATATAATAATAATAATAATAAAATCAATGTCAAAATTCATTCATCTAAATAATTATCATAACATTTACTATTTTATATGTTTTAAAAAAAATAAAATAAATAATTTTATCATTAATTAAATAAGTTATTAATTTTTCACATATATTCTAAAATAATTAAACATTTTTATATGTTTTTTTCGTAATATAATACTATGTAATATATAATATTACGGTATATTTGGAAATGTTAGGATAAAACTTGAAAAATTATGATTAATTTTTTTCAAAAAAAAAAATATAAAAAAAATACAGTCATCTATTATAAACTCACCTATATCAATTAATATAATATTACACACAAGTTAACATGAAATTTAACCCAGTACTATTGATTTGTTTGTTTGATTATTATTTTGTTGTTATTGAAAAATGTACTTGATAATTTGTTTATTTATTTATTTATTGCACTATTTGTTACTCTAGTAGTAGTAGTAGTAGACATTTGATGTGCTAAATATATTTTGTGATTATAAATTTATTTATTTTATTTATTTTTTTGATGTTGTTGATTTTATATACTGCAGTATTTATATACATGTATGGCCTGTCACTAACAGATTTCATATACAGGTGCTTATAATTTACTTACTACCAGTGCTTTTATCTATACCGATATACAGTATACTATATATACAGATATATAAGTGTGTCTTCAAAAAAATAACTGTTTGTATGGGCTGTCAGTGACGACCAGCGCGTATGGATCCGATGGATCAGTCGGATGTGTGTTAAGTGATTGTGAACCTCTCTCTCTCTCTCTTATAAAACAAATCCAAGTAAACAAAATTGATAACAAAATGTTGTCCACGAATATATACCCCGCTATTAAATTGTCGATGAAATATACAGTATATATAAACTTGTGGTCAATAATAATAATAATTGATTAATTAATAAAAAAAAAATTAAAGGTAATGAATTTTATTTAATTGAATATTTTATTTTGTTGATTAATTAGTAGAAAATTGAATTAATGGAAATTTTTTATATTAATAATATTTCGTATCATTGTACTTTTTTTTGTTTGTTTGTTTGTTTGAAAATAATCAATCAATTTATCAATAATTATATATAATTCATATATAAATTATGTAATATACTCAGAGAGAGAGAGAGAGTATGTATTAAATAAATTGAATGTAATATTATATGTATTACATTAATTGATGGAAACCTCCCCCCCCAAAAAAAAAACATTTAACTAAATTAAATTAGTCTTTTTTAAATAACAAAATGTTATTTTATTAATATAATGCAAAAAATATTATACATATACAGTATATATATATATATATAGTCTATACATTGTATGTAATACTTATCCTATAATAATAACAATTATTATTATATATAGTATATACAGTATATATAGAATATGTGTGGGAATTAATATTAAAATACTTAAAATGTCATAAACGTATTAAATAAGTTAAAAATATTTATTTAATAATTTATTAGAGAGAGAGAGAGAGAGAGAGAGAGAGAGAGAGAGAGAGAGAGAGAGAGAAAGAGAGAGAGAAAGAGAGAGAGAAAGAGAGAAAGAAAGAGAGAGATAAAAAATTATAAATTATAAGACATGTTAAGCGTTTATATTGTATAAAACTAACAAAATAATTATATAAAATAATTTATGAATATTATTAAGCATTTAGTTGTTTTGGTTATTAACATTTATTATTATTGTATTATTATTATTATTATTATTATTATTATTATTATTATTATATAATTAGTAATTTTATTATACAAAAAGATTATTCATCCATACATTTCACTATATAAATGAAGTCATTAAAAATATAACAAACAATAAGTTTATATCACCGAAAAAAAACCAAAAAATAAAACAATAAAAGAGGTCTTAATTACTAAAAAATGTCTTAATATTTTTTGAGATAATTATTCAAACAAAATAAGATTATTTTTATATTGTATTAAAATATTTACATAAAGTTTTATAAAAATAAAAACCATTAGAAAAATCGCTATTAAAAACACAACAATTCTTTAGAAAATTTTTTTAGTAGTGTCTAGTCTTCTGGGAAATTAAAAGTCATTTTTATCCGAAAAATTTTCTATATATTTATATATATATATTATATATTTGATATTATATATCACTTACTCCGAATCGTTTTACTAAAATATAATAATAATTGTAATAATCGTAAAATAATTTTTTGATGAAATAGAGAGAGAGAGAGAGAGAGAGAGAGAGAGAGAGAGAGAGTTAAACTAAAAATAAAAGTGCAATAATTCACTTGAAATACAATATTAAATGATAAAAGTCATAAATAAAGTGCAAAAATAATTGACGAAAGGCTAAGTATAGTATATATATATAAATATTATTATTAGTTTTGTTGTTGAATTAAAAATACAAATTAATGAGTCGTTTCAACAACAAAAAAAATGTTAGTAATAATAAAATATTAATATATTAATCGACATAATAGGCAAAACTTATTAGAGTATAATTCATTGAGTTTTTTTTTATATAGAGATGAGAGATATAGTAGATAGAGATCACATTACTGGTGGCATTTTCTTGGCTCAGTTAGATTTTTGTGTTGTCCCTAAATATATATTTATACTGTATATGTTATGCAATAGTCATAACATTTGTTTAAGTTTCTCTCTCTCTCTCTCTCTCTCTCTCTCTCTCTCTCTCTCTCTCTCTCTCTCTCTCTCTCTCATCTATCAAACAACATCATCATATACACTATAAAATAATTTATATGATAATAAATAATAGTAACAATTAATGTTTGTATATACTGTATATGTTTGTATGTGTATGTGTTTATTTGTGTGCACTTGTATTATACTACAAAACTACTGTACTATATATATAAATATATATATAATATATTTTTTTAGATGTCAAATGACTCGACAAACGCCTACTATTAGTTTATTACCAAAAATATCTTTTTTTGTAGTGTTGTTATTGAACTAATAGTATTAGCATTTAGTGGTTATTTTTGTTGTTGATATCATAGTATACTATACAGTATATTTATATACAATACACTATATATATATGTATGTATATACCGTTTATATAAATTTTTGTATTCATACATAATACTGTATAATTTATGTTTGTTTAGATACTATTATTAATAATAATAGTCACAAAAAAGCTAATATTTTATGATATACTGTGTATTATATAAACTAAGCGATAGAGGGGTATCACTATTAATATACAATAAGATATAATTCTTTATAGTGTATAACTATATAGATATATATCATCATTAAAAAATTTTACAACAATTTTCTTTTTTTTTCTTGTTATTAAATAATTGAAATATTATTATCAATTTCCAAGAAGTTTAGGCTATTTTTAGGACATTTGATGATTTGTTTAGTACTATTAGGATTGACTGTAATATTTAGAAAAATAATATAATAATAATAATAATAAATTGTTGATAACTGTCTTTATGGATAACTAATATGTAATATAGAATATTCTGGGAAATTTTGTTTATTTAAAAAATATAATATCTATCATTATGCTAATTTTTAAAAAAAAAATTTCTGATTATTATAAATTATATATATTTCGATTGTATATTAAATTTACAATATATTTATTTTTCACACACACACACACACACACACACACACTATTTTTATATGGAAAACCTAATATACTAGACCTGCAAATAATATGAATTTTATTTAAAAAATTTACTGACATTTATATGTTAAATATAATTTATATATATATAGCTATATATCATATTTTGAAAAATGTTTTTAATGTTTTTGTAAATGTCATAAAAATAAGTATAATAAGTGTTGTTCACATATTATATATTATTAATATATAATATTTAAAAATTACATTAAAATTAAAAATTAAGAACTATAATTAAGTAATAAATAAATTAACAATAATTTTAGTAAATTAGTACTAAAACATTGAAATGAATTATGAAATAATATTATTTTTTTCCAAAATATATGTATTAAGTATTACAGTATAGCTTATAATTTATAAGCAAATTATTAACAAATATACAATATATATATATAATATAATATAAAAAATAAAATTTTATTGATATTTATTACAAATTAATTATCAATAAATTGATTTATAATTTCTTAGTAAATACTGTATTATATATTATTATATAAATATATATATATACTTAATATCAGTTATTTTCCAATTATATTTTACATTATACATATGTTTTAATTATAGTTAATAAAATTGGTTAATAGGAAATTCTATTGGAAAAATTACCTAATGAAAATTTCTCAGTAAATTTTTCTCAGAGAAAATATTCTGTTAACAAAAATTTCTAAACTATTAATATTTCACAAATTCTCAACATTTCTATAGTAATAATTTGTTTATTAAAAAAAAATAATTATTAATATTATTATTTACTTTTATACACTAAATCACTTTCAATTTATTATCTATAAATACAAATATAAACTTTTAAAAATAATTTTTTTTTTAAAAACATTAGTATTTAACATAGACAATATTAAACTATTTTGTCTATTAGAAACTTACTCAAGAATTTTCTTAATTTTAATTTTCTAGAAAATACTCTTTTAGTAATTTTGTTTTTTTGTAAACCATTTGTAATTACAATTACATTTTAGTGTATACATGTAATAGATATATGAATTGTAATGTATATACTTTAGTTAGCAATAATTTTAGTATATATATATTTCTTAATATTTTATAAAATAATAATAATAAATAATTATTATTATTAAAAATAAATAAAAATAAACTACACCTCCGTATAAAAATTGTATATATATTTTATATACACTATATATTGTTAAGCAATACATATAGTATACATGATTTATGCTAAAAATACAAAAAAAATCTAATTAATTGTAATGTATATTATTTATCAGTAATCAAAACTAAAACTAAAAATAAATTAAATTAACTAAACAACTGTCAATATAAGATCTTATTTTAATTGTAATTTAATGCCCAATAATGGGATTAAT